CTGGGTTCAGCTGCCATCCGAGCCACTCCCCAGAATCTGTTTGCCCTCCTACAAATGGTGATAAAAGCACTCAATTCCCACAGGCAAGAAGAGGGCCAATAAGTAGAATAATAGACACAGTGCCTCTTTCCCCCCATTGAGCTTTATTATGCATAATTATAAAACTCACCCTTTCTCAGTAAAGAGTTCAACATACAAAGTTGTGCATCTATAGCCACTAAAAAAAAACAATGTTCTGTTTTGTGGTCACATCCTGCAGTGCTTGAGGCTTACTCTGAGCCCAGGAAGCAGTCCTGGTGGTAGCTGGCGACCATCTGTGGTGCTGGGAATTGAACCTGGGTCGGCCATGGGTAGGGCACTGGCTGTACAATCTCTTCATGGCTCTGACAATTATATTGGACATTTCCATCGCTTCAAAAAGTGCCAGGAATAAGGGGCCGGAGCAATAGTACAGCAGGTAGGGTGTTTGCCTTGCACGCGACCCACCCGGGTTTGATCCCTGGCATCCCAAGCACTGCCAGGAGTAATTCCTGAGTGCAAACCAGGGAGTAATCCCTGAGCATCCCTGGTGTGACCCCAAAAGAAAAAAAAAGTGCCAGGAATGTAGTTCAGCAGTAGAGCACTTGCCTTGTGTGTGTGACACCCTGGTTCGATCCCAAGCACCACTACAGAAGAAACTTGGTATCCATTTGCATTTCTTATTGACCCTCACCAAGCTGCCAGCTGCTCCCAGGTATGAGAAGTTCTGAATCTTGGAGCTGGAGAACACGGCTGACATGGTTTGATCCCTGATATCCCGTATGGTCCCCCGAACACACCAGGAGTGATTCCTGAGCCAGGAGTAACTTCAGGTGTCACGCCAAAGCAAAACAAAAAAAATTTTTTTTTCCCTTTTTGGGTCACACCAGTGATGCTCAGTAGTTACTCCTGGCTCTGCACTCAGGAATGACTCCTGGCAGTGCTCAGGGCACCTTATGGGATGCCAAGGATCGAACCCAGGTCAGCCACGTGCAAGGCAAACACCCTACCCACTGTATTATTGCTTCATCTCACAAAAAGTTCTGAATCTTGGTTTTTGTTTTGTTTTTTTTTCTTTTTTGGGTTACACCCGGTGATGCACAGGGCTTGCTCCTGGCTCTCCACTCAGGAATTACTCCTGGCGGTGCTTGTGGGACTATATGGGGTGCCGGGGATCGAACCTGGGTTAGCTGTATATAAGGCAAGTGCCTTCCCCACTGTGCTGTCACTCTGACCCCTGAATCGGGTTTTTTGAAACAGTTTTCCTAATGGTTCCAGGGAAGGGGCTCTGGGCCACGCTTCGCAATGCTCCAAGAACTACTCTCAGCTCTGGGTTAGGGTCTGGGGATTGAATCAGGGTTTGCCGCATGCAAAGGTCTCCATATTTTTAGCTTTTGCGAAAATGGAATACCTTTTACTGGACAGATCTATAATAAATTGTCATCGTTGTGTATGTGTATGGGTGATATGTCCATATAATATAGACAGATGATTGAGAAAGAGCTAACTGATACAAGATAGACAGACTGACCCAGAGAATGAACATAATAGAGCAAAAACTTTCATTCGAAGATGCCCTTTGGAGGAAAAAAGTCCGCAGCATGTAATTCGGCTTGCAGCCAGTGCGCCACCTAGTGGGAGAGAGTAGCAAGCGCTACTGCTGCGCACCTGCCTCCGGAGCCTCACAGAAAGCACCTGGGCTGGGAAAATTCCTGGAAGACATTGGTCTGCAGGGGGCGCTCCTTTTTTTTCTTTCTTTCTTTTTGGGTCACACCGGGCGTTGCGCAGGGGTGACTCCTGGCTCATGCACTCAGGAATTACCCCTGGTGGTGCTCGGGGAACCATATGGGATGCTGGGAATCGAACTCCCGGCCAGCCGCGTGCTAGGCAAACACCCTACCGGCTATGCTATCGCTCCAGCCACCTGCAGGTGGCGCTTCTTGTGTGAGCTTGGGGTGCAGAATCTGAGCATGAGGGCTGAGTGAAAGGAAGGGTGTTGGCGTCAGGGGCAGGCTGGCGGGGACAGCCAGGTGCTCCCACTCCAGTCGGGACCTTGGGCAAGAGCAGATCTCCACAAAGTGAGAGGGGCTAGGTAGAGGGGGGCCAGAGGCTGAGCGGGCCGGCTCCCCAGAGATGCAGGGACACAGGCACCCTGACTGGCTTGCTCCGGGCACGTGCCAGGCACCCCAAATTGCCAGCTGGTTGGACTTCTGGAACTTGGCATCCGAGGTGTTGGTAGTGTTGTGGGTGATGGGGCTCTTCTCAGCTGGGAACACATTCGCTTAGACAAAAAGCAGAGCTAGATCAGGAGCTTGAAGCCTGCGCTCAAGGCCCCAGCAAGAGTGGGCATAAAGACCTTTCTAGGAAAAAGTGTAATTGGTCAGAGCCCGAGAAGAGATAGTACAGGGGCTGGAGCAATAGTACAGTGGGTAGGGCGTTTGCCTTGCACTCGGCCTACCAGAGTTCAATCCCCGGCATTCCATGTGGTCCCCCAAGCACCGCCAGGAGTAATTCCTGAGTGCAGAGCCAGGAGTAACCTCTGAGCATCGCTGGGTGTGACTCAAAAAGCAAATGAATAAATAAATAAATTAAATTAAAAATGAAAAGAAGAGATAGTACAGCAGGCAGGGTGCTGGCCTTGCACGTAGCTGACCCGGGTTCGGTCCCGACACCACTTATGGTCCCCGAGCACCACCAGGAGATTCCTGAGTGCAGAACCAGGAATCAGCCCTGAGTAGCCCTGGATGTGGCCCCAAACATAATAATAATAACAAGCACTGTCCTCCCATTGTTCATCGATTTGCTCGAGCAGGCCCAGTAACGTCTCCATTGTGAGACTTGTTGTTACTGCGTTTGGCATATCAAATACGTCACGGGGAGCTTGCCAGGCTTTGCCGTGCAGGCGAGATCCTCTCAGTAGCTTGCCAGGCTCTCTGAGAGGGGTGGAGGAATCGAACCTGGGTCTGCCGGCTCAGCTGCGTGCAAAGCAAATGCCCTACCCGCTGGGCTCCAGACCAATAATAACAACAACAACAATAATAATAACTGGTAATAATAATAGATGCTGGGAAAATTTAGTCCCAGGAGAAAGCTATGTTTTGTGGCTTCCTGACACTTGTACAACATGGTGCAGCTCTGAATGCCAGGGGAAGAATGGTCTTAGTGGGGCTTTAACCTCCAAAAGTGCTCTCAGGCCCTGTAGAGACAGAAATGATGCGTCGCCCTAGCTGGTCCAGATGATGGCCAGGGAAGGTGGATACATGCACGGAGTAAAGGTTACCCTACAGAGAGACCCCACCTCCCATATGCAAGCACGCTGAACCTCAAGATTCCTCTGAGCATTTCTCCTGGGAGACTGAGCACTGCGGGGCTGGAAGCACGGAGAGCTGAGACTTAGAACCTAGAGTGATGACAGCTGCGGAAACCCAACTTCACAGTTCGGCGATTTGGTGACGGGATGAGCTGCCCAGTGATGCAGTTCCTCAGGGTAGCTTGGAATTAGCAGTTGAGGGTGGATTAGCCCAGGGGGTTGGGGGTTCAGCCAACACCAGTGCCTCTGAAGCTAGAAGGCTCTGCTGGGGGGGGGGGGGACATGCTCTCCACCCCCACACTGACCTTAGGTCTTCTTAACATCACACCCCCGACTCCCAGCGCTCCCCCAAGTCCCTGGTTGCCCTCTGTGGGCACTCAGGGCAAGAACAGTTCCTGCACAGAGCCAGAGGGTATGGGGACCCCCCAAAGGCCCTTTATTTATTTCTTTATGTTGGTTATGGAGTGTTGGGGATCAAACCCAAGTCAACTGTGTGCAAGGCAAGGGCCCTGCCTGCTATACCATCTCTCCGGCCCCCTCTGGGGAGGTAGACAGGTCCCCCCAAGGAGGCAGGTTGCAGAGGGAATCCAGAGACCCCCCGCCAGATTGTTGCGCATGGGCAGGAAGAATGCACCCCCAGGAGAATGACCAGGAGCAGTGGGAGGGAAACAGCTGGCCCTTTGGAATGCAAGGTGACTGCAGGAACAGGGCACCTGGCCAGGGGCAGGGGTGGGAGGAGACGCCTTAGGGGATCCCCTGGGCACCTCCTGGGGTGCTGAGGACGCTGCCCTTTTGGTGATGGGGAGCCATGTGACCCCACCACGGAAGGAAGTGCTGTGTGGCACTTTCCCGACTCTCCTATATCCCTCTGGTGCTCCCACAGCCCTGAAAAGCCAGGACAGCAAGCCTTGGCCCCCTGACCCCCTCCAGGCTTGGCACCTGCCTCTGTAGACACAGGGCCTTGTCACTATCTCCAGTGGCCTCCGGTGCCCCCGCTGAAGTGGCGATGAGCCCCCAGCTTTGGAAATGGTCATTACAGGAAAGAGGCCCGGAAGCCCCCACGAAACAGCTATGCTCAGGGCTAGGGGACAGCGACCACAGCGCTGGACCAGGAGGATCCCAGAGCAGCCAACAGCCTTGGGGCATGCGCAGGGGATGCCAAGGACCCACACCTTGTTGTATCCTGTTACACCACCTGGGTACCCCTGTGCAAGGGGCAGCGAACTCCGAGGGGTCACTAGGGGGTCTGAGGCCGGTGTGAGAACCCGGGGAGGTGTGTTGTGAGGTCGCTGAGAGGGGCCCAAGTGAGTCTGCAGCTCCCTCGGGTCCGGGAAGCCTAGAAGCACGGAATCCGGGCACCGAGGTGTTTTCAGAGTCACGCGTGAAGGACTGATCGCTGACATCTTCGGAGTGGGAGCGGCTCCAGCCAGGCCCGGGGACAGGAAGGACAGGAGGAGGGAGTTGGCGGCTGGGGTGGACTGACGGAGACCCGGCGACCCCCTTCTTCCAGTCCGCGGGCTCGTGGGATTGGCGCCCTGCGCGCTCCCCGGGCTCCGGTATTATGTTAATGAGCCGCGGCCCGCGGGAGCCACGCCCCTCGGACGGCCCGCGGGGCGGGGCTATGCTAATGAGCCCGGTCTGGCCCCACGAGTGGCGTCCGCCGGGGCCCCGAGCCGGGACGCGGTGGCGGCGGCGGCGATGGCCATGGCCGGGGCGCTGGCGGGGCTGGCGGCGGGCTTGCAGGGCCCGCGCGTCGTGGCCGGGCCGGACTCGGACTCGGACACGGACTCGGAGGACCCGAGTGCCCGGCGCGGCGCGGGCGGGCTGCTCCGCTCGCAGGTCATCCACAGCGGTCACTTCATGGTGTCGTCGCCACACAGCGACTCGCTGACCCGGCGGCGCGACCAAGAAGGGCCCGTGGCGCTCGCTGACTTCGGGCCGCGCAGCATCGACCCCACACTCACGCGCCTCTTCGAGTGCATGAGCCTGGCCTACAGGTGAGCGGCCGCCGGCCACCAGCCTGGCGCCCCTCGCTGCCCCCGCGCCGCGCCCTCCCCCGCCGCCCAGCCCAGCGGCCCCCGACGGCAGCGCACCGGGGACCTTCCTCGGCCCCCGCCCGACTCCTCGGGACCCCGCGGAGATGTCAGGACACCTCTGGCCGTCCCGCCCGGCCCGCCCCGCGCCGGCCACCTGCCCAGCTGGGCAGCCGGATCTAGAAGCAACCTCCACCGCGCTCCTTGCGCCCGAGGTTGACGGAGCGATGGACACGGCTTTGCCCCCCAGACCCCCGCAGACACCCAACCTCAACTGCCGAGGCCGGCTGTCCTTGGCCGGCGGGGGGGCGCCGCGCGCGAGGGTGCCCCAGCATGGGTGGGGACTCGGGCCGCGCGCGAGGGTGCCTGGGCCGGACTGGGGACGCGGGCAGCGCGCGAGGGTGCCCGGGCAGGAGTGGGGACGCGGGCAGCGCGCGAGGGTGCCCGGACACAGGTGGGAACTCGCGCGCAAGGGTGCCGGGACCGGGCGGACTCGGGCCGCACGCGAGGGTGCCCGGGCGGGAGTGGGGACGCGAGCCGCGTGCTAGGGTGCCCGGGCACGGGTGGGGACTCGGGCCGCGCGCGAGGGTGCCCGTGAGGCCGGGACTCGCCTGTCGGACCCGCCGCCCGCGCGCCCCGGGACCCCGGCAGGGCCCGCCGCACCGAGCACCCGCCGCGCCCGCTCCGCGCTCGGCGCCCGCGTCTCAGGGGAGCGCGCGAACCGGGGTCTTGGCCGGGTGCCCTGGAGCAAAGTTCCCCGGAGCGTAGGGGCCAGGATAAATTATCAACCGAAAACTGGAGGGGAGCGAGGGGGATCGGCCGGCCTTGATCTTTCCTCTGTGCAAATATTCCTCTTCCTCCGCGGCGTCTCCGGCTCTTCTGAAGCCGCCGGCTGCCCGGCGGCCCTCGCGGCGCTGGGAAAGTGGAGCCGCGGCCCGGCCCGGGTGGGGACGGCGGGGAGCGCTGTCCACCCCCCGGCGCGGCCGCGGAGCCGCGACCCCATTGGCTGCAGGCGATGTAACCTTGGCCCACTTGCTCTGGCCCGGAGCCCAGGTCCTGTTGCAACCCGATCACCCAGGGCTCCGGCCGGCCCGCTGTGGAAAGTTCAAATTCCCGGGGCCTTGCTCCCTCCCTCGGACTCCACCGGCCCGCCAGCCTGGGGCAGGGCATCTAAGGTCCCCCTTCGCTGGAGGCCGGGCCCGCACCCCTCCGCCCACGTTACCCAGGTTCCTCCCCAACTCCCACTCACCCCCAACCTCCAATTCCTGCTCTTGAGGCCTGAGCGATAATATGACTGACCTGGGTTAGTGCCTCAGCACCAATAGGGTCCCTTGAGCCAGGAGTCAGCCCTGAGCACCGACTGCTGGGTGTGACCACCCCCCGAAGAAAATCAAATTTCGGCTCTTTATTCTTCAGACCCCTCCTCCTAACTGGACCCTGTCCACCCACTACCCCAGAACAAGAGTGACCAGAGGACTTGGGGACAGGGTTAGGAGATGACAAGGTGGGGGATGGCATACACCCCTCCCCCCCCAAAAAAAAGACTGGCTGAGAGTCCCTGAAGGTTTCCCAGAATCTCTAGGCTCAACTAGATGATCAGTTTTGCTCCTCAAGACCCTAATTATAGGCATTTCTTATAATTAGGGAGGGAAGGCCAGGGCTCCCCAAAAGAGTGGTGGCAGGGGCTGGCCAGGCATCCAGAGGTGCTGGGGAAACCGGGTCCCCAAAGCCGTGAGGCGTGGCAGCTCCCCTCCCAGACAAAGAACCCTGATCCCGGCTCAGGGAGATGCTTCTGGAAGCTTCCAGAAAACCCTTCATCTCCCTCTCAGGAAATGTCTGGGGTGTAGAGGAGGAGGTGGGGCGTGCCCACACTGCAGGTGTGTTTATGAGGAGGAGGGGCTCACGCGTGTGCTCCTGCGTCCGTGCATTTCTCAGTGGGTGCCTGGGCACTTGCCTTCCTCTCTGCCCGGGGGGCCTTCAGGGGGAAGTTGGCAGGAGCCGATTCAGGAACCCCCCCAAGGGCTGGGAAAGAAGCCCTGGTGGCCCTTGGCTGCTCGGGTCTCCCCACTGGACAGATGGCGCTTATCTCTGGTGATGGAGTACGTTTGGGTAATGAGGCCTGCCCTGCCCTGGGGGTGGCCAGCCCTGGCACCCAAGGCAAAACACGGGAGCCCAGAGACCCGGGAGGGGCGGCCGAGGACCAGCCCCTGGCAGAACAGGCAGGCAGCAGTCCCTACGGAGCAGACCCCGCTGCCCACATGAGCAAGGCAGGAGCGGGTGGGGGACTCTGTCCACTGCCCTGTTTGAGGATCCTGAGGAGGGAGGAAGGGACCCCCAGAGGCTGAAGCGGGGGCCGGGGGGGGGTGCTGTCTGGACTTCTGTGAGGGGCCATGCTCTGGGTGTGGCTTCCTTGGGCCACCATTGCCTGGGACAGACCACCAGCTGGGGGTCCCTGCACCGCTGAGATAGGGTGCTGGCCACCACCCCACCCCTGCATCTCACCTGCCTTTCTGGGACCTGGATGACTGTCAGAGAGGGCCGGGCCCCCTCGCCCTTGGGTGGTCCCAAGGGAGTGGGCAAAGGCTGGGGAAGGGTGCCCCAAAACCTTCCTGCCCCCCACCCTTCCCTGGGCCAGTGGAAGGGAAGGGTCACAGATCAGAGAGGGGGGGTTCGTGCCTCTGCCATCTGGCCTGGGCCTCAGAAAGAGGTGGCCCAGGAACCTTCTGGATGACCCATCTTTCACCCCCTGACCTGGGCTCTGGGGAAGGTGGAACCTGCAGTCTCCCCAGAGATGAGAGGGTCGGGGGTGCGCAGGGGACTGAGAAGGGCCCCCCCTGCCGGTCACTGACCAGCCCCGTCTCTCTGGCAGCGGGAAGCTGGTCTCCCCCAAGTGGAAGAATTTCAAGGGCCTCAAGCTCCTCTGCAGAGACAAGATTCGCCTCAACAACGCCATCTGGAGGGCCTGGTACATTCAGTGTGAGTGGCCCCCCACACACACCCCGCGGGGTCGGGGCGACTGCAGCCAGCAAAGGGCCACTAGAGACCCCCCCCCCGGCCCCCACAGTGGCTCCACCCATAGAGGATCTTGGGGAATGTGTCCCAGAAGGTCCCTGAGGCTGGGAAGGGGCCCCAGGCGCCCCTGGCAGGATGAGGGGGCAGATCCAAGTCATTCGACCCTGTCGGTGCCATTTGGGGTCTCTGAGGCCAGTGGACGGCTTGGCCGTGTCATGCTGCTTAGCCAATCCCACCCTTTTTTTGTTTTTTGGCTTTTTGGGTCACACCCAGCGATGCACAGGGGTTACTCCTAGCTCTGCACTCAGGAATCACTCCTGGCGGTGCTCAGGGGACCATATGGGGTGCTGGGGATCGAACCCGGGTCGGCCGCATGCAAGACAAACGCCCTACCCGCTGTGCTATCGCTCCAGCCCCAATCCCACCCTTTATAACCGGGAAACAGGTCGGGTCCTGGCTGGCCTGGCCCACCCGCCCCCCACTGACAATGCACTGACCCCTTAAGCCCACTGGAAGGCCCCAAGCCATCTGTGGAAGAGACTTTGCACAAGTCGCCTAGAACTGATCCTGGGGCTGTAAGGGAGCCAGAGAGGAGGGCGCTGGCCTTGCACATGGCTGGCCCGGGTTCGATCCCTGCACCTCAACGCCAGGTGTAGCTCCCGAACCGAAACAACTCTTTATTATTATTATTTTTAATCCCTTTCTGTCCTTTGTCAGCTGTGTGCTGCAGGCAAGTTGGCTAACCTCTCTGAGCGTCTCCATACACACAGGCAGGCCAGGCGTCCTGCCTGGGATAGGGGCTCCACATGACCGGCGTGAGCAGGACTGGCCTGGTCAGTGCTGCTGTCCCTGCGACCAGATCACAGTTGTTTATTGGTGGGGGCAGACCTTTTGGCCCCTCCTCTTCTCCCCAGCCTTTTGATGGGATCGCAGAGGGGAGCCACCGCGCCCGGCCCGGGGGCCCTGGGCTGGGACCTTGCCCAGCTCAGTCAGGTCCTGCTGAGGGATCAAAGGTGGGGCTGGCTGGGGACATGCAGCCGGAGAGCACAGACGCGGTGTTCCCGGCCTGGCCGCTGGAGCCCAGCCAAAGTCCATGTGTCCCTCTGTCCGGCTCAGAAACCCCAGCGGGAGGCGCCCACCTTGTATCCCGGCACCACCAAGGTCCTCCAAGGAGGTGGGGTCATTCCTGAACAGCCCCGTGTGGGCCCCAACGCCCCCAAGTAGTAGGACCCCCAGAGGGCCAGAGCAAACTCTGCAGGCTGGAGGCCCTGGTTCAGTTCCCGCCTCCAGACGCCCCCCACCCCCCAGCCCCACGGGGTGTGACCCAAACCAGACCCATAGATGCACACGACAGAATGGCCTGTATTCTCTCCGGGGGGGCTTCTTGCCAGTTAGGGGGGCACTAGTGAGCAGACCCCGGTAAACACAGCTTTCTGTCTCTCTCCAGCTGCATCTGTAACTGTTTTGTTCATTTATTTCTGTTTGGAGCCACACTTGGTGGTGCTCAGGGGCTGCTTCTGAGCTCAGGAATTCCTCTTGGCGGGACTCGGGGACCATATGGGATGCTGGGAATTAACCCCGGGGCTGTACTATCACTCTGTCCCCTGTTTCATTTTTTTTATAAAACGGATTTTAGGTAGAGTCATAGCATGGAGGGCATTTGCTTGGCACACAGCTGAGCTGGGTTCTCCGAGCCCTGCCAGGAGTGATCCCTGAGTACAAGCTGGGTGTGGGCCCCCCAATATTTTTTTCAATTTTAAAGATTTTATTTGGGGGTTGGAGAAGATAGTACAGCAGGGAGGGCGCTTGCCTTGTATGCAGCTGACCCAGGTCCAATCCTTGGCACTGCAGGTGGTCCCCCGAACCCCACCAGGACTGATCCCTGAGCACAGAGCCAGGAGTAAGCCCTGAGCTCTGCCAAGTGTCGCCCCAAACCAAAACAAACAAAAAATATTTGAATTTGTCATTTGGGGGTGGTCCACCTAGTGGGCCTCCGGGATGACTCCTAGCTCCATACTCCGTGGTGATCTCTGGCGATGCTTGGGGGAGGATGTGAGCTGGGCAATGAGGGTTGCCGCATCCGGAGCAAAAGACCTGCCCTCTGGACTGCCTCGCGGGTCCAGTGTCCCTTAGATCTTTGCCTCTCTGTCCTTGCTGCTGTCGGCCACCGCTTTCCCTCTGGTGAACCACAGTTTTGTTGTCAGTGTCCAGCGGTTTATTTTTAATCTATTTTGTCCATTCACCTACTCTCTTTTCTCATTTTCCACTTCTGGCTCTGCACTTAGGAATTACTCCTGGCGGTGCTCAGGGGACCATATGGGATGCTGGGAATCGAACCCGGATCAGCTGTATGCAAGGCAAACACCCTACCCGCTGTGCTGTCGCTCCAGCCCCTTGTCTTCCCCTTCTTCTTTCTTCTTTTTTTTTGTGTTATAGGGCCAGCTGTGCTCAGGCATCACTCAGGGATTACTCCTGACTCTGTGCTCAGGGATCACTCCTGGTAGTGCTCAGGAATCCCGTGCAGCACTGGGGATCAACCCCTGGTCAACTGGTGCAAGGCAAAAGTGTTACCCACTGTACCGTCTCTCCTGCCTCAAATTTTACTTTTTATAGTTAATATTCCACTGTGTGTGTGTATATATATATATATATGTATGTATGTATCATGTCTTCATTATCCAATCATTGACTGATTTACACGTAGACTGTTTCCATAGTTTATCTTCTTGGGGGGCGGTCAGGGGGCATACCTGGCAGTGCTCAGGGCTTACTTCTGGCTCTGTGCTCAGGGATTAATCCACTCCTAGTTTGTGTCAAGAAACTGTATGGGGTGTCAGGGATTTAACCCGTAAGAGTCCTGTGCAAGGTAATTGCCTACATGCTGTGCTATCTCTCAAGCCTCTTATCTAAGTTTTTGTTTTGTTTTGATTTTCAGCTATGCTCAGGGCTTGCTCCTGGCTCTGTGCTCAGCGATCACTCCTGGTGGGGCTCAGGGGCCATGTCGGGTGCCAGGGATCAAACCCAGGTTGACTAGGTGCAAGGCAGGCACCATCTCTCTGCCCCACCCTGCCTGTGCTCAGTAGTGCTTTAGTGACGCTGTGATGTAGAAAACTGTAGGATCAAGCTTCACTCTTCCTGGGGCCAAAGTGATAGTACAGTGCAGTGGGTAGAGCGTTTGCCTTGCATGCGGCAGACCCAGTTTCGATTCCCGGCATTCCATATGGTTCCCCGAGCACTGCCATGAGTTATTCCTGATTACAGAGCCAGGAGTAACCCCTGAGCCTTCCTGGGTGTGACCCAAAAAGCAAAGAAAAAAAAAAAAAAACTTTCCTCTTTTTTTTTTTTTTTGCTTTTTTGGGTCACACCCGGCGATCTCCTGGCTCTGCACTCGGGAGTTACTTCTGGTGGTACTCAGGGGACCATATGGGATACTGGGAATCGAACCCGGATCGGCCACTTGCAAGGCAAATGCCCTACCCGCTGTGCTATCTCTCCAGGCCTGCTTCCCTCTTCTTACGAGGCACCTTAGATGGGGCATGTCTGGGTCATATGGTATTTCCAATTTCAGCTTTTGGGGCAGGAGTAAGGGGGTGCTCAGAGCTGACTCCTGGCTCTGTGCTCAGGGATCTCTCCTGGTGGGGCTCAGGGGACCCTCTGGGGTGCTGGGGATCGAACCCAGGTCAGCCACTTGCCAGGTAAGTGACCTCCCTGCTGTATTTTCGCTCTGGCTCCGGTTTCAGCTTTTGGGAGGGTCTCGAAGCTGTTGACTTTTCTTCCCCCCACTCCTGTGCCTGCTCGTGACGTGACACAGCAAACCTGTGAGCTGCGACCTGGCTGTGGCCATGACTGCATTTCCCTACAAAAGAGGGGCCAGCACTTTTTTCTGTGCCATTGGCATTCTGTGTGTCCTCTCTGCGGAGGTGTCCAGTCACATATTCTGCCCATTGTTTGTTTATCAGATTGGGGACCCTCCCTGAGGCTGCTCAGGCGTATCCCCAGCGCTGCTGGGACCCTGTGAGGCCAAAGATCGAACTTGAGGCTGCAGAGTGCAAAACTGGGCTCCAGCCGCCTGCGCTGGCTCCTGTCCTGTCCTGTCCTGTCCTGTCCCCCTCCTATATATATTTTTTTTACATTGAGTTGCTTGGGGCTGGAGCAATAGCACAGCGGTAGGGCGTTTGCCTTGTGTGCAGCCGGCCGGCAGAGCCGGGTTTGATTCCTCCGCTCCTCTGGGAGAGCCTGGCAAGCTACCAAGAGTATCTCACCCTCACGGCAAAGCCTGGCAAGCTCCCCATGATGTATTCCATATGCTAGAACCAGTAACAACAAGTCTCATGATGGAGACATTACTGGGCCCGCTCGAGCAAATTGATGAACAACGGGAGGACAATGCTACAGTGAGGTGCTTGGGTTTTGTGTCACTGGTGAGTTGATCGACTTCCTTCTCTCCTTTGGATATGAAAGCCTTGTCACACAGTGAGCTGCAAATACCTTCTCCTGTTCCTGTTGAGTTTTCCATCCTGCTAATATTTTCTCTCACACCAACAAACATTTTGACGACGTCCAAATTATTGATATATTTATGATTTATTTCTTTTTTCTCCTTTTTTGCTTTTTGGGTAGGGTTTTGCCTTGCACGTGGCTGACTTAGCCGACCTGAGTTCGATTCCTTTGCCCCTCTCGGAAAGTCCGGCAAGCTACCGAGAGTATCTTGCCCGCACGGCAAAGCCTGGCAAGCTCCCCGTGACGTATTCGATATGCCAAACACAGTAACAACAAGTATCACAATGGAGACATTACTGGGCCCGCTCGAGCAAATCGATGAACAGCGGGAGGACAGTGCTACAGTACTACAGTGCTTTTTGGGTCACACCCGGAGATGCTCAGGGTTTACTCCTGGCTCCGCACTCAGGAATTACTCCTGGCGGTTCTCAGGGGACCATATGGGATGCCAGGGATCGAACCCGGGTTGGCTGTGTGCAAGGCAAATAAATACCCAAATACTATCACTCCGGCCCCTATTTCTTTTTCTTGATGTATCAAAGTTTACCATAGTGTTAAAGTCAGGGCTTGGAAAGAGTCTCTAGCCCCCAGGCACCGGGCCGACCCAGGGGTTTTTGTTTATTTTTGCTTGATCTATACCTGACAGTGCTCAGGACTTACTCCCAGCTCTGCACTCAGGGCTCACTCCTGTGGTGCTCTGGGGTCCTGGGGATCAAATCTTGGTCCCTTGCTTACAAGGCAAGTGCCCTGTACTATCTCTCTGGCCCCAGGCAGATCCAAGTTTTTTTTTAATTAATTATTATTATTATTATTATTATTTGCTTTTTAGGTCACCTGGCGATGCACAGGGGTTACTTCTGGTTCTGCGCTCAGGAATTACTTCTGGAAGTGTCAGGGGACCATATGGGATGCTGGGACTCGAACCCGGGTCGGCTGTGTGCAAAGCAATACCCACTGTGCTATTGCTCCAGCCCCAGGTCCAAGTTTAATCCCTGAGCACAGAGCCAGCAGTAAGCCAAGAGAAGTGCTGGCTGTGGCCCAAAGCTCCACCCAAAATAGTATCGGGTCATTTGTTTGTTTATTTTTGGGTCTTGGGCCACACCCAGCTGTGCTCAGGAATTGCTGCTGGCGGGGGTGCCGGGGATCAAACCCAGGTCTGCCACTTGCAAGGCAAATGCTCTCTGCTCTGTACCCTCACTTGGGCCCTGAAGTCATTATTTTATAGTTGTTGAGCCACTAGATGTGATGCTTCCCGCAGTGTTTCCACCCCACGCCCGGCGCCATTGATGACGCCTCAGGTTCCTAGAGGGTCCCTTTCACTACTCCTTTCCAACCCTTGGGTCAGCGGGATCACCTGGAGTTTCTCTTTGACTTTCTGACTTGCTCCTCTTAGCAAGACGTCCTCAGTCCAGCGGGGCTGAGCAAACTGCAAGTTCTGTCTTTTCTCTCAGCTGATTAACATTCCTTTGAGCATATCCACCCCCGTGTCTTTATCCACTGTGGAACATTTGGGCTGTTTCCAAATCGTGGTTGTTGTAAATAGTGCAGTGAACATAGCATATCTCCAACTATTTTTTTGTTTTGGTGTGTGTGTGGGGGGGGGGGGGTTTGGGTCACACCCAGAGATACACAGGCATTACTCCTGGCTCTGTGCTCAGGAATTAGGCCTGGCAAGTTCAGGGGACCCTATGGGGTGCCAGAGATCAAAGCCGGGTCGACTGTGTGCGAGGCCAATGCTTGCCTTGTACCCGCTGTGCTATCGCTTTAGTCCTGACAACTATGTATTTATTATTTTGGTTTGGGGGCCAGGCCCAGCCATGCTCAGGGCTTACTCCTGACTCTGTGCTCACAATCACTCCGGCTGGGGCTTGAGGAATCATGGGGGGTGGGGGGAGGGTGGGGATCGAACCCAAGTCAGCTGTGTGCAAGGCAAGCACCTTCCTTCCCTTCCTTCCTTCCTTCCTTCCTTCCTTCCTTCCTTCCTTCCTTCCTTCCTTCCTCTAGATCTGGGCCCCTAGGCCGTTTTGCCTGTATTCATCTCCCCACCCATGAGCAGGAGTATCTTTTTCATTTCCCAATCAGTGGCTGTACCCTCTCGTGTTCTGTGGTATGAGGGTCTGGCAGTGCCCAGTGAGTTGGGTGCTCCCAGGGCAATGTTCTGGGGTGGGGGACATGATGCCAGGGATGGACTGGGGTCGGGGATCTAAGTGGGAGGATTCAGAGTGTGTGACCGGGTAGAGGCCCTCGCCCCCCTCTGCAGCCCTTACGTGAGTCCACAGCATTTTCTGTTTTTTTTTTTTGTGGGGGTCACACCCAGCGATGCTCAGATGTTACTCCTGGCTCTACACTCAGGAGTTACTCCTGGCGGCGCTTGGGGGACCATATGGGATGCCGGGGATTGAACCCAGGTCGGACGCGTGCAAGACAAACGCCCTACTCACTGTTCTATGGTTCCAGCCCAGTATTTTCTTTATATGATCAGGCCCTGAGAGGTTACGAAAATGTGCCTGGCTGAGTGGGGCAGCCAGGGAGGGTGTCGGGGGGCAGGATTCTATGCTGGTTGACGATGACGAGACCACTGTGGACCCCTAGTACCACAGAACACCAGAGGGAATGGCACTGATTGGATAAATGGAAGGAAAGATTCCTGCTCATGGATGAAGAGATTAGTTCTTAGGGACCAGGCGACAGAGCGAGTCTGACAATGGACTGAGACCAGCGATGAAGAAAGAAAAGGGTGGGGAGGCGGAGCAATCGTCCAGGGAGGCCGCTAGCCTTGTACCTGGTCCACCGGCTTCGATCCCCGGCATCCCGTGTGGTCCCCCGAGCACCGCCAGGAGTAATTTCTGAGTGCAGAGCCAGGAGTAACCCCTGAGCATCGCCGGGTGGGACCCAAAAGCAAACAAAATCAAAGCCAGGGGTGGGCTCAGGGCCTTGCGTCTGCCGAGTGCTCCCTCACTGAGTCTCCCGCCGTCCACTGTTTCCGGTCCTTCTGCCTCAGCATCTTCTCACTGTGGGGCTCATTCATTTCCTGTGTTAAATTCAGCCCGAGGATATTCATTCTTTGTTGTGCTGTGGGGCCGTTTTTTCTCCTTTCTTTTTCCTCACTCATGTTTTCTTGGTTTCCGCGTGTGCTTGGTTGATTGGATTTTGAGCAACCCAACCTGCAATGCTGCGGGCTAACTCCTGGCTCTGTGCTCAGGAATCTCTGCCAGCGGTGTCCCGGGGGGGTGGGGGCGGACTTGGAGCAATGCTGGGGATCAAACAGGACCAGCCATGTTCAAGGCAAACGTTAAACTTCTACTCTCCGGCCCCTTCCAAGTCACGTGCAGGAATGCAGCAGCCTCTGGGTGCTGATGTCACCGACACCCAGCCTGACATTTTTCATCATTTGAGGCTTATTTGAGGCTTCCTGGCCTTCCCTGGTTCCCCTATTTCACGGCTGAGCGAGCAGCCGAGGTCCAGCTGGTGAGTGGCAGCTGTTCAGGGCCACGGAGCAGAGAAGGTGACGGGGCGGGCTGGGGGCGTGTGGTTCTCCACCCGTGTCCCATGCTCGCCGCACGTGCTCTGCTGGCTGCCTGCCGGTGCCCAGTCAGGCCCCTTCTCCCCAGAAGCCAACAGGGAGACAACCCCGTGTCCCTGCAGAGGACATTTCTGAGCCCCCCAGGTTCCTGCCCAGGCAGGAAAAAACTCTTGAGCAAGCAGCTGGAAGGACCCCAGGTTCTCAGGCGGGCAGAGGGGGGTCTGGGGCAAGGTCTAGGTGGCCCCACTGTGCGGCCTGGGGAAATTCCTCAGCAGTCGCCTGGGCTGAGACCTGCCCTTCTGTGCAGTGGACAGAGCCCGGGGCCTCTGCCCAGGTGTCGGGGAATCTGGCACTGGTCACGGGAGCAATTGAACAGGACCGTCAGGACAGCGGGGAGGACGCTGGCCTTGGACAAGCCCACCTGAGTTCAATCCCGGCACCCCATATGGTCCCCCAAGCCCCATCAGGAGTGACCCCTGAGCACAGAGCCGGGAGGAAGCCTAGGGGGCAGAGAGGTAGTATAGCAGGGAGGGCGTTTGCCTTGCATGTGGTTGACCCGGGTTCAACCAATGGCATGCCATAGGGTCCCTTGAGCCCCGCCAGGTGTGAGTCCTGAGCCAGGGGCACAAGGAGGGGCACAAGGAGGGCACCTTGCTAGCAGCTGCTGGGCTGGTATCGTGACCACAGCGCCAGGGGAAGCAGTCGGGGGGCAGAACCCCCCCCCACCATATTCCCCACTTCCGTGAGCCCCAGGTGGGAAGGCTGACCAGGAAGGGGTGAGCCCCCTCACCTCTCACCCCTCGCAGGCTCCTACCCCCCACCCGCATCCTACCCTGGCCCGGCAGTCTGAATCCGTTGAAGACATGGCACCCAGGGGACAGAGGGTCCCAGCATTAGCTTGGGTTCAGTGGGTGCCTTCTCCTCCCCTGCCTGGCTGGGAGCACCCTGGCCGGGATCTGTCCAGAACAGGCTCACCCCATAAGCCCCCCAACCCCAGGTCCCTGGGGGCTGTCCCGAGAGCATCCTGGAGAACTGATGCGTAGGGGCATGCGAAGTAGGGGTGAACCCAGGTCTCCCTCCTACCCCTCCAGGGTTTAAGGGGAAGCAGGGCAGTGAAGGGCATGAGACTGGTTTGTCAGGGCACAGGGGAGGGAGAGCTGAGGGTCCAGGGTGTGGTCTAACCAGGGCGAGCGCTGGGTCCCTGGGAGAGACCAGGCAGTGCCAAGGAACTGCGGCGGGCCACCCAGCAGACAGTGGGCACACCTGCAAGGTTCCGGGGGCCAACAGGGCTTTCCCAGGGTGACCCAGAGGAGGGACACCTAAGGCTGACCAGATCCAGGGTTTGAGGCGCTCACCCTGAGTGTGCTGGACCCCAGTTCATGTTCCTTGGAGCACTGCAGGGTGCAGTTCAACCCCCCCGCCCCATTCCCCTGGTTTGCACACGACAACCAGGATTCTATTCTCCACATCCCATATGGTCCCCCAAGCTCACCAGGAGTGGTCCTGAGCACTTCTGTGTGTGGGGGGGGGGGGGCAAAAAAAAAAAAGAAAAGAAAAAGATCATTGGGAAGCACCAAAGTGGACCGGAAGGCTTCCTGGAGAAGGGGGCACGGAATGCCGGCAGGATTTCCCGAGGAGGTCCTGTGTCCGAATGAAAGCGCAGCTCAGCTGCCCCTGTCCTGCCTCTAGATGTGGAGAGGAGGAAGAGCCCCGTGTGTGGCTTCGTGACGCCCCTGCAAGGACCGGAGGCTGATGAGCACCGGAAGCCCGAGGTAGCGGCGTCCCTGCACGGGCCGTGCTGGAGGCGCGGGAAGGGGCGCGGGGGGGGGGGGGTGCGCAGGAAAGGCCAGGCCCTGAGCCCGGGGGCTGGGGTCGGCCCTGAGCCCTCTCGCCCCCCGCCCCTCCCGGCAGGCCGTGGTCCTGGAGGGCAATTACTGGAAGCGGCGCATCGAGGTGGTGATGCGCGAGTACCACAAGTGGCGCATCTACTACAAGAAGCGGGTCAGTGGGGGCCCCGGGGAGGCCCCTCCGCTCCCCCTCCCCGACCCCACGACGGCCGCCCTGGGTTGTGGGTGGGGGGCGACCACTCCAGACCCCGCCCCACTGAGACCCGGGCCGACAGCGCCACCTGGTGGTCACTGGGGCTCCTCGCGGCCCCCGACCTGCCAGGATCCCGCGGGTCTTGGGGAGCCTGGGCTGGGGGCGATGGGGGGGGGGGCGTAGTAAGGGGCCCAGTGGCCTCCTCTGTGTCTTCCTGCAGCTCCGTAAGTCCAGCAGAGAAGGGGATCTCCTGTCCCCGAAGCAGGTAGGTGGACCCTGGACGTGGGAGAATTGGCAACCCCTCCCGGGGTGTGCCTGGGAGGGGGCAGTGTGACCCCCCCCCCGCCTCTGCCTGACCGAGCCCCCCTCCTTGGAACCCACAGCGGTGAGAACGCCGACTGTTGGGCAGACCGGGCCAGTCCTGGGAGACTGGGGGCAGGGAGGGTGGACGCCCGGTTTGCAGACCTCCACCCTCTGCCGGCGTGAGGGGAGTGGGTGGAGGGGATGGTCCAAACTCCGGGCAGCAACTGGGGTCCACCTGAGAGGCAGCAGGGGCGCTGGCCTCTCCGTGTTCCCGGGAGGGGCCTGGGTCCCGCGGTGGGGTGCGCATTGCTGGCGTTTGCTGAGGGCTCCACACACAGGTGGAGGGGGGCTGGCCCCCGCCGGAGCGATGGGAGCACCTCTTCTCCAGCGTGGTGCCCGTGCTGCTGGGGGGCCCCGAGGAGGAGTCCAGCGGGCGGCAGCTGCTGGACCTCGACTGCCTCCTGTCCGACATCTCCGACACCCTCTTCACCATGACCCAGCCCAGCCCTGCAGCCCTGCAGCTGCCCCCCGAGGACGGTGAGGGTCTGTGGGAGAGAGGGCTTCGGGCAGCCCCTGCCCACTACTCCTCCTCCCTCAACTGCTCCCGGTGTCCCCACTGCCCTCCAGCCTACGTGGGCAACGCTGACATGATCCAGCCTGACCTGACGCCACTGCAGCCCAGCCTCGACGACTTCATGGACATCTCAGGTGAGGCTGCATCCCCGCCTGCCCACCGGGTGGGGCACAGGGCCAGGGGTGAGCCCCGGGGGGCCCCCTCAGAGGGCAGGGGTGGCTCCTACCTGGTCTCTGGCATGGTCTGGCTTTGGGTGAGCACAGGGCTGAGCAGGGACAGGGCCCGGGGGCACAGGGCAGGGACAGGAACTAGGGGTACAACTGCTGCAGACGCTGGCACCCTCGGGGAGGCCGTGGACGTCCCTTGGGGACAGGGACTTGAGTGACTTTCATTTTACACATACTTCATCTTTATTTTATTTGAGGGTTTTTCTTGGGGGGGGCACACCCAGTGATAACTCAGGGGTTACTCTTGGCTCTGCACTCAGGAATCATTCCTGGCAGTGCTTGAGGGAGCCTATGGGATGCCAGGGATTGAACTTAGGTTGGCCGCATGCAAGGCAAACACCCTCCCCACTGTGCGATAGTTCTTGCCCCCATATTTAATTTTTATTTTTATTTATTTTTTTTTACTTTTTGGCTCACACCCAGCCATGCACAGGGGTTACTCCTGGCTCATACACTCAGGAATTACTCCTGGCGGTGCTTGGAGGACCATGTGGGATGCTGGGAATTGAACCCAGGTCCGCCGCGTGCAAGGCAAATGCCCTCCCCACTGTGAGATCGTTCTTGCCTCCATATTATTTATTTATTTATTTATTTATTTGGGCTGGAGCGATAGCACAGCGGTAGGGCGTTTGCCTTGTGCGCGGCCAGCCTGGCCGAGCTGGGTTCGATTCCTCTGCCCCTCTCGGAGAGCCTGGCAAGCTACTAAGAGTATCTCTCCGCACGGCAAAGCCTGGCAAGCTACCCATGTCGTATTCAATATGCCAAACACAGTAACAAAAAGTCTCAAAATGGAGACGTGCAAATTGATGAACAACGGGAGGACAGTAACAGTGATTTATTTATTTATTTATTTATTTATTTACTTTTGGGGTCCCACCCGGCGATGCACAGGGGTTGCCCCGGGCTCATGTACTCAGGAATTACTCCTGGTGGTGCTCGGGGGACCATATGGGATGCTGGGGATCGAACCTAAGTCGTCCGCATGCAAGGCAAACGCCCTACCCGCTGTGCGATCGCTCTTGCCCCCATATTTCATTTTCAAACGGTAAACATTTTCACGTTTAATTCTTCTCTCTCCTTCCCTCCATCACTTCCCTTCATCACTGGTGTGTTGGCAGCGACCAGGGCTGCGCCACGCCTGGCCACAGTACTCAGACAATCCTGGCGAGGGGCCAGCAGTTCCCAGGGGTCCCCGCTGCAGTGCTCACACACATGCTTCTCGGAGTCTCACGCCCGGGCCACCCCACGTTGTCCTTGTGCGACTCGTGGCTCTGGGGGATTGGAAGTGGCTTTCAGCACTGAAGACCCTGGACAGCTGAGCTGTCTGCCAGGTGCGGTGTGTATGTGGGGCCCAGGGATTTGAACCTGTGACCACATGTTTTGCAAGGCAGGCTCTTGGAGCCCCTCTGTTCTCCTTCCAGAACCTTTTAGTTGATTGTTGAAATGGTCAGCTAGGGGTCAGAGAGCTAGCTCTCACAAGACCTGAGCTGATCACGGCACAGCGAGATTCCCTGACCTTTCCAGCCAAACAGAATAAAATGAAGTGGGGCCTGGAGCCATAGTCTGGTGGGGAGGGTGCTGGCCTTGCACACGCCCAACCTGGGTTCAATCCCTGACACCCCATAAAGTCTACAGAGCCCACCAGGAGTGATCCCTTAGCTCAGAGCCAGAAGTCCACCTTGAGCATCACCAGGTGTGGCCCTCCCCAAACAAAACAAAACAAAACAAAACCCAAAAAAGAAAAAATAATTGTCTGAAGAGTGTTTCCAGGGACTGGAGCGATAGCACAGCAGGTAGGGTGTTTGCCTTGCATGCGACTGACTCAGGTTCGATTCCCAGCATCCCAAATGGTCCCCCAAGCATTGCCAGGAGTAATTCCTGAGTGCAGAGCCAGGAGTAACCACTGTGCATCGCTGGGTGTGACCCCAAAGCAAAAAAAAAAAAAAAAAAAGCACACACTGGCAGAAGGAGTGGCAGGGTGGACCTCGGGGCACAATCCCTGACTGGCCACTTATCCCTGGGGCTCTGGCTTCCGTTCACCGTGGCCCTCTGCCCTGGGCTCCCTGAGAAGGCCGGGGCTTCATTCTAGAAAGTTGTGCTTGGGGCTCGGGGGCAGCTCAGCGGCAGAGCTCCTCCTGGCCGGTGTTAGGCCCGGGTTGCAGGCCCTGGCCCCTCAGAAAGTCACGTGGTGTCCCTGTGTCTGCCCTGCCCTGGAGGGCCAGGCTCCGTGCCGGACACTCGGAGGGACGTTTTCTCCCTGGACTTCCTCCCTCGCCCCTCTCGCTCGCTCCCTCACTTGCACCCTGCAGATTTAGGAGAACAGCTCCTCGTGCTTTTAGGGCCCCGGAGGAGCCGAGCTGGGAGCCAGGCAGACCCTGGGCTTCAGGCCCTGGAGTCAATGAGGGTCTCCCTCCACCGCTTCCCCACAGGGTGGTGAGCCTGTCAGTCAAGAGCTAGGGCGGGGCCTCGAGAATGAGGAACCTCCCCCACCCTGCTGAGTCCCGGGGGCTGTGGGGTCACAGCGCTGATGGCACTGCCCTGGGAGCAGAGTAGCCTGGGCGAGCAGCAGTCCCGGGTGGGCACGAAGGCCCCTGCTACAGGTAGGAATCCCTAGCCTCCACCTGTCTCCAGCAGGAGCTGGCAAGGAGCTGGCAACTGCTTCTCTTCATCAGGGGCTGCTGGGAGCCGGGGCCATGGCTGTCTCTAGCTGGGGCTGTGGGTCCCAGGAGGGGCTGGTGTGCTGGGGAGGCTGGGGGGACCCCAGGGTTGTGGCTTGAGGTCTCCAGAGCCCCTCTCTTGAGAGGAAGCCCAGGGAGGGAGCTGGTGGGGGTGCTGGGTGGAGAGATAGGAGGAGGGTATGGGGGCTTGGCCAGCGGGGACCGAGTCTCCAAGGGACTCTGGACTCAGGCAGGGCAGGGGTACAGACCAGCCTGCGAACAGGGGCCAGCCGAGCCAGCTGAGCCCGGGGGTGGGCAGTGGGGGAGGAGGAGAGAGGGGGCACTGTAGGGCCTGACCACACTCTCTGCCATCAGCCTCTCTAGAAGGGGGCGCAGGACAGACTCATGCACACACAGAACCACATACTCGCACACAGACACACACGCACACATGGATGTACAGACACAGACACAGAACCACACCCAGACACACAGATACAGAGACTCACAGACATATAGGCAGAGATGTGCACCTACAGAGCCACACACTCACACATAGATACACACAGACACACACTGACTCACAGCTCCACACAGAGACAAATACACAGGTCTCCAGACACACATAGACGCACTTATAGACACACATAGGCACATGCGGACATAGAGGCACACACACACGCCTACACGTGTACACGCAGATGTGGGCCTGTGTCAGGCATGTGCCTGTCCAGGTCCTCCCATGTAGACAGCTCCAGACACTAGAGACACGGACCAACAGACAGACTTAGAGACTGAGGCTGCAGGTGACGCCCCAGGAAGGGGGGTTATATGTTGTCGCGATGCTACAACTGGGGTCACCCACAGACAAGGCAGGTGCCACCCCGCACCGGGTGGAAGCTTTGCTCTCTGGTGTTTTCACGGGGCTGGGCCGGAGCTCCGTCCGACAGTGCTGTGCTTACTTAGACGCGGGGTTCTGGGGTGCGGGTGATACGGCATGGGGTTGGGTCCACGTCCTCCACGCACACCTTCCAGCTGTGCTCCAGGTCTGACCCCAGCTGGGCTCAAGGCAGCTCCTCCGTGCCACTCCGAGTGCCTTCCAACGTGACCACTTTTAGAGAGAGGCCTGACCCTCAGGGCAGGGCAGGGCGTGCCTGTGAAGGAGTGGGGGGTGGGGCTGCCCGTCGAGGTCCAGGCCAAGGTCACAGGGCCACCAGGGTCAGAGAAAGGTGCCCGGAAGGGAGCGGGTGGCGGGTGGCACCCAAGCCCGGGATGTGGTCAGGCCACAGGCAGCCGCTTCCCAAAACCAGAATAGCCCAGGTCTTACACAACCGCACCCCAATCTGGCTGCCCGCGCCAGCCCTCGCCAGCGTCCAGCACCCGCGTCCTCCCCGGCACTGCCCCCTGGTCCCTGCTATCAGCCCCAGAGCCCATCACAGACCCACTGTGTCCCAACACCCTGACTCACCCGGGGCGCCTCCCACCCCTCCCCTTCCCCTTCACCCCACCCTTCCCCGCTGACCTCCTCAGTCATCCCTTCTGTGACCCCAGCAGAGCAGAAAGTAAGTGTCCAGGCAGACCTAGGGACCCAGAAGGAGGTGTCCAGTGTGGGCTCCTGGGAGAGGCACCCCCAGATCTCCCACCTACGCCGGGAGTCTGGCGGCGTCTCCTACGTGAGACAGACTCTGCTGGTTTCACAATTCCTGGGGAACCCCCCTCTTCCTCACCCTAATTGCACCCCCCACATGTCTGAATCACAGATTTCTTCACCAACTATCGCCCCCCACCCACGCCCACGCCGTCGAACTTCCCGGAGCCCCCCAGCTTCAGCCCCATGGCCGAGCCCCACTATGGCAGCGGACTCCTGGGTGCTGAGGTGCCCCCCGCCCCCCCGGCCATGGCCTACCTCTCAGGGCACCACGGTCTGCAGGTGAGCTCACTGCCCTCCCTGCTCAAGTGCTCAGGGAGAAAGAGCCCAGGGCACAGAACTGGATGGGACGCAGCCAGCAAGGCACCCCCAGGGCTGGGTCGCTCATTTGGGTGCAGAGTTTCTGGGGAGGGGGGTGGTCCAGAAGACCTTGCTGTCCTGAGTGGATGGGCTCTGGGTGTGTTTTGAGGAAGTTGGAGCCTGCATTTGATGATAGGATGATAGGACTCCAGGACCAGCTCCCAGGTCCAGTGCTCCTCCGAGCCCTCGTCTGCTCCCAGGCTCCGATGCCGGCTTCGGCTCCTGACACCCCTGGCTCCTGGCCACGGCAGTTTCTCTAGTTGGACAGCCCAGGCAGTGATGGCCCAAAACTGAGCAAGGGAGGGACGAGGGGATGGGTGGATGGACATGTGTGCGAGCAAGGAGGGATGTGTGTGGTAGGTGGAGGCAGACATGGACACAGGCTGATGGCAGGTAGAGCCGGGGACTTTTGGTGGCTGGAGGGGTGGGCTGTAGACAGAGCCTGGTGTGAGAGGTGGGTGAGTAGCTAACGGATGGATTGGCGGTGGGTTATGAATTTGCCAGTGGGTGAATGAAGTGGAGTTGAAGGTGCGGATGGTTGAGGGTGAAGACCTGGAAGGCCGGTGGAGCTGGGCATGTGAACTAGGTCATAAGGGAGAGAACACCGCAGTCAGTGAACGGGCAATGATGGATGGAGGAGTTAGAAGCTGGATTTGTGGGTGGATGGGTGGATGGAAAGATGATAGGTTGGTAGATGGGTGAATGAGTGGGGGATGGATGGCTGTATGGGTAGCTGGATGGATGGATGACTAGGTGAGTGGATGGATGGGTGCATGAGTGGATGGATAGATGGATGGATGGATCAGTGAGTGGATGGATGGATGGATAGATGGATGGATGAGTGGATGGATGGATGGATGGATGGATGGATGGGTGAGTGGATGGATGGATGGATGGATGGATGGATGGATGGATGGGGTGCATGAGTGGATGGATGGATGGGTGAGTCAATGGATGGATGGGGTGCATGAGTGGATGGATGGATGGATGGATGGATGGGTGGGTGGGTGAGTCGATGGATGGATGGGGTGCATGAGTGGATGGATGGATGGATGAGTGAGTGGATGGATGGATGGGTGAGTGGATGGATGGATGGGGTGCATGAGTGGATGGATGGATGGGCGAGTCGATGGATGGATGGGATGCATGAGTGGATGGATGGATGGATGGATGGGTGAGTCGATGGATGGATGGGGTGCATGAGTGAGTGGATGGATGGATGGATCAATGAGTGGATGGATGGATAGGGTGCATGAGTGAGTGGATGGATGGATGGATCGATGAGTGGATGGATGGATGAATGGGTGCATGAGTGGTTGGGTGGATGTATGGATGGGTGCATGAGTGGATGGGTGGATGGATGGATGGGTGTATGAGTGGATGGATGAATGGTTCAATGGTGGGTGGATGAGTGTTGGATGGATGGGTGGGAAGATGGAAGAGTGGATGGGTGGATGGATCAATGGATAGATGGCGGGAGGCTGGGTTGATGAACAGATAAATGGATGGTGGGTGACAGATGAACAGATGATGGGTGGGTGGGTGAAGATGGTTGGTTGGAGGACTGCATGGAGGGTAGGAAGCATATCTGGCCCGTGCCTGAACAGGCTGTCCCCCCATTTAGAGTCTCACAGCTGAGCTGCCCTGGGACAGGGCTTCTTCCTCAACTCAAGACCAGGTTTTCTGAGGGACCAATAAGGCCAGCTTTCTCCCCATTTTGTCCCCCCACCCAGGCTCAGAGCAGCTGCCCTGTCCCCCTGGACTCCGGCGCTTTCCTCAGCTCCGAGTTTCTCCTTCGGGAAGACCCCAAGTCCAAGCACCCACCTGTCCCACTCCTCCACTACCCGGCCCCCGACAAGGGGCCCTGCCTGGAGCCCTGCGCCCCCACCCGCTTCAGGCCCCCAGCCCCGCCCCCACCCCCTGCTTTGCTGCCTGAAGAGCCGGTTTTCTCGCCCAGGTTCCCCTACCCAGCAGTGCCCCCCACCCCGGACTTCTCCCCACTGCCGGCCCCCACAACCTTCGCCCCCACCCAGCCGCTGCCACCGGGCCCTGGCCCCACCCCAGCCCGTTTCCCGCTGGACCGTCTCTCCTCGGGCTATCCCGAACCTCCATTTGGGCCTCATTTCGCGGTGCCCCAGGGCGTGAGACCCAGAGGCAAGCCCCCCGCCCAGAATCCTCGGGGGCGGAAGCCCAGTCCCCCCACCTTGGCCCCTGCCACGGCCAGCCCCACCGCGGGCAGCACCAACCCGTGCCTCACGCAGCTGCTGACAGCAGGTGAGTCTGGACAGACGGCGGGTGGACACGGCGCCCCTGACTGGAAGGGGAGGTGAGGCGGGGTCCCGGGGGTCCCTCACTGTTCTGTCTGTGCACAGCCAAGGCCGAGCAAGCCCTCGAACCTCCCCCGGCGTCCGGCGCCCTTCTCCAGCCCCCAGAGTCCCCGGTAAGGTGGTGGCTACAGTAGGGAGCTGGGGTGCCCCCCGGGGCTGCTCCCGACTCACGGCCCCTCCGCACGCCCCGCAGAAAGCAGTGCCTGACGCCCCCTGCGCCTTCTTCCCATCCACCCTGGCGCCCGCGCCGCCCCGACCCCCTCCGGGCCCGGTCCCGCGGGCCCCACCCCGGCCCCTCGTTGTCCCCAAAGCTGAACGGCTGTCGCCGCCGGCGCCCAGCGGTAAAGACGGGACCCGGGAGTCGGGCGGGAGGTGCGGCGTGGGGGGGCCGGGGGCCACGTTGGGGGCCCAGGCGGCAGGAACCGGGCAACGGGATCGTCTCCCTCGTGTCCTTCTGTCCGTGGGTCTGTCTGTTCCAGCCGCAGGAGGCGAGCGGCGGCCGTCTGCGGAGCTCAACGCGCTGCCCGGTCCCGCGGCGCCCTTGGGCGCGCGCCTCTCGCCCCCGCACCCGGTCCCGAGCCGGGGCCGGCCCGACAGCCACAAGGTGGGCGCCCTCCTCTCGCCCCCCAGCGGCCCCTCTGCCCGCGCCCCGCCCCCGCGCCGTCCGCGCCGCCGGGGTCCTGCTGCCCGAGCCCCTCGTGCTCCCGGGGTCTTGCTGCCAGCGCCCCGCGCGCCCCGCGCGTCGCCCACCCCCCGGGGTCCTGCTGCCCGTGACCCCCGCTCCCCCCCTCGCAGCCCGCGGCCCCGGGGTCCTGCTGCCCGCGACCCCTCGCGGCCCCGGGGTCCTGCTGCCCGCGCCCCTCGCGCCCCCGGGTTTCTGTTGCCCGCACCCCTGGGGTCCTGCTGCCCGCGCGCGCCGCCCGCGCCCCTTGCGCCCCCCGGGGTAATGTTGCCCGAGTCCCCGGGGTCCTGCTGCCCGAGCCCCGCGCGCCGCCCGCGCCCCCGGGGTCCTGCTGCCCGCGCCCCCCGTGGCCCCGCGCTCACGCGCCCGCCGCCCGCGCCCGCAGACCGAGAGCCGCCGCATCACGCACATCTCGGCCGAGCAGAAGCGCCGCTTCAACATCAAGCTGGGCTTCGACACGCTGCACGGGCTGGTGAGCACGCTGAGCGCGCAGCCCAGCCTCAAGGTGAGCGACAGAGCCCGCGGCGGGGAGCCGGCACGCCCGGCCGCCCGGCCGGGGGCGGCCCCTGAGCCCCGCGTGCCCGCAGGTGAGCAAGGCCACCACGCTGCAGAAGACCGCCGAGTACATCGCCATGCTGCAGCAGGAGCGCGCCGCCCTGCAGGAGGAGGCCCAGCAGCTGCGCGACCAGATCGAGGAGCTCAACGCGGCCATTAAGTAGGTGGGCCGGGGGCGGCCGGGCCCCCCAGAGCACGGAGCGGGGGACCGGAGCCGTAGTCGGGCGGGGAGGACGCCAGACCCAGGTTCCATCTCCGGCATCCCGGGGCTACCCCCCACAGCCCGCCTGGAGAGATCCCTGAGCACAGAGCCAGGAGTAAGTCCTGAACATCCCAGGGTATGGCCCAAAAGCAAAAAAAAAAAATTTTTTTTTTTTTTTTTGCTTTGTGGGTCACCCCGGCGATGCACAGGGGTTACTCAGGAATTACCTCTGGCAGTGCTCAGGGCACCATATGGGATGCTGGGAATCGAACCGGGTTGGCCGAGTGCAAGGCAAATGCCCTACCCGCTGTGCTATTGCTCCAGCGCCCCCCCCCCCAATTTTTTTAAATGTTAAAGAAGATCAAAGCACCTGGAGGGGGGTGCTTCACCTGTAGGGGTAGGAGCCCCGGGATCTGTACCCCAGCTCTGAGCTCTGCCCGCCAAAAAGAATCCCTCTGGAAAGTGCCCTATAAAAGTAAGATGAGGGGACCAGAGCCATAGGACAGTGGGGAGGGCACTTGCCTTGCACACTGCCGACCCAGGTTAAACTACAGGCATCCCTAGAGCACCAGTAGGATTAGTTCCTGAGTGCAGCCAGGAGTAACCTGTAACCCGGGAGCACTGCTAGGTGTGGTCCCCAAACAAAACACAAACAAATAAATGAGTAAGGTAGCAGAGTTGGAGGAGCAGTGTGGGGGGTAGGGCACCTACTTTGCACGTGGCTGACTTAAGTTCAGTGCCCAGCACCCCACATGACCCTCCAGGCCCCATCAGGAGTGATCCCTGAATTGGGTCAAGGAGGAAGTTCTGAGCACCACTAGGTGTGACCACCTCCCACTCCACACGCACACACCAAAAGAAAACAAAACAATAAAAAAGACAAATAAAAGTCAGGTGTCCTGCGCTGTCGAACAGCAGGGAGGACGCTTGCCTTGCGTGGGGCTGATCCAGGTTCGATCCCCGAAATCCCATATGGTTTGTCAGTACAAAATGTTAGAACTTGATGAATTGACTTTTTTTTTTTTTTTGGCTTTTTGGGTCACACCGGACGATGCACAGGAGTTACTCCTGGCTCTGTACTGAGGAACTACTCCTGTCCGTGCTCAGGGGACCATATGGGATGCTGGGAATCAAACCCAATAGGGCGAGTGCAAGGAAAACGCCCTACACACTGTGCTATCGCTCCAGCCCCCCGATAGATTGTCATTTTTAAATAAATTTTTTAAATAAATTTAAAAAATTAAAAAATAAAAGGCAGTGCTGGGGAACTAGCTGGAGAGGCTCACACTCAAATACTTAACGTGCTTCCAGGCACCCAGGAGTAGCTTCTGACACCCCCCCCAAAAAATAGGAAGGACAAAGGGCTGGAGAAATAGTCCAGGGGGTAAGGCATTTGTCCTGCTTGTGACCGACCCCCTTTCAATCCCTGGCCCCTCATAGACCCCCCTCAAAGTACCACCAGGGGTGATCCCTGAGCACAGACCAAGGAATAATCAATGAGCACTACCAGATGGGGCTCCCAACCCCCCAAATAAGTAAACAGGTGGGGGGTGCTGTGAGCTCTGGGCCAAGGACCTGACCTGAGCCCTGCGCCCTAGTTTATGCCAGCAGCAGCTGCCCGCAACGGGGGTGCCCATCACACACCAGCGCTTCGACCAGATGCGGGACATGTTTGACGACTACGTCCGGACCCGCACACTGCACAACTGGAAGTTCTGGGTCGTATCCTCCCGGCTCTGGTGGTCCCGCAGTGGCTCCCGCTAGCCAGGACGAAGAGCTGTCCCCGGGGGTGGGGGTGGGGGTGGGGGGACTGGGAGTGAAGGAAAACTGAGGAAGGGGCTTCTTGTTCTGAGGCCCCAACTTCCTTCCTTCCCCCAGTCCCCATTACAGGGAGTGGCTAGTTTGAGGGACAGGCACCCTTAGAGGGGACAGTCTCTGGTTCCCTTAGATAGTGCCATGTTTGTCTCACTGGGACAGGCCGCCAAGGTATGGAGACAGCTGCTGTCCAGGAGGAGGTGTGGGGCATCAGAGTGGCCAAGATGGGACAGCCAGTGAGGTGGACACTCCTGGCTGGAAGGGAGGGTGGCCAGAGCAGGGTGGGGAGGTCCGAGGTTCCACCTGGCCAGGCCCTTCCCCTGGCCTCAGGGCTCTGGGGTTCCCCCCCCTCCAATCCTGCTCCTTGACTGGGCCGCAGTTCAGTATTCTCATCCGGCCTCTGTTCGAGTCCTTTAACGGGATGGTGTCCACGGCCAGCCTGCACAGCCTCCACCAGACCGCGCTGGCCTGGCTCGACCAGTACTGCTCTCTTCCTGTCCTCCGGCCAAGTATGCATGGGTCTCCCCTGCTCAGACACCTGGCTTCCCCCACCACACCTCTGAGGTTGCCCTGGTGACCCCCAAACCCATGGAGCCTGAAGCCTTGGGCCTGGCTAGTGGGGGTCTCACCGGAGTAGCCTCTCGGGAGAGCCCGCTCCCAACAGAGCCAAGTCATCTGTCCACTCCCCGTGACCCCCGGGTGCTCTGGGCACCAGGACACTTTCAGATTAGGCACTAGGGGGTGACAGTCTTGCCAGGTCCCCCCCAGGAGAGAGCTAGAGCCCAGAGACACTCCCGCCTCTCTCCCCCCAGCCGTGCTGAACTCCCTCCGCCAGCTGAGCACGTCCACGAGCATCCTCACGGACCCCGGCTGCATCTCGGAGCAGGCCAAGCGTGCTGTCACCCAGGGCTCCCCGAACAAGCCTCTATAGACGGACCCGGCTGCGGGCCTCAGGGACAGCCTCTGCGTACCACCCTCTGGCCCAGGCCCTGGCGGTGCCCTCTCCTGTGGGTTGAGCTCTGGACCAGCCTTCCCCAGCAGTCGCAGCTGCCAGAACTCAATACTCCTGCCCCCATGGGCCTCCATTTTGCTGTCTGCCAAATGGGGAGGAACAGCTTCTGCCGGATGTTGATCTGAGGCCTGGGGGAAGGGGGCAGCCTCTGGCTAGCAACTCAGGGAAACTTCTTGAAGGAAGGGGGAAGAAGAAGACGGTCCTCCTTCCTTCCCCGTCACCCCTCCTCCCCAGAGGTGGGGTGCCAGCCAGTTTCTGAACAGAGAAGGGGCTAAGGAGGTTCCTTCCTGGGGGCAGAGACCGCAATGCACTGTGTGTTTTTTGCACATGTCAGACCCAGGTTTGATCCCCAGAACCCAGCACACCCAAGCTCCAAGCTGGGAGTAGCCCCTGAGCACCCCCAGGTGTGGCCCCAAAACAAAACAAAACAAAAACAAACCAAAGAGGTGATTCCCTCCCTTGGTGTTTCTGTGCTAACTTTGAAGGGGTGCGGGGTTGCTGGCTGGCATCACGGTGGAAGGTCAGAACCCCATCTTCTCTTGTGCGTGGATGTGTGTGTGTGCATGCGTGTGCGTGTGTGTGCGTGCGTGCGTGCATGCGTGTGTATTTTGTAAAGAATTCTTGACCAATAAAAACAAAAACCCAGCAAGCTGTTGGCAGTGGGAGGCGAGAGACCCCTAGTTCGGTCTCTGATCAGAATCGCTGGGAGGTTCTGAGCTGAGATGCAGCAGATCAGCTGGGTCGGAACCCTGGCAGCAGCCTGGTCCACACCATTGAGCCACCAGATCTGCAGTGCCAGTGCCATGGCAGGGAATGGCCGCTGGGCTCTCTGAGCACGGCTGGCGTCCTGGAGAGATAATCCTGCTTACTCTGCATGCCGCTGGCATGGGTTCAGTTGCAGGGCCCCCACCAGGAGTGAGCCCTCAACACAGCTGAGTGTGCCCCCGCCAAACAGATAAAAGGTGAGATACTGCTATAGTTAAGACAAGAACAGGTGATGCAGGAATCTATGGTAGATTCAACTAAAATCAACAAACTGGGCTTCATCCCCGGCCCCATATTTACCCCTGAGCCCCACCAGGAGTGATCCTTGAGCACAGAACCAGGAGTAGGCCCTGAGCACTCCTGGGTGTAGACACAAACCCCTCCAAAAACAACAACAAAAAAAACCCTCAAAGGTGGGAAATATTCAGCGGGGAGGATCAGGGTAGCCATGCCTCTGGGGAGGAGGGAGAGACTGCTTGGGTCCAGTGCTCGCTCCCATCCCTGGGAAAAGGACAGCACCCTGGAAATCCTGCTTGCCCTTTGGCCAGGAAAGATTCAGAGGCGCTGACCTGATTGGAGAAAGGCAGAGCCAGGACCAGTACGCATGACAGGGTCTTACTTATGGACTCATCTAGAAAGATGTTAAGGTCAGAGCAATAGGACAGCAGGGGGGGCACTGACCTCCTATGCAGCTGACCCAGGTTTAATCCCCAGCACCCCATATGGTTCTCCAAGCACCTCCAAAACTGCTTCCTGAGTGCAGAGGCAGGAGGAAGCCCTGAGCTTAGTGGGTGCAGCGCCCATCTCCCACGACCAAAAAACAAAGGCTGCTGCCTGGTCATGAGCTCCCCAGATACAAAACTCAGGGAGAATGGTCTGGGTGACCCTACTGCGTCCCCTATAACCTCCTCCCTGAAGAAGCACCCCCACTTTCCGTCCCCTGGCAAGCGCCTGACTGTGCCAGCTCCCTGCTGGGAACCCCATACTCTCCCCCTGCTCCGATTTCCCCAGACCCACGGTACAACAACAGCATGCCCAATGGGGACCCTTCTGATTCCTTCTTCTGAGTGTTCCTCACCTTTCTTTTTTGAGGGTCACCAGTGCTCAGGCAGCCCAAGGGCCACACAGGTGACACTCTACCTGCATGAGGTTCAACGTGCAGCCTCCAGAACATGGCAGGGCCCCAACCCAGTGGTGCGTGGGGTCATCTAGACCATACCAGGCAATGCCATGCTGTGGGGAATTGAACTGTGGGGCTAGCATGTGCTCTAGTACATGGAGTCACTCGCTGGCCTAATCCCTACCTCGTGTGTATGTGTGTGTGTGTGTGTGAGTGTGTGTGTTACTTTGGGGCCACACCCAGCATTCTCAGGGCTTATTCCTGGCTCTGCATCCTGGAATCTCTGGTGGGGTTCGGGGGACCATATATGATGCCAGGGGTTGAACCCATGTCAGGTGCATGCAAGGCCCCAGCCCTCCCTGCTATATGCTCACTCCTCTAGCGCCTCCCACAGCAACATGGCGTGGGAACCACAGCACGGTGTCCAAATCAGGAAGCTGGCCTTGAGGACAGTCCAGAGGATTCCAAGTCGGCCTGGGTTGGCCACGTGCAGAACGAGTTTCCTACCCGCTGGACTATCACTCTGGGACTCTACCTACTTCTTCACCTCCAGGAGCCAAAACAGAACCCATGAATTCTGAGACTGTACACAATCTTCCCCTTTCATACCTGGTCTCCCACGTGCCCCCATCCCCCAAGAAGGTTCACTCTGTGCCCTCAGCCCCAGGCAGGTCTGGAGACCAACCGAGATGCCAGGGGTTAAACCTGGCTTAGCCATGTGCAAGGCAAGCACCTTCCTACCTGCTGGACTCTCTCTCTCCAGCCTCCTGTTTTGTCTCTAGAAGGTGAAGAGAGCAGTTCACAGTTGGGCCTATCATGCTAAGTAAATGGAGGAGGAAATGTCCCCAGGGTGCTCTGGGCACCTCCTCCTAGCCCTCCCCACCCCACTCCCCAGTCCTGTCAACACCAGGCTCCTCCAACCAAGGCCAAAAGGGAAGGAAGTGAGGCCCCTCCATTTGTTCTCAGACTGGCTCTGTTTCCTCAGCAGAGGTTGCGGGTGTGTCTGTCTGTCCAGCCTCCACACCAGCCTGTTTCCTGAAGGCTCCACAAAGGAGACTCCGTGGTGGGGTGGAAGGGTGGAAAGTTCTGGAATCCAGATGCTCGTGTTTTTTTTTTTCTCCCCCCCTCCGCTTTATTCCAATGCTGTGGTTTACAACGTTGTTCTTGATGGTTTATTACAGGCATTCACTATCCCGCCACCCGTTACCTTCCCTCCGTCACTGTCCCCATTTGTCCAAGCATCTCTCAAGCCTGCCCTTGTAAGCAGGTCCACAATTTATTTTACATTGCTTGTAATCACTAAATGGCTACTGGAATGATAAAATAAGTAAAAGAGAAAGTGAAAATTATCTCTTACTCTGGGGATGGGCTGGAGTGATAGCACAGCCGGTAGGGCGGTTGTCTTGCACGCGGCCAACCTGGGTTCAATTCCTCAGTTCCTCTTGGAGAGCCCGGCAAGTTACCGAGAGTATCCGCCCACACAGCAGAGCCTGGCAAGCTCCCCGTGAAGTCTCACAATGGAGACGTTACTGGTGCCCGATCGAGCAAATCGATGAACAACGGAAGGAAGGACGGTGCTACAGTGCAGTGTTACCCTGGGGACATTAAGTCCTTGTCTGAGGGTTTACTGAGCTGCTGTTTGTTGAGCCTTCTGTGTTAACTTTTTTTTTAGTTGTGCTTAGTTGGCTTCTATGTTACATCCCATCCAATGTGGTGTGCTCCTACTGGGATGTTAGCATTGCTGAGAGTGGAGCTGTCCAGAAAATCTAGAATATTTAGCTGGGCAGTGAGCTTAAGATGGCAGTGGTGGTTGAAATGTGGATGTCACTGCTAGGGCTTCCAAAAGTGCAAGGGGGGTTGTGGGGGAGGCCGCTCACCCCAACTTCAAAAAGACCTGGAGTTTTCAGCCAAAATAAACCCAGCCGTACCTTAAATTTCTGCAGGCAAGCAACTCTGTGGAGCTCAGTTGTGAGGCAGTAAAGTCTTGCCTGAGGCATGGCTGCAGTTTCTGGGGTGTGAATGTGGCTGTCGAAGCTTTGGTAGGGCAGGCTGATCTGCTGGCCCACCCCCCTCCCAAGATTGCCCTGGAGGTTTCAGCTGGCACTGGGGGGATACAGAAATTTTTGCAGTTAGTTGATCTCTTTTGAGATTTAATTATGAGTTTCTGGAACAGACAGGTAGGTGAGCTTCCTTGGAGTAACAATGCTGTGACTTCTCGTAGCACTAGAGCTGGGCACCCCCAGCAGAAATGTTCTGGAAAGATCCTTCTCTCAGCCAGGAGTGCTAATCCTAAATATCCCTGCCCTACAGAACAGTTCTTTTTGGTGTACTCTGAATACTCAGTAGAGTCCTCAATGCCAGCTTCCTGGTTTGGACATCATGCCCCGGTTCCGAACCAGCTGTGGGTGGCGCTGCAGGAGAGACAGTAGAGTAGGGAGGGCTTCAGCCTTGCATGCGGCTGACATGGGTTCAATCCGTGGCATCATATATGGTCCCCAGAACCCTGCCAGGAGGATCCCTGAGTGCCGAGCCAGAAGTAAGCTGAGTACCACCGAGTGTGGCCCCAAGCCCGCAAACAAAATGGGGGTGCCTATGATGTGCACATGGAAACTTCCTATTTAGCTTTGATTTAGGGCCACACCCAACATGCCTTGGGGACCAAATGCAATGGGGCTCGGAGGAAAAAAATGCGGTGCTAGGGCTCGAACCTAGGTCGACGATACTGTACTACCTACTTCTCGGGCCCCCACCAGTAAATTAAGGATCGACAGAGAACACAGATCTGGTTCCACAGGGCCAGGGTTTTGTTTTACTTTTGGGGCCACGTCCGGAGGTGCTCAAGAGTTTTACCCCTGACTCTGTGTTCGGGAATCACTCCTGGTGGGGCTCGGGGGACCGTATGGGGTGCCGGGGATCCAACCAGATGGGCCAGGTGCAAAGCAAAAGCGCTAGCCTCTGTGCTATCGCTGAGACACCGGGCCCAGACAGTTTAGATCTCAACGGTCAGGCCCCATCCCCCCAGGTCCAGCTCAAGACACGCCCATCTGCCAGGCCCCGCCCCAAAGCTCCCCAACGGCCAGGATGCGCTCAAGACACTCTCATCGGCAAAGCCACGTCTCCAAGGCGCCCCAACGGCGGTTGCGCGCAAGGCACGCCCATCTGTAAAGCCCCGCCCCCGAGGCGCCTCACCGGCCAGGCCGAGGTCAAGACACGCCCATCCGCAAAGCCCCGCCCCTGAGGCTCCCCAATGGCCAGGCCCGCTCAGGCCCCGCCCCCATGGTTCTCTTTGGGACGGGACCCGCCCCTCGGGAAGCCCAACGGCCGGGCCGCGCTCCGAACACGCCCATCTGCAAAACCCCGCCCCCAAGGCTCCCCAACGGTCAGGGCGCGCTCAAGGCACGCCCATCCAGAAAGCCCCGCCCCTGAGACTCCCCAATGGCCAGGCCCGCTCAGTCCCCGCCCCCATGGTCCTCCCAACGGCCGGGACCCGCCCCTTGAGAAGCCCAACGGCCAGGGAGCGCTCAAGACACGCCCATCCTCAAAGCCCTGCCCCCGAGACTCCTCAACGGTCAGGCCCCGCCCCCAGGCCCTCCCAACGGCCGGGCCCCGCCTCTCGAGGCGCACTAACGTCCCGGCCCCGCCCCTTGGGAAGCCCAACGGCCGGGCCCCGCCCCGGCGCGTGCGCGGCCCCGCGGAAACGTGCGGGCGCCCGCGGAGCCCGAGGCTGAGCTGGCAGTGGGGCTGGCCACCATGGAGTTGCCGCAGACGCCGGAGCTGATGGGGCTGTCCCTGCTGCTCGGGCTGCTAGCTCTGATGGCCACTGCGGCGGTGGCGCGGGGATGGCTGCGCTCCGAGGAGAAGTGCCGCCGGCCGGCCGGTTAGTGGGAACGGGCGGGCCCGGGGCGCCCCAGCCCTCCTGCAGCTCGGGCCTGCGGGGTTTGTGCCGGGGGATCCCCCGAGCTCGGTTTCTCGTGTTGTGAAGTGCCGCCCCGCCGGGCTGGTCGCGCCCCTTGGGCGGGACGGCTTGGACGCCGGGTCCCCCGCGGCCGCGCTCGCTGCCCGAGGCCGCCCCGGGGTCTCTGAGCCGCAGCTTCTCCCCCGGGCGGCCACGAGAAGCTCGAAAACGCCCAAGTGCCCTCGGGTTTTTGAAGGCGCGGCGGCGGTGGGGACTCATTCATTGTAGCCGCCCCCCCCGGATGTGCGGCCACGTGTACCGTGTGCCTGCCGGACGCCTGCCAAGCGCAGGAGGTCTTCCTTTTGGAGAGCCCACTCCGGGGAGGGAGAGGATCCCGTTACCGTGCTGGTGCAAAAGGAGGGTGATCAGTTTCTGGGCCGAGGAACCGGCTGGAAACCCGAACTCCCGGGGTGGGCGTGGTCGGCCCGGCCTCACTTCCTGGGGACCTGGAGATCTGTACCTGGTTCAGTGCTGCACGACGTCCCCGAGGCGGCTAAGCGAGTGGCTGCGGGGGTGCTTGCAGGGCTGGGGATCGACCTGGGGCTCTTGCACGGAAAGCCTGTGCTCCTGCCCTTGGGAACCATCTCCCCCAGCGCTTTTTCTTTCTCCTTTGCGGGTAGGTCCAGGAAATGGACCCTGAGAGTTGGGGAACCCCAGCGGTGGAACCTGGAAGTATAGACTTCTTAGAGTTTGCCAGGGAGCCAAGAAAGGACTATTTCCTGGCAAAAGTCGAATGAAGACCAGGAGCCCTGAAATGGCCTTTGCTTGGATTGCGGCCAGGGTTGGGTGATGATGACCCAGCGACATTCTATAATAACGTTTGTGGGAGCTGGGCGCCCAGCAGCCTTGCCCTGCCAGCCTGATGCTTTGCCAGATTCTTAGCTATTTGACGCAGAAGAGTGGGTGCCTGAGACTCATCCCTCTGTGTGCACTGGGGTTTCTCTGAGCCTCTGATGATTGTGCACTGTCCTCCACTAGTCCTTTTGTAGACATTATCCAATACTCCCAGCCGCTTTTAAGGCCCAGAGCAACTAAGTGACTTCCCCGAGGCCGGGGGCTGAGGGCCAATGTCCCCCTTCATCAGGCTGTGAGGCTACTCTGCCAACACCAGCTTGGAGAAGACACCGTTGAGGTTTATGAAGGTGCCATGTGGGCTGCAGACCCGAGCACCCTCATCCAGACCGCTTTATGACAGAGACACAGTGCAAACCAGGCTTGGTTCCAGAGCCTTTGTGTTGCCGTTATCTGCTGCCCCTGCTGTCCTCAGCGCCTGGCCAGTCATGGGAGGCCAGTCAAGAGTGAGAGCCCAGGGACTGGAGCAATAGCACAGTGGGTAGGGCGTTTGCCTTGCACGAGGCCGACCTGGGTTCGATTCCCAGTATCCCATATGGTCCCCCGAGCACCGCCAGGAGTAATTCCTGAGTGTAGAGCCAGGAGTAACCTCTGAGCTTTGCCGGGTGTGACCCAAAAACCAAAAAAAAAAAAAAAAAATAGGAAAAGTGAGAGCCCAGGTGTCCCAAAATAGAGGAGGTATGGCTAATGGGTGGGAAAGTTAGATATGACAAAGGTGGTGAAGTGTCATGTATGATACCCTATTTGCAACAGTGCTGTAAACCACAGAGTCAAAACACATAAAAAAGAGCCTCTCCTAGAAGCAGACTGGTGAGTGGGGCGTTTGCCTTGTACCCGGCCGACCCGGGTTCAATCCCCGGCATCTCATATGGTGCCCTGAGCACTACCAGGACTAATTCCTGAGCGCAGAGCCAGGAGTAAGCCTTGAGCATCGTTGGGTGTGGCCCCAAAACCATTTAAAAAAAAAAATGAGGATGGCTGGGTGACAGTATCTTTCTTTCTAGACCAGAAAGCCAATGGGGTGCCAGTGTCAAAGTCTGTAAGTTCCAAAAAGCAGAAGCAGCAGTTGCGGGGTCGCAAGGAGAAGCCCCAGCAACACAACTTCACCCACCGGCTCCTGGCTGCAGCTCTGAAGGTAGGGGATGCCCACCCCACACCTACAGGCAGAACCCAGTGGGGAGGCCTCGTCCTCGCCCTTTCCCAGGCCCATCCCACTGTGTCAGCTTCCCTGTGCGGCTGCTGGTTTAGGGGGTCCCGTTCACTCTTCCTGCACCCGTCCCCCTAGAGCCACAGCGGGAACATCTCTTGCCTGGACTTTAGCAGCAATGGCAAGTACCTGGCCACCTGTGCCGATGACCGGACCGTCCGCATCTGGAGTACCAAGGACTTCCTGCAGCGGGAGCACCGCAGCATGCGCGCCAACGTGGAGTTAGACCACGCCACCCTGGTGCGGTTCAGCCCCGACTGCAGGTGGGACAGGAGGGAACCCCAGACTGGGGACCGTGTTTGGGGGGCAGGACGTGGTGAGCAGTGTGCACTTGCAGAGCTTGGGCACCGCCCGGAGCTCCTTGGAGGACTCTGCCCTTCCCCTGCCTGGCCGCAGCTCTGTGAGTCGATGGCCGACACCTGGCCTCCAAGTTGGTCTTGGAAGTGTTGCACCCAGGCGTTGCTCAGGGGTTACTGCACGCTCTGCACTCAGGCATCATTCCTAGTGATGCTTGGGTGACCTATGGGATGCCGCGGATCAAACCCAGGTTGGCTACGTGCAAGGCAAACGCCCTCCTTGCTGTGCTGTTGCTCTACCCAGGCCACAGTGCAGTGATTTGTAAACCCAGGGCTGGAGCGCTTTGAGGCCTGTCTTCAAGCGACTTCGAAGAGATTTGAACCCTGGGGTGGTGGTGGGGAGGGGCGGTTTGTTAAGTTAGAAGGTGGGCAAGAGGGATGGCAGGTGCAGGTCTTTTGAGGGTTTTTTTTTTTTTCTTTTTGGGTCACACCCGGCGATGCTCAGGGGTTACTCCTGGTTCTGCTCTCAGGAGTTACTCCTGGCGGTGCTCAGGGGACCATATGGGATGCTGGGAATCAAACCCGGGTTGGACGCATGCAAGGCAAATGCCCTACCCACTGTGCTATCACTCCAGCCCCTTTTGAGTTTTTTGTTGGTTGTTTTTTTTTCTTTTTGGTTTTTGGGGCCACACCCGGTATGCTCAGGGCTCACTCAGGGATCGCTCCATAGGGGAACTAATGGAATGCTGGGGATCGAACCTGGGTGCCTCCCCTGCTGACCCAGCTCTGCAGTCCTGTGATTATTCTTGAAGCTAGCATATATCCACGGAGGGCCTGTGTGACCACGTGAGTGACCGTGTTTCTGCCGCCCGTCTCCAGGGCCTTCATTGTCTGGCTGGCCAATGGAGACACCCTCCGGGTCTTTAAAATGGCCAAACGAGAGGACGGGGGCTACACTTTCACCGCCAGCCCGGAGGACTTCCCTAAGAAGCACAAGGCCCCCATCGTCAACATTGGCATCGCTGACACAGGTAGGGGCAGCTGAGGGTGGGTGGCACGCGCCCAAGGGGAGGGGACATGGCTCTCCGGGTAACTGTGTCCGTGCTGGCTGGAGGTCTAGGATGGAGGCTAAGGCATTTTTGCCTTGCGTGCCCCAACCCTGGTTTGCTCCCTGATACTGCGTAGGATCCCCCAAGCACCGCTAGGTGTGCCCACCACCCAAAAAACTTGCAAAATCAATACTATGCGTGTGGCCTGAGAGAACAGCGGGTAGGGTGCTCGCCTGGCACAGGACAGACCCAGGTTCTACCCCCAGCTACCTATATGGTCCTCTGAGCCCACCAGGAGTGATCCCTAAGTACCCGCAGGTAGGGTTCCCAAACCAAAAATAAATCAGAGTCAGTGCTGCACCCGAGTTCCAGCAGTGCAGGGGGCCGGGCTGAGTGCAGGCTGTAGTGAGTTTGTCCTCAGGGTAAGCCCGGCTTGGAAATGGAGGGGCGGTCAGGGGACTGGTGCCCCTCAGCTCACGGCCCTTCTTGGCCCCCAGGGAAGTTCATCATGACTGCCTCCAGTGACACGACCATTGTCATCTGGAACCTGAAGGGCCACGTGCTGTCAACCATCAACACCAACCAGATGAACAACACATATGCAGCCATATCCCCGTGCAGCCGGTGAGAGCGAGGGTCAGCGGCTGGGTTTCCTCATCACTGGGCTTCGGAAGGTCAGGGTGGGGGCCGTTCTATCTTCTTTGGTCACACGGAAAAGCCGAGGTTGTGTGTCAAAGGTACTTAGGGGCCGGAGAGAGCATGGGGTATTGGCGCTTGTCTTCCATGTGGTCCATCTTGGTTTATTGATTTTGTATTTATTTTGTTTTTTTATTTTTTGGGGGGTCACACCCAGCGATGCACAGGTGTTACTCCTGGCTCTGCACTCAGGAATTACCCCTGGCAGTGCTCAGGGGACCATATGGGAGGCTGGGAATCGAACTTGGGTTGGCCGCGTGCAAGGCAAATGCCCTACCCGCAGTGCTATCACTCCAGCCCCAAATATTTTGGTTTTTTGAAGTGGGGCACACCCGGTTACGCTCGGGGTTTACTCCTGACTCTGTGCTGAGGAATTAAGCCTGGCAGTGCTCAGGGGACCATGGAGGATGACAGGGATTGAACTGAGGTCAGCCGTGTGCCAGGCAAACGCCTTCCCCACAGGACAATCGCTCCAGTGCCCCCAACCTCAGTTTCATTCCTGGCACCATGTTTGCTACCCTGAGCACCAACTCAATGAGGCCCCCAGGCAAAACTTAAAACTTTCTGGGTCAGGAGAGCTATCCGAGGGGTTCAGGTGCTCGCCTTGTACACAGCTGGACCCAGTGCAGTCTCCCGCAGCACCGTGCATGTCCTCCAGGTCCCAGCAGTATGACCCATGACCACTGCTGTATGACCTAGGACCACTGCTGCATGTGGCCACCATCGCTCCCGCCTGAAAAATAAAGAAAAAGCATTTGGCGCCCTAAGACAACTTTCTTTTTTAGTTGGGGTGGTGGCCGTATTTAGTGGTGCTTAGGGATCCCTCCTGGCTAGCTTGGGGACCATATGGGGTGCTGGGGAATTCAACCCAGGTCAGCCCATGCAAGCAAAGTCCCCTCCCTGCTGTAGTATCACTTCTGCCCTAAGACAACTTCTTCTACTTATGACAGACTTTTAGTGGTTTTTTTTTTTTTTTTCAGGGGATAGGTGGGTCACATCCAGCTGTATTCTGGGCTTATTCCTGGCTCTGTGCTCAGCAGTTTCTCCTGGCGGCCCAAGGGACCCTATGGGATGCCAGGGATCAAATCAAGGTTGGCCATATGCAAGGCGAGCGCCCTCTCCGCTGTCTGTTCGCTCTGGCCCTGCGTTAGTGGGTTTGCAGGAACCCAGTTCACCTTAACGGGAGGCCTTACAAGGAGCCTTGGTTACCCGTAGGTTTGTGGCTTCCTGTGGCTTCACCCCTGATGTCAAGGTGTGGGAAGTCTGCTTTGGGAAAAAAGGCGACTTCCAAGAGGTGGTGCGCGCATTTGAGCTCAAGGGCCACTCTGCGGCTGTGCACTTCTTTGCCTTCTCCAACGACTCACGCAGGTGAGTGTGTGTCTGGGCTCCTCGGTGCTCTTCTGCCCCCCCGCCCCTCTGTCATCAGCGTGTCTTGTCCCGTCGGTGCGTGTCATCATGGCCCCCCCCCCACCCCCGCAGTTGAGCCCTAGAGCCAGGCCTTTCCCCGCTGCAGGATGGCCTCTGTCTCCAAGGACGGCACATGGAAGCTGTGGGACACAGACGTGGAGTACAAGAAGCAGCAGGACCCCTACCTGCTGAGGACGGGCCGCTTCGACGAGGCCAGCACCCAGCCCTGCCGCCTGGCCCTCTCCCCGGACGCTCACGTCTTGGCCCTGGCTTGCGGCAGCACCATCCGCCTCTACAACACGCGCCGCGGGGAGGAGGAGGAGCGCTTTGAGCGGGTCCACAGTGAGTGCATCTCCGACTTGACCTTCGACGTCAGCGGGCGCCTGCTGGCCTCCTGCGGGGACCGGGCCGTGCGGCTCTTGCACAACACGCCCAGCCTCCGGGCTGTGGTGGAGGAGATGCAGGGTCTGCTGAAGCGGGCCACCAGCGAGAGCACCCGCCAGCGGCTGCAGCAGCAGCTCTCGGAGGCCCAGGAGGCCCTGAAGAAGCTGGGCGCCCTGAAGAAGTGAGAGTCGGGGCAGGGCAGGGAGGCGCTGGCCGCCGCTGCCCCCCCCCCGGCTGGCTTCCCAGGGACTCCCCGGCTGGAAACCATCTGCTGGAGCCTTTGATGTGTTCGGCGCTGGGCCCACTCCTCTCTCCTTTGTCTGCTGAAGTGACTCTTGCCCGCTTAGATTTCTCTTCTTGCTGGTTCACCTCTGGCCTTACAAAGGTGCTTATCTTTCTCTGAGACCCCCAGGGGACGAGTCAGCTTCCCCGGGGCCATGGAGGCTGGCGAGGAGAAGAGCCATCACCTGATCTCTGACCTTACGGTCCTATACCCTGGCACCCAAAGAAGTTTGTTAACAGTGAAGGCCGAACCTGGGAGGACCTGGGTAAAGACCAGCACTTGGGCCAGCAACTAACTGGGAGGGAGGTTTATTTCCCAGGTCCAGAGCTGGCGGGGGCAGGGGGCAGGTGGGATCAAGGAAGGGCTCATCTTGCCAGCCACCGCTCCCAGCTCCTTCCAGAAAGTATTGAAGGCTTTTGATCTGTACCTCGATTTCCTTATTTGTAAAATGGAGACTCATTTTCTGTGATCACCGTACAGAGACGTTGTGAGTAGAAAAGGCCCTAAACTTAGAAAAGTAGCAAAGAGGAGGGGGTCGACCCCGTACCCGTCTGTCCCATGTCATGAAACAAGAGTGGACAGTGTTGCTGGGAACAGAATCACAAGCAGATGCCTCCCCGGGGAGAGGGAAGGCTCTAGGATTCCATCACACAGTCTGTAGCAGGCTCTGCTTCAAGGGGTGCACAAGGGCGGGTTCCCCGCTTCCAGAATAGAACCCATTCGAGGAGAGCGGGCTGGTTTCCGGAGAGATGAGTGAGCCGAGAGGTTCCATCAGACACAGATGAGAGAAAGGCCTATTTCCCTGCTAGTTTCTCTATTGCTCCAGAAAATTCACTGGAAACTGAGGCAGTGAGTGTGACGTGCGCACGTAGCTTGGATAGGAGGTTAGTATTTCGGAGATTGACTGGACAACCGGTTGGCCGTGGGCCAGAAGGGAGATGAGGATTTCTGGCAGAGCTAAGTCTAGACACAGTTGATTCGTCCAGAAGCAAATTCTTCTCACTCTAAAACCAGCACCTCCCGAGTCTTCCTCAGCCCTTCCAAATCTTTGCGTGAGCCATAGCCTTGGAATTCTCCAGACTTGTTCTCCCGGCATCCTCTGCTCATATCCTGCATTATTTCCCAAATCTGCTACTTTGCTCCACTTTTCCTGTCCCCTGCCTGTCCTGAGTCACTGTCCCCTACTGAACTGCAGAGCAGCTACTTCACTGCTCTCCCTCCTCACCCTGTGCAGTCACTGTCCTCGGGGTAGGCCAGATGGAAGCCAGAGGCCGTCATTTCAAAGGCTTCCCATCACACTTAGAATAAAACCCAAAATCCTCACCCTGACCGCCAAGCTCTGGTGTCTTCCTTCACACCCAGCAGTGTGTCGGGCTTGTCCCCGGCTCGACGCTCAGGGATCCCTCCTGGGGGCTCAGGGAACCATATATAGTGCCAGGGATTGAAGTTGTGTCAGCCATGTGCAAGGCAAACGCGCTACCCACTGTGCTCTCTCTCCGGCCCCTTCCTCTAGATCTTGTTCCCAGGTGGCCCCCAGCACAACCCTTACTGCTCTCCCTTCCCCCAGGTCAAAGTTGGTCCTAGCCTCAGCCTAGCACCTCTGCTCTGCTGTTCCCTCTGCTTAGAAGCATTTGCTTTTCTGTTGGCTGCAAGTCAGGCTAGTTTAACCAGCTCTCGGGTTCATTGATGATGCCGAGACCCTCGCCGCGCCCAGTCTGAAGCAGCCCTGGCTCAGTTCCCTCGTGGCATTGTTTTTGTGTGTGTTTCAAGATGTCCGAAGTGATCTGTGAGTGAGCTCCTTTGGATATTTGAGTGCTCCGGGCGGCCCAGCCTAAAGTCTAAGACCTTAGGACATAGTGGAGGACTCAGGTGATGAGGGGTGTGTGTCTGCTCTAGGGGTGCCCGTGAAGAATCCTCAGGATGTGACTTTTCAATCTAAGGGGTTAGAAGTGGATGATATTTTAAGAAAAAAAACATTAAGCATTTCTGGGCCAAGCATTTATGCAATAATCATATGTTGCCCACCAGTCTCAAAGGCAGCCTTTGGGTTCGTTGGGCCTGGGAATGTGTGGCCTGCCAGGCAGGGTCCCCACCATCTGTTCTGCGCGATACTAAGCCATGGCTGGCTGCTGGGATGGGGGGTCCCCACCATTTGCTGTAATAGTTGCCCGTGGCCGGCTGCTGGGACGGGAGTGCAGGAGCGTTGCCGTCAGTTTGTTACTATTCTCACCTCTACTTTCCACTGTGAATTTGTGCCACCAGTAGACTTCTGGCCGGTCATGCCCTGCACATGGGTTCTGGTGAATATTTGCTTTCTGCTTGTCCAGAGAGTCGCATCTTTGCTTATCTGCTTTGCTCTGGCTTTATTCTCATTGTGAAGGGGAGAGGAAGTGAGCTCAGAATGTTGAGTTACTGAAGTCAGCCGTCCGCTGGGTAGCACTCTGACACCCTGAGCATAACTGACCTCCCTGACTCTCTTTCCTCATCTGTAAAATGGAAATAAATCTGGTCCTTGGGGTGTGGGAGTGGGTGGTGAGTTTCTAAGGAGAAAAGAGAAAGCAGGATGCAAAATGCCATTCCAGAAGGTTCCTAAGCCTGGAGAAAGTAATGGGAGCTGAAGGCAGGACAGAGACTGCTGCCTTTTCTGATCAAGTGTGTTGTTAGGGGCTGGAGTGATAGCACAGTGGGTAGGGCATTTGCCTTGTACGCCGCCGACCTGGGTTCGATTCCCAGCATCCCATATGGTCCCCCAAGCACTGCCAGGAGTAATTCCTGAGTGCATGAGCAAGGAGTAACCCCTGTGCAATGCTGGGTGTGGCCCAAAAAGAAAAAAAAAAGGTGTTGTCAATACAGTAGTGTTAATTTTTTAATATTTCAACTTTTTTGGGGTTTGAAATTTTTCCAAATAAAAAGTTGGGATAATGTTAAAAATGGTGGTGATAGAACTTATTTTTCTCAGTCTTTGGGGGAAAAAAATGAAAATCAAAAGATTCACATTTGTGGGGCCGGAGTGATAGCCCAGCGGGTAGGGCGTTTGCCTTGCACACGGCCAACCTGGGTTCGATCCCCGGCATCCCATATGGTCCCCCAAGCACCGCCAGGAGTAATTTCTGAGTACAAAGCCAGGAGTAACCCCTGAGCATTGCTGGGTGTGAAAAAAAGCAAAAAAAAAAAAAAATGTACATTTGAAAGACCTGTTTGTGGGTTCGGGGTTAAGGCGCTTGCCTTGCTTGCAGCCAGACCTGGTTGAATCCCTGGCACCCCCGTGGGCGCAGAGCAAGAGTATCAACCAAAGAGTGTCAATCCTGAGTACCACTGGTTGTGGCTCCAAAACCAAAATATTGGTTAATTTTAATAAATCGAGGTGATAATATATGGTAAAGACTGTCCTACAAGGCTCAACGGGCTACTACTCACAGCATGCCGGCCCCCTCAGGTGCAGTTCCCGGCACCACTGGTCCACTAGGAATGATCCCCAAGCTGCATGCCAGGATTAGGCTCAAAAACAAGATAATTTTGGGACTGGGAAAGGAGAGCAAAGGTTTACGGCACCTGCCTGTGTTGGGGTGACTCATAAAGTGGGGAGAGGACGGGTCTCCAGAAGGGGCGTCTAGAGAGGATTCAGCAGGGAAAGGTCCCACTGACAGCCATCGTGAGGCGAGCTGGCAGACAGGGCCTTGATGTCCAGGAGCCGGCTTGATAACCTCACACCCTAGTGCCCCTGAGCACTGGGTAGGGGAGAAACACGCCAACTCCCTGTTGGGCCGTGATGGTGATGGTAGTACTCTCAACCACCAACAGGAATCTCCCAGGCTGGGGGTGATTCTCCTGCAATTGGTGGCTCCTGAGGGAGGAAACTGTGACAGGCTCCAGAACTGGGGGCCCCCAGCACCTCAGCTTCTTTCTGTGATACCCCCCTTCACCTGGTGCCTGGAAGTCTTCACAGAAGCAACATAAAACAACGGGGACAAAGAAACCCTCATGCCCACACAGGGTCGGGTGAGGGTATCTGCAGACTCTTAAGACCCACTCACTTCCCTGGTTTCTGCAAGACTTTCTGGGACCCCCACAGAACTGACAACCCCAAACTATAGTCCCTGACCCCTTGGAGTGATTCTGGGAAATCAGCAGCTATCGTTATTCATTGATGACAGACTTACCTGCGGTTGGCCACTGTGCCGTGGGGTGCAGCCCCCCACACCTGTTTGCTGGCAGTAGCCTCCCCTTTTCAGCCTGGTTACAGACACCCTTTCACCTTCCTGCAGGGCCAAGCCGAGGGCTTATGCCCGCTCTGCCTTTGCAGTGGCAGGTTGGGAAGTAACTAACGTTAGTTCTGCGGTACAGGCATCCATACAAACTGCTCTGCACAACCCAAGTAGGTATCAGAGACTTGGGGAGCCCGGGGGCGGGAAACAGCCCCCGTAGCAGCAGGGCCAGATGAAAGATGTTGATGTCATTGAAGCTGGTTAGGTGGACAGGGTCTCTGCTTCCCTCAGCTTCCTCCACAGCACCTGTGACCTGCCTGCCTCTCAGCTTTTTGTGAGTGGAGCCCAGGGCTAGTAGGAACATTTTTGGCTTTTGGGCCACACCCTGCAGTGATCAGAAGTTACTTTTAGCTCTGAACTCAGGAATTACTTCTGGCAGTGCTTGGGGAACCATATGGAAAGGTAGGATCGAACCCAGGTCAGCTGCGTGCAAGGCAAACGCCCTATCCACTGTACACCCTCTCTGGCCCCTCAAGTAGAAACCTTATAATTTTTTTCTTTTTGGGTCACACCTGGCTACTCCTGTCTGCGGTCAGGAGTCACTCCTGGCAGTGCCTGGGGGACGATGTGGGATGCTGGGGATCAAACCCGGATTGGCCGCATGCAAGGCAAATGCCTTCCCTGCTGTGCTATCGCTCCAGCCCCATCAAGTACGAACTTCTTAATGTGGTATGTCCCAGGTTTCTATCTCAGCTCCAAGTTCAATCGCGGAGAGCAGCAAGACTAGCAGGGATTTGTCTGCGGCTGCAGGACAGCGAGTGGTCCCCGCCATCGTTTCATGCTTCCATGCCCCAAGGCCAGAATGTTCCCAACACATCCTAGAATGTGGTGAGAAGGTGGCACGATCTGGAGTGTTCCCAGCCCTGCCTTTGCCTCAACCACCGCCAGGATCATCTCTGGGGAATCTCTGGGCTTGTGCAGGCTGGTCCCCACCCCTCTGCCACTGAGGCTGGAGCCATCGGTGGGGTATGGCCGACGCTTTGGCATGGAGGCTTCCAAATGGACCTGGCCTACCACCCGTTCTCAGGGGAAAAATATCTCCCTGCAGCCCATAGAAATGTCCCTTCCTTAAGCAAATAGGAAGCACCCCCCAATTGCACCCAGGCTAGCTACAGCCCTTGCTTGTCTTCCCATTGGTCCAGCAACCTCTGGGAGACACTGTCCTAGTCTCTGGTGTGGAGTTTGTGTCCCTCTCCTCTCCCCTCCCCTCCCCTCCCCTCTCTCCCTCCTTTTTGCATTTCCCCTCCCCCCCACTTCCTTTCCACCTCTGCCTCCCTCCTTGTAACCCCTGCTACCTTCTCCCAGGAGATGGCTCAAAGGAGAGTGTCTTGAATGATGCCAACCTGGGTAGCACTGGGTGTAGGACCCAAAAGAAATAAAATGCACACAGGAGCCATGGTCCTTTGAGCCATCTCCCAGGTGACACTCACCGTCCTCTGTCTCAAGAGGGCACCTGGGGGCTGGAGCAATAGCACAGCAGGTAGGGCGTTTGCCTTGCACGCAGCCGACCTGGGTTTGATTCCCAGCATCCCATATGGTCCCCCAAACACCGCCAGGAGTAATTCCTGAGTGCATGAGCCAGGAGTAACTCCTGTGCATCACCAGGTGTGACCCAAAAAGCAAAATAAATAAATAAATAAATAATCAAGAGGGCACCTTCACAGGTAGTCCAGCTGTGAAGGAGTTGGCCAGACTGGGACATCCAATTTCCAACGGAGGGAGGGTGGTTTCCCTTGAAAGAAGAGAGATATTTGGGACAGGAGAGCTAGCATGGGGTGGTTAAGGCAATGGCCTTAATGCGCTGTGAGCATTTTATTTCTTTTGGGGCCTACACCCAGTGCTACCCAAGGCTTATTTCTGGCTCTGAGCTCAGGGATCATTCTTGGCAGGCCAGGGACCAAACCCAGGTTGGCATCATTCAGGGCAAGTGGTAGCTGCCCACTGTACTATCTCTTCGCATCCCACCCCCATGTGCAATAAAGTTTATTATTATTTAGGGGTCATACCCAGTGGTGCTCAGAGGTTGCTCCTGGCTTTGAGTTCAGGGCTTTCTCCTTGAGGTGTTCGATACCACACGGTGCCAGGGATGGAACCAGGCCTCCCACATGCAGAGCTATGCCCCAGCTCGGTGAGCTCTCTCCAGCCCTCTGCTGCCCTCCCAGAACTATTGCAAAGGATGTCATTGACAGCCTCATGGGAACACTAGACAGGACCCCACTTGGAGGGTGGTCTCACCGTGCAGATAAGAGGGCAGGAAAGAGCGGGTTACCCCAACTTTAGAGGAGCTGCTGGACAATGAATAATGTGGGATAGAGGGGGGGTGGCTGTGGGGGATAGAAGCTTTGGGTGAGTGGAGAGAGGAAGGAGGGGAAGACTGGTACTTGGACCTGGAAAAGAGAAGTGAACCTGGAGTGGGTGTGCTGGGCTCTGTGCTTGGACCAGAGGACCTTTCAGAGGCCTTAGAAAAATTGGGCGCTGGAGAGAGAGCATAGCGGGTAGGGAGTTTGCCTTGCATGCGGCCGACCCGGGTTCGATTCCCAGCATCCCATATGGTCCCCTGAGCACCGCCAGGAGTGATTTCTGAGTGCAGAGCCAGGAGTAACCCCTGTGCATCGCCGGGTGTGACCCAAAAAGAAGAAAAAAAAAAGTCTAGAAAATTGGTCAGTTCAGGCATGTATGTATTGGTCTGCCCAGCATTTTCTTTTCCAAGGCTGCCTCCTCATCGTCTTCAGGGGAGCTGGGGATTGTCTTCCTTCTGTCCCTGCAGCTGGGGTGTTCCAGCTAGAGTGGGAGAGGGGCTCAGGCAGAGTCCACAGCCTACATTATTTGGGATCAGGGTCATTTCTTTTTGGGGACGTGGGGGGGCCACACTTGGCAGTGTTCAGGGCTTATTCCTGACTCTGTGCTGAGGGATCACTCCTGGTTGGCTCAGGGGACCATAGGGGGTGCCAGGGATCGAACCCAGATCAGCAGCGTGCAAGGCAAACACCCCACCCACTGTACTATTGCTCCAGCCCCGGGGTCTGGTTATTTCTAAAAGGTACAGCTATGGGGTCTGGAGCAATAGTACAAAAAGCAGGACATTTGCCTTGCATATGGCTGACCTGAGTTTGATATCTGGCACACCATATGGTCCTCTGCATCCCTCCAGGAGTATGCCCCAGCACCTCCAGGTGCAGTCCCGAATCTAACAATAAAAGGTACTGCTTTACTCCCAGTAACCCCTCCTCTGCCAGGCAGCCCTATTTGCTATTCCTGGGCCCCTCGCAAGCTCTGAGGCTAGAACTTATGCAGCAGAGATGGCTGCTGGGTGATCAAAGGCCACAGAGGGATACTCAGGCTCTCTGGCAAGTTCTGGGTTTGCTTAGCATCTCACTGGGGCAGACAGAAGTTAGTGGCTCTGGAGGCCAGACAAGCAGCCACTCGACACTTTCTCGGAGTAAACTGTCACTTGTTTCTTCTGTGGCCCTTGAAGCAACTATTACTGGCCAACATTCTCCTGAGGCTCTGCAGACCCTCAGCTACATCAGATTACCAAACCACTTTGCCTTTCCTTGATCACAGAGCGTTTTATGTATTGGGGGCTCCACTGGCGTTGGATGCTCAGCCAAGTTGTTTTGTAGTTCAATGCAAGGGCCCTGCAGTGCCAGGGATTACCCAACCACCCCAGCGGTGCTAGGGCTTGAACCTGGGTCAGGCACCAGTCTAAGAGCTGTAATAGCTCCTGGCCCTTATCCATACCTTTCTGGTTTCTGGTCTGGGTATTTTTCTACACCCAGCCCTGAGTGCAAAACCCCAGATTTTTGTTCCCAGTTCTTCCTACTAAGCCTCATCGTCGGTCAGCCATGGGAGTGCCCCTCAACCTGGACAAAGGGGAAACACAGAACATCCTGGGCAGCGTTTTCCCGGGGTTTCCAACTGACGGCTGTTGGTAGAGTAAGCGGTTGGTTACTGGATGAGAAAATTTCAGGTGGGTGCAAGGGAGCAAAGGCAAACATTAGAAAAGGGGTGAAACTCGCAGGCTGGAAGTCCGCGGCCTTTTTTTTATTTTGCTCTTTGGGTCACACCCGGAAATGCACAGGGATAACTCCTGACTTTGTACTCAGGGGACCATATGGGATGCTGGGAATCGAACCTGGGTCTGCCGCGTGCAAGGCAAACGCCCTACCCTCTGTGCTATCGCTCCAGCCCCAGTCCACGGCCTATTTGGGAGCAAGGGTACCGGCTAGAGCAGAACACGCGAGGCGTGGGGCTACGCGGGGGACACAGAACTCGGTGCCCCGACGGTCCGCCCCGAGACAGGGTAAGTGGTCCTGGCCAGGCGGAGGAAGGGCCGACCTCCAGGCTCCTGGGAAAGCCGGGGGCTCACTGGCCGCACTTCGCACTTCGCCAGGCGAGCAGCACGTGCCGCCGGCTCCGCCCGCCCGCACCCCGGCCCGCCCGGGGCGAGGGGGACTCCCGGGGCGCCCCGGGGTGGACGCCTGGGGCGGGTCGCGCAGGCGCGCTGAGGCGGCGAGCCCCAAGGGGCGGGCGGGTGCGCGCGCTCCCTCGCGCACGCGCGCACGGAGGGGGCGCCGGCCGCGGTGACGCTGCGGCGGCGGGCGGCGGCGCGTGAGGCCGCGCGGTCCCCGGCGCCTTGGGAGCCCGAGTCCCGGCCCCCGCCGCTCCCGCCGCCGCCATGTCGGGCCGGTCGGTCCGGGCCGAGACCCGCAGCCGGGCCAAGGACGACATCAAGAAAGTGATGGCGGCCATCGAGAAAGTGCGGAAATGGTGAGAGGGGCCGGGCGCGCCGGCGGGGGTGGCGGGGCTCGCGGGCGCGGGCCCGGCGGCGGCGGCGGAGCGCTCGCCTGACGGGCGGGGCGGGCGCGACCGGCCGGCGCTGGGGGGAGGGGGCGCCGGGGACGGCGGGAGCGGCGCCCTCACGTCGGCGTGAGGTCAGAGGGCGCGCCCGCCGCGACCAATCAGCGCGGCGCCCGCTGGCCGGGCCCGCCCCCTCCACCCCCCGCCGGCCCGTCGCGTCTCCGCGCCCTCAGGGCCGGCTGCCGTGGGGCCGCCGCGTCGGGTCGCCGCGTCCCCGGGTGCTCGGCCGGCCTCGCGCGACTCGCACGTCTGGGTCAGCGCCCGCGGTGGCCTCGGTGTGGCGGCCCCGAGCGGCCTCGCCACTCGGGCGCGTCGTCTTCGACTCCCGGCGGCAACTTTTGGCGGTCGCGCGGGCGGGGGGGCGCTTCCCTGGCCCTGCGCTCGTCGTCGGACCCGGGTTCGAGCTCCCGGCACCCCCTTGTGATTCCTGGGCGCAGAGCCTCCCCCCGTGAAAAAAAAAAAAAGGAAGTTGTTTTGGGCGATTCTTTACTTTCTTGTCCGGGGGACCATCCGGGATGCCGGAGGAGCGGCGGGTCGCCCTGGCCCCGGCGCCGCCCACCCCGCCCCCGCCCCCGCCCCCGCCCCGCCCCGCCCCGCCGGGGTCGTTCCCCGGCCCCGGCTCGGAAGTTGCGTTTTTGTTGGTTCGTTTTCTGAAGCGGTGAAACGGAATGCCCGTCCTGCCTGCCTTGCCTTTTCCTGAAGGTCGTTTTAACTCAAGGAAACGCGCCGAGGAAGACTGGAGAGGGAGCGAGCGGGGCTTGGCCGCGCCCGCGGAGGAGGACGCGGGTTCGAGCCCAGGAGCCTCGGGTGGTGCCACGCCCAGCCCCATCGGGAGTGATCCCTGAGCACCGCCGGGCGTGGCCCCCCAATAAAAAGGGCTTGAGAAAAAAGAGGGGAGACGGGCCTGGACTGATAGCACTGCGGGTAGTGCGTTTGCCTTGCACGCGGCCGACCCGGGTTCGATTCCCAGCATCCCGTAGGGTCCCCCGAGCACCGCCAGGAGTAATTCCTGAGTGCAGTAATTCCTTGTGCATTGCCGGGTGTGACCCAAGAAGAAAAAGAAAAAAGAAAAAAATGGAAATAAGTGCAAAAGAGAGAAGATAGGCTTCTTCAGAGTGGAAACCAGCCAGCAGAGAACAACAGGGACAGAGCGATTGTACAGCTGACTGACCCAGGTTCTGTTTCCAGCACCCCATATGGTCGGTCCCTTGAGCACCTCCAGGAGTAATTCGAATGCTGAGCCAGGAGTTACCCTGAGTATTGCCAGATGTGCCCCCGCCCCCAAAAAAAATTTCCAAAGGTTTCACGTACGGTTGAGTTTTGAGTTTTATTGGGGGGAGCGGTTGCAGGGGTTGAGTCTCCTACTTCCTCCTGACTCTGCAGGGATTCCTCCTGCAATGAGCCAACTGCAAAGCACTGACCAGAACTCATGGAACTTGTTTCTGTTTGTTTGGGGGCTATACCTAGCAAGTGCTCAGGACTCACTCCTGGCTCTGTGCGCAGGGATCTCTCCTAGTGGGTAGAGGTGCTTGGGGATGACATCTGTGCTCTGGATCAAACACAGGCCTTTTGAGGGCAAGGATTATGTATAGACTATTGGACTATATCACTGGCCCTTAACTTCCTTTTTTTTCCCTTTCTTTTTGGTTTCTGGGCCAAGCCAGAGAAACTTACTCCTGGCTCTTCATTCAGGAATTACTCCTGGTGGTGCTTGGGGATCATCTGGGATGCTGGGAATCAAACCTGCCTTGGCCAAGTGTAAGGCAAAGGCCCTACTGTTATCACTGCGGCCCTCACTTTTGTTCTCTAGTTCTTTCTTCCTGTTATCAGTCTCATTTCTTGAACAATATCAGTAGCAGCAGCTACATTTTCTGCTTTCTTGTAATGTCAGATTTTTTTTTTGTTTTTTGGGTCACACCCGGTGATGCCCAGGGGTTACTCCTGGCTCCACACTCAGGAGTTACGCCTGACAGTGCTCAGGGGACCATATGGGATGCTGGGAATTGAACCCGGGTCAGCTGCGTGCAAGGCAAACGCCCTACCCGCTGTGCTATCTCTCCAGCCCCCCTTTTTTATTTATTTTTTGCTTTTTGGGTCACACCCCGCGATGCACAGGGGTTACTCCTGGCTCCACACTCAGGAGTTACTCCTGGTGGTGCTCAGGGGACCATATGGGATGCTGGGAATCGAACCTGGGTCGGCCGCGTGCAAGGCAAATGCCCTACCCGCTGTGCTATCTCTCCAGCCCCATTTTTTTTTTAACTTCTTGGGTCACATCTGGCGATGCTCAGGGGTTACTCCTGGCTCTGTACTGAGAAATCACTCCTGGCGATGCTTGAGGAACCTTATGGGATGCCAAGGATCGAGCCTGGGTCGGCTCTATCTAGACTTGAAGCTTTTAGAAGACTGACTTCAAACTCTCCACCTCTGCTTCTCAGACTTCCTCTTATTCAAGAATGTTATGCTGTACTTTGCACCACCAATATACCAAGAATAGCACATCACATTTGATTGGGAAGACAACCAGTCTTAGGGAGTAACATATTTATACATATATATACATATTTATACATATATATATACACACACACAAAAGGCTCAACCTTTAACAATGTGTTACTAATCTCTTAATGGCTTCTGGGTGAAAAACAATCTTCACACATTTAAGAAACCTTTTTTGTCTCATTTTTACCGAATTATTCATAACAAGCAATACTATAGCACTGTAGCTCCTGTTGTTCTTCGATTTGCTCAAGCAGGCACCAGTAATGTCTCACAGCAAATTGTGAGACTTGTTGTTACTGTGTCTGGCATATCGAATACGTCACGGGGAGCTTGCCAGGCTTTGCCGTGCGGGCAAGATACTCTCGGTAGCTTGCTAGGCTTTCCGAGAGGGGCGGAGCAATCGAACCAGGGTCGACCATGTTGGCTGCGTGCAAGGCAAATGCCCTACTCGCTGTGCTATCGCTCCAGCCCAACAAGTAATACAAAATAAATTATTTTGGTTCTGCTTGGGGGGCAGGGTTTGGGGTTCGGGATGGAAATATGGTGGTGGGAAGGTGTAATGGTGGTGGGATTGGTGTTCGAATATTAAATGTAATCAAATATTGTGAACAACTTCATAAAAAAAAATAAAGAATATTATGCCGGACAGATAGTACAACGGCTAGAATATTTGCCTTGCACATGGCTGACCTGGGGTTGAGTCCCAGAATCCCGTATGGTTCCCTGAGCTGGCGACCACCAGGAGTGATTCCGGAGTGCACAGCCAGGCATAACCTCTGAGCATTGCTGATTGTGGCCCTAAAATCAAAATAAAAATTTAAACAAAGAAGAATGGTCTTGCATTTCCCCAGGTATAAGGGGTCAGGGGCCGTGAGAGAAAGGTGTGCTGCTCCTGTTTTAAAAGCTTGTCTCAGAAGCTGATCCAGTGTGAGAGTTGGTTCTGTTGACCGGAAGCATGGTCTCCTGCACTGCAACTGTTCATTTAGTTTTGTGGTACCAGCAATTGAACCTGGAGGCTCTCATGTGCAAGGCAGATGCTCAACTATAAAATTATCATCCTGGGACTAGAGCGATAGCACAGTGGGTAGGGCGTTTACCTTGCACGTGGCCAGCCCGGGTTCGATTCCCAGCATCCCTTATGGTCCCCTGAGCACCGCCGGGTGGTTCCTGAGTGCAGAGCCAGAAGTAATCCCTGAGCCTCGCTGGGTGTGACCCAAAAAGAAAAAAAAATCATCCTGACGGTTTTGTCTTAGTTTTTGTTTTAGTTTTTGGTAGGGTGCTCAGGTGCTACGTTGCCAGGGATTGAATTCAGGCCTCCCTGTTTGACTCCCAGTTTGATTCCCATATCCCACTTTGACTCCTAATACTATGGATAGTCCCCTGAGCACCAGGGGATTGAACCCCGAACACAGCTGGGTGCAGCCCTCAAACAAATCTTTTCTGTCCAGCAGGGCTTTAGAAATTCAATTGTTTTGCGAAGAAAAGAAATGTGCGCTGGGTGAGAGGTCATTCGGTGCGCGTGGGAGGCCTGGTCCCGATTTCTGGCAACAGAAACAACCGAACCAAGCAGTTCTGCCTGGTGGATGCCCAAGTGTGGCAAAGGGGTGGTCTTGGAGGAGAAAGGCTGTGCCCTCTGTAGGTAAGGAAAGGCAGCAACTAGAGGTGAAGGGTGTATGGGGCTGGAGCAATAGTACAGCGGGTAGGGCGTTTGCCTTGCACGCGGCCAACCCGGGTTTGATTCCCAGCATCCCATATGGTCCCCTGAGCACCGCCAGGAGTAACTCCTGAGTGCAGAGCCAGGAGTAACTCCTGTGCATCGCCAGGTGTGACCCAAAAAGCCAAAAAAAAAAAAAGAGAGAGAGGTGAAGGGTGTCTGATAAGAGATGTCTTCCTGGGGCCTGGAGAGATAGCACAGCGGGTAGGGCATTTGCCTTGCATGTGGCTGACCCGGGTTCGATTCCCAGCATCCCATATGGCCCCCAGAGCACCGCCAGGAGTAACTCCTGAGTGCAGAGCCAGGAGTAACCGCAGTGCACCGCTGGGTGTGACCCAAAAAGCAAAAAAAAAAAAAAAAAGAAAGAAAAAGAAAAGAAAAGAAAAAAAAGAGATGTCTTCCTGGAAGAAGTGATTTTGAGCTACAGAAGGGTTATGATTTGGTGGAGAGGGAAGTATGGGAGGCATTTAGGTGGATGGAATCATCTCTGTGCTAAAATAGAAAATCAAATTATGAACAGAAACTTTTGTTTTTTTCATCAGTGCTAAGATGTGTCTTTATTCCAGGGAGAAGAAATGGGTGACTGTGGGCGACACGTCCCTTAGGATATTTAAGTGGGTTCCTGTGACAGACAGCAAGGAGGTAAGTGGAAGAAAATCAAAGCAATGAAAGGTACCATCTGTTTTCCTTTCGCCTCTCTCCCTTCCTCCTAATTATAAAGGAGTTTATTTCTCCAGGATTAAGTTGAAAATGCTCCAAGGCACCCTCTCTTGTTAGTCTGTGCAAAGCCTCTCCTGGTTTATTATTTCCTCTTACATTCACTCTCCTTACTCCACCTCTCTCTCTTCTAGGGCCTGCTAGATTACAGCTCAGCTCTGTTCTGGGACAGAGTTTGGTGGAAGCAGTAGTTGTACCCACTCATTTCCTTATGGCTATGGTTGCCTTGAGTTACAATGGCAGAAACTTGAATAGTTTCTGTACAATTTTTCTGTTTTAAGCTTGGCGGATTTTATTTATTTTTGCTTTTCGGGTCACACCCAGTGATGCCCAGGGGTTACTCCTGGCTTTGCACTCAGGAATCGCTCCTGGCGGTGCTGGGGGACCATATGGGATGCTGGGAATCAAACCCGGGTTGGCTGTGTGCAAGGCAAACGCCCTACCCTCTGTACTATCGCTCCAGCCCCCTATTGTATGTTTTCTAAAAAACAGCATTGTTACAGCACTTTTTATTAATTTTGTTTAATTTTTTATATTAAATAATTTTTTCATAGTATATAAATATAGCATTTTCTTTAAAAACCTCTACTATTATGAACTTTATTTTTGTCAAACCTTGTTTTGTAATTGTAAATTAGAGTTACTACCTTTCACTTTTGCATTATATTCTCGATTGCTCTTTATTTATTGCCTTTTGTGTCACACCCGGCAATGCTCAGGGGCTACTCCTGGCTCTGACCTCAGGAATTATGCCTGGCAATGCTCAGGGGACCATATGGGTGCTGGGGGTTGAACCCTGTTGGCTGCATGCAAGGCAAATGCCTTCCCCGCTGTGCAATTGCTCTGACCTCTCTCTCTCTCTCTCTCTAACTAGGGGGTGGAAAGTGAGAGGGTGGTGCCCAGAGTCCATTCCTAACTAGCGGTGCTAGGGGACCATATGTGTGCCAGGGACCCAGTCTGGCCACATACAATGAATATGCTATAGCCATTAGACCATTGCTCTGTCCACCCCCTGCGTTTTCTTCTTTTTCTTCATTTTTTTTTTGGGGGGGGGCACATACAGTGATGATCAGGGCTGACTCCTAGTTCTGCACTCAGGAATTACTCCTGGTGATCTTGAAGGACTATATGGGATGCAGGGGATCGAACCTGGCTCGGCCATGTGCAAGGTGCAAGGCCGGTGCCTCCCTGCTGCACTTGGTCTTGGACCCCTACATTAGATTCTTTTCTATGCAGTGACCACATCTTCTCTACGTGAGAAGCATCTGAATTGTCTACAGCTTTTTGGGGGGAATGAGGAGGCAGAGCTTGGGGCCACACTGGGCGGTGCTTGGAGGCTCCTCCTAGCTCTGTGCTGACAGTTGCTCCCAGTAATCCTGAGGAGACCATGTGGTGCCAGGGATCAAACTGGGCTTGACCACCTGCAAGGGAAGCACCTTAACCCCTGTACTCTCTATCCCCTGCCTTGAACTTTTTCTTTTGGTTTTGTTTGGGGGGGCCACTCCTGGCTGTGCTCAGGACTTACTCCTGGCTCTGTGCTCAGGGACCGCTCCCAACAGGGCTGGGCGACCATATGAGGTGCTTGAATTTGAATTTGCATCAGTGAATGCAAGGCCAGCTCCCTCTCCTTTGTACTGCCTTTCTGGCCTAATTTTTTAATCTTAATTTCTTTTTTTTTTTTTAACATACCTGGCAGTGCTTATGGATCACTTCTGGTAGTGCTGGGGGACCTAGGGCCAGGATTGAACCCCAGGGTCCTTCGTGCAAAGCATGTGTTCCAGCCTCTTGAACTGTCTCCATGGCCCTCATAGTTGTGTTGATATTATTTTGGGGGGTGGGGGTGGGAGTTTAGGTCACACCAAGTAGTGCTCAGGGAGTCTTCCTGGCTCTGTGCTCAGGGGTGACCCCTGGTGGTGTTTGGGGGAACTATAGGTGGTACTCGGAATTGAATAAGCATCGGCCCCAGACAAGGCAAACACCTTACCCTTCGTATACTCTCTCCAGCCCTCTTATAATTGTGTGTGTGGGGGGATTATTTTGGGTTTTTTGGTGGTGGGGTGTTTGGGCCATACCCATTGGTGCTCAGGACTTACTCCTGGGTCTGTGCTCAGGGATCACTCCTGGCAGGGTCGGGGAACCATAAGGGGTACCAGGGATCAAACCCAGGTTGGCTTCATGTAAGGCAAACACCCTACTCTGTACTATAACTCTGACCCCATAATTGTTTTTTAAAAATTTCAAATATGGACTGGAGAGATAGTTCAGTGGGTAGAGTACTTGCCCCGCACGCGTTTGACCTGGTTTTGGTCCCCAGAACTCCCTATGGTCTCCTGAGTCTCACTAGAGTGTTTCCTAAGTGGAGAGCCAGGAGTAAGCCCTGGGCGGGTGTTATCCAGAACTCCCCTCTCACCCCCACTTCCAAAAAAAAAGAAAGAATTTCAAATGTAGGAGCTGGAGATATTGCTCAATGAACTGAGTGCATGCTTTGCATGCAGGGGCCCCAGGTTTTTATCCCCAGTACAACTCCTTTACCGAATGTGGCCCAACAGCAAACCAACAAAAAGAGTCTTAATAAAAATGCATCCCGAGGTGGAAGTGTGCCTCCCGCAGTAACACCTGCCTCATGTGTGGGCGACTCTGGGTTTGATCTTGGGCGCTGTCAGATGTGGCCCCCATGGCTCCCACTGCTGAAGAGAATAGGAACGCGCACAAAACCCCACATGCAGAAAAGTTTGCGACACGTGCTTGTGTAGGGTAACGAACCATGAAGCTCCTATCCTTGGGAAAACCGCCCAGGTTAAGCAAGAGAGCTTTGCTGGGGACAGAGGTCTGGCTTGGTGGGCACACGCGTGCCTGCCCGGGTGAGGCAAGCCCTGGAGAGCACTGCTCTTGCCTTAGAGATTCTGGGGCTCCCCTGGCGCTACCCCTCCCCTCTGCGGTGAGTCCTCTATTGCCTTTGCCTTGCTTTTCACTTCTCAGACCATCTGTACACGTTTTTAACCCAGAAGCAGTGTCATCATAGCTATTTCCTGCGTGTCTTGCTGCTGCTCTCCCCTGCGTTGTTTGTAGTATTCATCCCTGTAGAATTCACTCGGGATGCCTTCGGAGCTCTGTGTTCCTTCTCCTTGCTGTACGGAATTCCGTGGCAGGTCTTGTACCATAAATACTTTTCCTGACCCTCCTGGAGGTGGACATTTGGGTTATTTCTAGTTGAGGATAATCAAACAGGCTCACCAGGCAAGTACTGGCTTTGTCATTGTTTTTGTTTGGGGGCCACACCTAGCAGTGCTCAGGGCTGATTCCTGGCTCGCCAGTCAGGGATCACTCTTGGCAAGCCCTGGGGAACAAATGGAGATCCAGCCTGGGTCGGCCGTGTGCAAGGCAAGCGCATTACCTGCAGAATGATCTCTCTGGCCCTACATTTCCATTCTTATGACACCAAACTCTCATCCTGCCCTCGTCTTGCACAGCTATACCCTTTATGCCCATTAAATACTCCTCTTTCCTCTTCTCCATTTTTGATTGTGTGTTTCAAAGTTGATCGCCCACCATTAATTAAACACAGTTTCTCAACACTCTTAAGGTTCTGGGCATCAGGAAGAGGCGAGGGAAGGGTGAACAAATAGGGTTTCAGGCATTTTCCTTGACATGGTTTCAGAACATAAGTGCATCCTTAGATAATTTGTGGCCCATCTTTAACGGTGACTAGATACCTTTCCTTCTGCTGATTGAAAGTTCAGTATTCTGATTTTCTTTTTATGGGCTGTCTCTAATTTAACAAGACCTGTGTTTGCTGTTTTTCCCTGTCAGTGTTTGCCCTCTGACTCTGATTAATCACCCATTGCGTGTCTGTTGTTAAGGGTGAGGGGTCATAGCCACCTGGGCTGCAGGGGGGTGGGTGCAGGGCAGGTGTGGGCCATGGATTGAACCTGAGCCTCCTGCAAGTGCAAATGTGCTCTCAGCCTCCTGGGCTCCTTGTGACCCCAGAGCACATTTCACCGCCCTCACTTCATCCCTGCTTGGCCTTTTATGTTTGTCTTGGCGTTGCTGAGAGTGCTGGGTGGAGGTGGTTCCTGGTGATGCTTGGGAGGACGTGGTATGTGGACTTGTACATGTGATGCCAGTATTCCGGCCCTTCCAGCCATCTCCTTGGTGTTAGCATTTTTCCCTAGTTTAAAAAATTTTGTTTAGGCGAACCGGAACCATAGACATCAGGTAAGGCACTTGCCTTGCATGCGGCTTGGCCATACTCCATCCCCGGCATCCCTTATGGTTCCTTGAGCCCACCAGAAGTGAGCCGGGTGTGGCCCAAACCAACCCTCCCCCACCAAAAAAAAAATTTTTTTTTTTTTGCTTTTTGGGTCACACATGGCGATGCACAGGAGTTACTCCTGGTTCATGCACTCAGGAATTACTTCTGGCAGTGCTCAGGGAACAATATGGGTTGCTGGGAATCGAACCTAGGTCCACTGTGTGCAAGGCAAACGCCCCACCTGCTGTGCTATTGCTCCAGCCCTTCCCCCCCCAAATTTTTTTTAATTAAAACACTTACGTAGATAAATATGAGGGAAGAGAAAGAGGTAAACAAGTTCAGGAGAGAATAGGAGTTTCTCCAGAGGGGAAGAAGCTGAGAGTACTACTCAGGTTGAGATGCAAACCTCTCGCTCTCCACTTTGGAAAATGAGCTGGAAGAAATTGGGGGTCTTAATGTTAGTTTGTTTTTGGACCATACCTGGTGTTGGGCAGGGCTTACTTCTGGCTCTGTGCTCAGGGACCACTCCTGGCAGGCCCAGGGGACCAGATGGGGGTGCCAGGATCAAACTTGGGTTGACCTAATGCAAGGGAAGCTTCCTACCACCGGACTATCTCTACAACTCCAGAAATCATATTTTCTTTCATTTTGTGTTTCTGGTTTTTTATCTTTGGTCCACCCCACCCCTGACAGTGCTCAGTGCTTATTCCTGGCTCTGCACTCGGGGATCATGCCTGGTGGGGTAGGAGGCCATATGGGGTGCCAGGAATAGAACCCAGGTGCGCTGTGTGTAAGGCACTTGCTTGGCACCCTACCTGGTGTACTATCACTCTAACCCAGGAATCATTTATTATTTTTTGCTTTTTTGGGTCATACCCAGCAATGCTCAGGCTTTACTGCTGGCTCTGCATTCAGGAATTACTCCTGGTGGTGCTTGGCGGACCATCTGGGATGCCAGGGATTGAACCCGGGTCGGCTGTGTGCAAAGCAAACGCTCTACCCGCTGTACTATTGCTCCAGCCCCAGGAATCGTTTTTTAATAAATTTATCAGAATAAAGTGTAATCCAGAAAATAGTAAAAGTTGAGTGCTGTAGCTTTATTCCTAGTAGCAGTAAATAAGTGCAATCCTAAATATGTTAGAGCTATAGGTCTGCTAATTGAGAAGTGAGTGCACGGGAGGTGAGTTCTCAGGTGTGTGGAGCATGCGAGAGGGAGGAGTGTTGAGCATATGAACGGAGCCCTGCAGGGTGCTGTTGAGTTGGCCTGTTGGAGAGAGGTTGGGGTGCGAATGACCAGAACTAGATGGTGTTCCTGCTGGGACAGTGAGGAGACCCCAGGTAAGCATGGATCGATGAGCTGACTTAGACCCAGCCTTTTGGCTGTTGGGGGGGGCTCTCCTTGCCCCTGCTTGGGTTAACCATTGCCTTTCCTGTTGCAAGCTTGCTCTTACCCTTGACATCGGACTCACCATCTTCCTGCTTGTTGGAACTTAAGTCTTAACAGGTGGACGTGAGGGTGATCACCTGGCAGGGGGTTGGTTGGTCGGGAGTATAGCTCGGAGGGCCCATCGTCCTGCATTGCAGATGAAGGGACGCCTCTCTTTGTCCCCTCACAGGTTCCTCCTTCTTTGTTTGTCTTTGGGCGCTGCAGAAAGAAAACTTTCTCTCCAGTGGGTTGGGATCTCTCACTCGTCCCCCGAGGGAAAGGCCTGGCCCACTGTTTCCTCAGGCCATTGGCAGAAGCAGAGGAGGGGCCTATGTTCCTGTCACTGAGATACTGGGGGTGGGACTGTCCGTGTCCAGGACTCTGACTTTCTCTGTCCATTCTGATCCAGACCTCTGCGGGTCTCGGCAGCACCTCTCTCCCACTCCTGCGACTTCTCTGTGAGTCTCTTGCTTGGCTCTGTCATATTCCTCTGTTTTTCCTTTTCTAGAAAGAAAAGTCCAAATCGAACAGTTCCGCAGCCCGGGAACCTAATGGCTTTCCCTCTGATGCCTCAGCCAATCCCTCTCTCCTTCTTGAATCCCAGGGTGAGTCTCATCCTTACATCTTCCTTGCAGCAAAGGAGAAGCTTAGACAAACCATCACTAGCAGTGAGGCTAGTTGTGTGCGTCCGTCCTGTGCCGATGGGTTTGCTGTCACCTTGCTCGGCGCCTTGGCGTCTGTTCGTTAAAGCTCCTCAGTTCTCTCCCAGCGTGAGAGTAGGACCCTCGCTTCCCACAGGGTGCGGGCTGGGCGTGGCCAGTCACGGCTGTAAAGCCCCTGCCTAGCAGAACCCTGCAAAGTCCCGTTTTCAGAATCTGTAGTGCTTTCCTTCATGCGGTTCGGCCCGTCTAAGGTCTCAGCGGCCCCCCCAAACCCGTGGCATCTGCTCCTTGGTTGGCCCTGGGCCGGCTGACCCGGGGTAGCACTCAGCTTCAACCCTCAGCTCAGTGGCCCTCCCCTGGCCCATGAGAGGGATCAGGCAATGTTGTCATTCCCTTAGAAGGAACCGGGCCCCCACTCAGGCGCACTGGGGCTCCATTCTTCCCGTAGCGAGATGCTTCCACCATCTGAGAGAGCAGGAGGGAAGAGCACCAGAGATTTCCAGCTTCCTCTTGGATGGGAATGAGTAGGAAGGAGAATGGGGGGTGAATTCTCTTCAGCTGTGAGGGGCGCCATGGGTTCCACAGCGCTGGGGCACACGTGGGGTCTCATCCTCAGCCTGGTCCCTTCCCCTCCTTCTCATCCCATGACCACTGGACGAGCAGCTGGTGAGCTCCTGACCAGGCGCTGTTGCCTGAGCTACGGGCCGAGCAGCCGAGCAAGCCGGTCAGTGCGGATGACCATCGACTGCCACTGGCCAGAAAGATGGGGTGTTATTCTTCCTGCGGGACCCAAACCTGACTCGCCAGCGCATGCGGACCCCTACTGTCTGCTGGCTGGGAGGGACGGGAAGGAAGGGGATATGAAGAGAAACTGCTGCAGGGCGGTTTGGATGGAGTGGGGGGGCGTGGGGGCGAGCTGTGTAGCGTGTCTCATCGCGGGAGGGGCCATGGGGGTGGTCAGCGGAGGCCTGAGTCCGCAGGCTGGCTGAGAGGAAGGCCTGAAGGCAGCATCTGAGAGGAGAGTCGGGCCTGGCTGTACGGGGTGCGGCACAGGGGGCTGGGCCTTGTGAAGCGAGGTGGTCATTTGAGTGGTGCAGAGTTCTCCAGGTGCTGGGACAGAAGATAGGCCTGTGCACCCCAGTACAGGCCGTCAGGTGACCGGCACGCTGGGCCTGCCATGTCATTGGGACGGGAACGAGCTCTGAAGGCTCAGCATTGTCCTGCCCTTCCACCAGCCAGCGGGCAGCGCTTGGTCCCTGCTGGAAGGGGGTGGGGACGAGACCCCCGGGTCAGTGAAGGCGTCATTTGAAACACAAAACGTTGTGTAAAGCAGGAGCTTGGCATTGGGGCCCGCTCCGGGACTAGCCCATCTGGGAAGTAGGATGTGCGTGTCGGTCTGTTGATCCCTGTGCCCTGTGTCTGTGTGTAGCTGTTCCCCGCCCCCCAAGTTTCTATCCTTGTTCAGGGGGTGCTGAGCAATGATCCTGATGCTTGGTGATGGCTGGGGCTGCCTGACGCGGCATTCTGCTCCCTCACCCGGCGCCCCTGCCCATCTGCCTTTCAGACGAGAACAGCAACCAGAGCTCCGTGTCTGATGTCTACCAGCTCAAGGTGGACAGCAGCACCAACTCCAGCCCTAGCCCGCAGCAGAGCGAGTCCCTGAGCCCGGCACACACGTCCGACTTCCGCACCGATGACTCGCAGCCCCCAACTCTGGGCCAGGAGATCCTTGAGGGTGAGTCTTGTGAGTTTCTTGTGGGAGGAGGGGAGAAGGGGGAGTCTCATCTCTCTCTTTTTTGGGGGGGTGTCACACCCAGCGATGCACAGGGTTTCCTCCTGGCTCTGCACTCAGGAGTTACTCCTGGCGATGCTCAGGTGACCATGTGGGATTGCTGGGAATCGAACCTGGGTCGGCTGTGTGCAAACGCCCTTCCCGCTGTGCTATCTCTCCAGCCCCAGGGAGTCTCATCTCTTGCTCTCAGTGTTTCTCTTTTTTTGGGGTGGAGGCTGGAGGGAGGGTGGGTTTGGGGCACTCCTGGCAGTGCCAGAGATTGAACTCAGCCATTTACAAGGCAGGTGCCTTCCCCTTCCCCGCTGTCCTTCCTCTCTCCGGTCCCTTCCCTTCCTCACTGGACTCAGGCCGGAGCAGGCACCTTCAGTAGGCCCTGCCAGGATGAGCTTGGGATGCGTCCTCCCGCCTCTCGTGGAAGTGAGCCAGGAAGCTCGTAGCACAGGCCAGAGGAGGTCACTCAAGTGGTCAGATCCACACCTAGCCTGTGAGAGGCCCTGGTACCACTCCCACCACTTCTTCCTCTATGCACCCCACACCCAGCACTGCCAGGGGACATCCTTGCACCCCCTGAGCGCTGTAGGCCAAGTTTTGCTGTGAGTGGCCCCCAGGGCCCAATCATTGCCGAGTAAGGCCCCTGTAAAGTTGGGGGTAGTAGAGCAATGATACAGCAGGTAGGGCGCCTGCCTTGCTTGTGACTGACCTATGTTCAATCCCCAGCACCCCATATGATCCTCTAATCGTGCTCGGGGTGATCCCTGAGTACAGAGCCAGGAGTCAGCCCTGAGTAAAGGGTTGGGTTTGTGCCTGACCTGTTGAAGCCTCAAGTTTGGTCCCTTGGTGGCTGGAGCATTAACCCTTCTGGTCCACATAGCTGGGCCAAATGTCACCTAGAGTGGCCCTAGTCTCTAAAGCAGTGTTTGGGCCCCCTTCCCCCTATGGTATGTTACTGCTGGTCCAGACTGTGCAGGTTATTACTGGGAGAACTGGCTGGAGACTTGCAGTCTCGTCCTAGGACTGTCAGTTCATGTTCTTCTCATTATGTCCTGCGGACCTCTCTGAGTGTATGCGGATTCTTTGGCCCGTGTGCTGCCTCCGTGTGGCTCTTAGAAAAGGCCCCCTGGGTGGAGGCAGCACTTAGGAGCTGGGTACTCCTGGCAAGCTGGTTTCGTTTCTGACCTTGATGCCTTTCAGAACCCTCCCTGCCCGCCTCGGAAGTGGCCGATGAGCCGCCCACCCTCACAAAGGAGGAGCCAGTTCCAGTAGAGACCCAGGTGAGGGGGTCCTGGAGGGCCCAGAGTTGGGGACTCTGCAGAATCAAATGTGCTAGCTTGGGGGGCAGGGAATAGGCAGGTTGTGAGGGAGAGGGAGAAGTCGGGGAATTCATGGGAAGGATGATCGTGGCTCTGGGGCTGTGATCAGAGGAATGGAAGGTCCCGGCTCCGAGGGCTGACCCAGAAACCCTTCGCTGGCCATCCCTAGGTTGCTGAGGAAGAGGACGACTCGGGGGCCCCTCCCCTGAAACGCTTCTGTGTGGACCAGCCCGCAGTGCCCCAGACGGCCTCGGCATCAGAGAGCTAGCACTGCCCGCCGCGCTGCTTCCAGCCCGCTCTTCGTCGCATTCTGGTTCTGGCTGTGCTGTGTTGCTGGGGAAGGGCCTGCACGTGGACACCTTCCGGGCTGGGAGGCGGGCACCAGATGTGGGGTAGCAGCATCGTCTGTCTGTCCCTGGCACTGGGGCCCGCTTGCTCACGAGAAGAGAAGCTCTCATCTCCTTTCTGCACCCCAAGTAGGCTGGAGCACCAGCCCCCCCAGGGCCGTCTGTGGTAGTCCAGGCCCTCTGGATGTGGCTGCTGGCGCTCTTAGGAGGCCGGAGATGCAGAAGGCAAGTCGAGAGAAGAGGGTGCCCCGGGCACCTGAACGGGAGACTGCGGATGCGCCCACGTGCCATCGGATGAGGGCCCTGTAGGCTGCTAGTGGGAATGACAGGGAAGGAATGTTGGAGCGAGGGAAGGAACTCCTGCAGGGAGAGACGGGAAAGGTCCAGAGAGTTCTTGCTGTCTTGGCACTTCTGCCCATTCCTGAGGTTTTGTTGCCTCTCATGGGCTCTTCAGCTGCTGAGGGTCCTTTGTGTGTTCCCCACCCCCCCCACCCCCGCCAAACCACACCTTCCCAGCATCCTTGTTATCACCCCTGCATTTCATTCTAGTACCCCTGTTGTGCCACAAACTTCCCCAGCAAGAATTTGAGGACAGTACCTGCCCCCATAGCCCAGTTGTTCTAGAAAGTTCCCTTTCCTTTGAAATCTGCACGTTTAATTCAACTTTGTGATCTTATTTTTTGTTTCAAAAAGAAGTTTAAGAAAACAGAAATGGGCAACAGTGAGTGAAGACATATTTTAGCACTGAATAGAATATTTTTAAAATTAAACTATTTGAAATATGTCTTGTTTGGCTCTAAGTGTTTTCATTCTTCTCCCTCCCTCTCTCCCTCCCTCCCTCTTTGAATTTTGGGCCATACCTGGCAATGCTCAACCTCATTCCTGGCTCTGTGCTCAGGGATCACTTCTGAGCAGTGCTCAGGGCCCATATGTGTGGTGGGGATTCAAACCAGGGTTGGCCACGTCAAGACAGGACACACTGTACTGTCACTCTGACCCTGCTTTGTTTTGGTTTTATTTGGCAATGCTGGGAATCAAACCCAAGACCTCACATGCAAAGCCAAGTGCTCTCCCACAGAGCTACATCCTTGGGCCCTGGCTTTTATTCTTGTTCAGTTTCAGGGCCTAGTGGTTCTCAGATACTGCTCCTGCCTCTGTGCTCTGGGGTCACATCTAATCCTGCTGGGGGCAGTATTTGGTGCCAGCTATATCAAGACCCTGGACCTCTTGCAGGTAAAGTGTGTGCTTAGTCCATTGAGCTCTGTCTCTAATCCTGCTTTGTTTTATCTACAAAACTTAACATGGGGTTGGGAACCTGGAGAGATAGTCAGCAGGTAGGGCACTTACCTTGTACAGTGCCACTGGGATCCTGGCATCCCACACAGTCCCCCAAGCAATTCTGATTGGAGAGGCAGGAATAACCCTGAGCATTGCTGAGTGTGGCCCCCAAACAAAATTTAATGTGAGGTGGGGGATTGAGGGCTTTTACCTTTTATGTGGCCAGTCTGGGTTCAATCCCTGAAACCCCATATGGTACCTTCAGCACCATCAGGAGTAATTCCTGAGGGTAGAGCCAGGAGTAAGCTCTAAGCACTTCTGGGTGTGACCCCTTCCCCAAAAGATGGGAGAGTGCTTGCCTTGCACATTGCTGACCTGGGTTTGATCCCTGGCACCCCAAGCACTTCCGGAAGTGATCTCTGAGCACAGCTGGGTGTGGCCCTAAAATAAAATGTGAACATTGGAGAAGTAGAGGGGGGAGACAGTGCAGTGGTTAGGACTCATGCAAGACTCAATTCCCAGCACCACGTAATTCCTCAAATGTTGGTGGGGCCGCCGGACCTTCTGAGCACTGCTTGGGTGGGAGGCAAAAAAAAATATGGGGGTGGGAAACTATCTTAAAGGGCTAGCTAGCACACGCATGCATGGTGGAAGCCTGGGTTCAAGCCCCAGTATCATATGTTCCCGCTAGAGCACTGAGCCCAGAGTAGCCCCTGAGTGCTGCTGGGTGTGATCTGAAAAAAACAAGAAAAGGCACTGGAGCAATAGTACAGCAGTTAGGGTGTTTGCATATAGCCAATTTGGATTTGATCCCCAGCATCTTATAGGGTCCCCCAAGTATCACCAAGAATGATTCCTGAGTGCACAGCCAGTAGTAGCCCCAAAGCATACAGGCCCAAAGATCAAAATAACCAAAAAAGCGGGGGGGGGGGGCTGCTGAGCTAGTACAGTAGGTGGGGCACTTAGATGTGGCCATCCTGGGTTCAATCCCTGGTATTTCATATGGGGATGCTCAGGACAGTGAGCTCAGAACCAGGAGTAACTCCTGAGCACCACTGGGTGTGTCCCCTGCCCCAAATAAAGTTCACAGGGCTGGAATGCATTCCCTGTGCATACCAAGACCTAATTTCAGTTTATGCCAGAAAACGTCCTACTGTACTATCCAATCCCCTCAATTTCTTTTTCTTTTTCTTTTTTTTTTTTGCCTCTCAAGTAGTGCTCTGGGTGCCAGGGCCCCACTGGTGAAGTTTGGCCGACTGGGAAGAGCTTCAATGTAAGGGCCTAAGGATATAGTGCTGCTCAGACCCTGAGGTGCCAGGGATACCTGGGCCACACCAGTGGTGCCAGGGACCCCCACAGGGCCACACCCCTGGAGCAGGAGGGGCCTCCTCTCAGGGCTGCACCTATAATGCTTGGGGACCACGTGGTACCTGGAGTTGAATCCAGGCTGGCTGCATGCTAGGGCTGTGGCCCAAACTGCCCCATCACTGGCAATATTGGTTCCACTTCATTGATAGTCTCCTGAGGAGTTCAGGCCGGGGCATGCAGGCATTGCACAGTGGCTGAGAGCATCTGCCTCGGAAGTCCGTGGTCACAGTTTATTTATTTATTGTCTTTCTGGCTCACGCTAGTGATGCTCAGGGGTTACTCCTGCCTCTGCACTCAGGAGTCACTCCTGGTGGTGCTTGGGGGACCATACGGGATACTGGGGAGCAAACCCGGATCGGCTGCATGCAAGGCAAACACCCTACCCGCTGTACCATTGCTCCAGCCCCATGGTCAGTTTAGATGACGGGGGTCCCACAGATATCCAGTGTGATCCAGGCAGCTCTGCTGTGTGAGTCCACAACTTAGTGCCCTGCAACTCCAGTGCCACAGGGATTTCCAGCTGCCCTGAAGCAAAGAGTTGGGGTGCAACCCTCATGTGGGCACCAGAGCATGCCACAGGAGGACCACGGCAAGCGACACAAACAAAATGTGACCTTCAGAGGTCCGAGAGATAGATGACAGAGCTTTTTCCTTGCATGCAGCCAACCTGGGCCCAATCCCTGGTATTCCATGGGGTCCCCCAAATCCAGCAGGAATAACCCGAGTACCACAGGGATGGTCGAAAACAAAAATAAACCTTGTGTGCGTCAACTAAAGAGGGTGCCACCCAGCAAATACGTGTGCAGGCACAGCTGCTACAGCTTCTAAGGACCCCAAGGGTCAAGTGCCAGCACCACAGCAAAATATAGTGTGCAAACCCCTGTCATCCCATCACTGAAAACAAAGGGAAGGGAGCAATGGAAATGGAACTTTTGGGGGCAACCCAGTAGTGCGTAGAGTTTGCTCTGGGGTCACTCCTGGCAGTGCTCAGGGACCAGGTGTATTACTGGAAATTAAGCTGAAGTCAGCTGAGTGCCAGGGAAATAGCCCACCGTAGAGAGTACAGTGGGGAAGTTCTTGCCTTGCTAGCCAACTCAGGTTCAATCCCTGCCATTTGATTTGGTCCTTTGAACCCCACCAGGAGTGATCCTTGAGTGCAGAGCCAGGAATAAGCCCTGTGCACCGCTGGGTGTGACCCCCGTTCCCAAAATAAAAGGAAGGGTCAGAGAGGCAGTTAGCACTTGCCTTGCATGCAGTTTACCTGGGATTGATTTTGAGCCTGCCAGGAGTAATCCCCGAGCACTGCTGGGTATGGCACCAAAACCAAAAAGTCCTGTACTATCTCTCTGGCTGACATTAATAAACGACTACTGGATATATGTATGTATATACAAAACTTTTAGGCCCCATCCACTGGTATTCAGGGGCTACTCCTAGCTCTGTGCTCAGTGATATTCTCAGCAGCGCCACAGGGGACGGTGGCCTGCTGGGAGCAAACCACTCCTTCGTGCTTAACTGGTAAGGCTCCTGAAGCCATGTCCTTGGCCCAGTAATATAGTTTTGTAAAGGAATTACTTGTGGAGAATAAAAGAGAGTCAAATTTCCAGTATCCATTGAAAAAAGCCACCAGCTAATATTAAAACCGAAAATTAGGCTGGAGTGATAATACAGTGGGTAGGGCATTTGCCTTGCATGCAACCAACCCAGATTCGATCGGTGGCATCTCATATGTTCTCTCAACACCACCACTCCTGGGTTCAGAGTTAGGAGTATCCCCTGAGCATTGATGGGTGTGGTCCCAAAGCAAAAAATAATAAAACTGAAAAGCTTCGTAGCACTATAATGTATTCTGTTTGGAGCTCTAGAGATTAATAAAAAAAAAAAAAGGACAGGAAACTGCCCTGGGGCTGGAGCAATAATAGAGGTTAGGAGCTTGCATGCAGCTGACCCAGGTTCAATCCTCAGCACCCTGTAAGTTCTCCCAACCCCTGCCAAGAGTTATCCCTGAGAGCAGTGTTAGGAGTAAGTCCTGAGCCAGGTGTGGCCCCAAAACAAAACAAAAATCCCACTTTCCAGATTGAAAATAGTTGTCTGGGGGAGTGGGGAGTTTGGGGTGGTTTTTAATGTTTTTTAATTTGGGGGCCACACCTGGCTGTACTTAAGACTTACTCCTGGCTCTGTGCTAATGGATCACTCCTAGTGGGGCTCAGAAGACCACACGGGGTGCTGGGGATTGAACCCTGGTAGGCCACATACAAGGCAAGTGCCCTAGGCCCTGTACTCTGGCGGCTTTGTTTGCTTGCTCTGGAGGCTATACCCCTGGCTCTGTGCTCAGGGGTTGCTCCTGGTGATGCCTGAGGGCCCATATGCTGTGAATTCTCTCTTGAGTCTCCTAAAACATTTTTTGGGGGTGGGTCACACCCGGTGATGCTCAGGGGTTACTACTCCTGGCTCTGTGTTCTGGAATCACTCCTGGCGTTGCTCAGGGGACCATATGGATGCTGGGAATTGAACCTGGGTCGGCCGCCTGCAAGGCAAACGCCCTACCCGCTGTACTGTCACTCCAGCCCCCTCCTAAAACATTTTTAAAGATACTCATTATTGGGGGCTGGAGAGATCATAGAGCAGGCAAGCACAGTTGTTGATCTTTATTATCACCTCCTCTACCTTTATTTTGGGAGGTGCTTCTCTGCTGGAGCGGTAGCACAGAGGTAGGGCGTTTGCCTTGCACATGGCTGATACAGCCAACCCGAGTTCGATTCCTCCACCCCTTTCGGAGAGCCCAGCAAGCTACCAAGAGTATCGCGCCTGCACAGCAAAGCCTGGCAAGCTCCCCATGACGATGTATTCGATATGCCAAACACAGTAACAAGTGTCACAATGGAGACGTTACTGGGCCTGCTCGAGCAAATCGATGAACAACGGGAGGACAGTGCTTCCTGACAGACAGTGCTTCCTTCTCTGCTCCAGCTTACTTAATCTCCACTTCCTTCCTCAGGATTTCTAGCTGTGTTTCCGGCTCAGTAGGGCACCTCAGACTTCTCTAGCTAAACCTTGGGCCCATCCAGGCTGTTTCACTTTCTGATCTCTGCTTCATCAAATACCTAGGCTGGGGGCGGGAGCGATAGCACAGCGGGTAGGGCATTTGCCTTGCATGTGGCCGACCTAAGCATTGCCAGGATTAATTCCTGAGTGCATGAGCCAGGAGTAACCCCTGAGCATTGCCAGGTGTAACCCAAAAAAGAAAAACAAAAAGGACCCAGGCTGGATTCAGTCCATAGCCAACCCAACTGATTTATGTGACTCTTGGGCAATGGGCAATGGGCTGCTTTTTAAATTTTTGTTTTATTTCAGGCCCACTCCTGGCTCTATGCTCAGGGATCAGTCCCAGTGGGGCTGGGGATGGAACCAGGGTCCACAGCTGCAAAGAAAGGACCTCTCCAGCCCTGGGGGTTTTTTTCAACAAGAACAAATATTTTCCAGTTTGTTTCTGTTTGTTTTTGTCTCCACTTAGTAGTGCTTGAGTGGCCACACCTGGCTCTGTGCTCAGGGGGTTGAATCAGTCAAGTACTTACCTCCCTGAACTATCTCTCTGTTTTTGATGGTTCTGGAGTCCACTGCCCTGCAAATACCATTAGTCACCTCATCTGTACCTCTCTAACCCACGTGCATTAGGTTTAGTGCAAATGTGGTTGCATTCCAGTCTGTGGTCTTGCTTCCAACCCCCTCAGCACCATCCTTTCAGGCACTCAGTACAACCAGTTGGCACCAGTGTGGTTACTTCCTTTTCTCTCCGCTCTCGAAACTTTCTGCCTCAAAACCGTGTTTTTTTTTTTTTTTTTTTTTGCCACACCTGGCTATGCTGAGGTTACTCCTGGCAATGCTCAGGCGAGCATATGCCTTGCGCAGGATCAAACCTGGGTCAGTCTGTGCAAGTGCAGGACAATCGCTCTGAACACCCCCGCCCCCACCCCCCACATTTTTGGCACATTGTCTCAAGTTTACCCTCTGCCTAGACGTTTTGTCCTCATTTATCTGCCTGTGAAGTGTGAGGACGAATCTTTCCAGTATAGTCAACCCCGATGACTTGTTCCTGAGATTTCTCCTACACCCTTTACTTAGAAATGATTACTTAAGATGAGCAACTTTCTCTCATCAGGAAAGGCTTCATGGAGGTGGTGTCTAAGAATAAATTCATAATTTTTAGTGGTGGGGGGGTTAGGGGGTAGGTATATTTATGTTTTTGGGGCCACACCCAGAGTTTACTCAGGGTGCTCAGAAGACTATATGAATTGGCAGGGGGGATCGAACCCATATCAGCCACATGCGAGGCAAGTGCCCTACCAATTGTATATACCAGCTCCAGCCCAGGTGTGCTATCTTTTAACTTGAGGTGAGCAGAAAAGAAACAAGGTCCTGGCATTGATTTCAAGGACCCCTACTCCATCCCATTCGAAGTGTGAAAGAGACAAGTGAAGGGGGAGAGAATTACAAATAAGTATGTTTCCGATGGTAGTGGATAGTCAAACCGACTTTGGATGTACCTGGGGGGAGTTGGCTTGGAGAACCAGCTAAAAAGCCATCACTCTCCAGGCAGTTCCTGCTGTCTTCTTATTGCACATGCTGCATGCAGCACATAGAATTATGATTATTTGGGCGGAGCAATAGTCCAGTGAGGAGGGTGTTTGCCTTGCACACTGCTGATCCAGATTCTATCCCTGGCACTCCATATGGTCCCCCAAGCAACACCAGGAGTAAATCACCAAGTGCAGAGCCAGGAGCAACCCCTGAGCATCGTCGGGTGTGGCCCCCAAAAAACAAACAAAAAAAAGGTGATTATTCCGTTGTCGGCTGTTTCTTCAGGCAGGCTGGGGGTTTCATTTTTTTTCCTCCTCAGCACAGGGCTCGGAATATTGTAGGGGCTAGTGAATGAATGAACTACGTGAACGAGAAGATGCATCTTTTAATAGCTAGCTTATAATGCTCTTCCATGTTTTTCGAAGGAAACCCTACTTTGCAGCAAGGCCAGAGGAACAAATATCCTAATACGCAGATCTCAATCACTTTTCCCGGCCCCAGGAAGTCAGCTCTGGGGCGAGCTAGGCGGGGGGTTCGAGCTTTCTTTCCCCAGACGCACTCTGTGCTCGGGCCAGGTCCCGGGGTGACTTCGCGCCAATACCTCCTCCTTTCCGCCCCACCCACAAGCCCCCGGGCGTGGCCGAGCGCGCGGCGCCTTTAAGAAAGGGGCGGAGCAAGAGCGGAAAGACAAAGCCCCTGGCCGCGCGCTCTCCCTCCTCCCTCCGGCGCGCCGCACGGACAGTGGTACCCGGATGTCGGTGTCGCCGTCGGTGACAGATGGCGCAGTGTTTGTCTGTGTCGGGGTGCCTCTCGGGCCTGACCTCTCTCGGCTCCCGGCCCTTCGGCCTCCCGGCGTGACGCATCTCCCACTCGGCGGCGGGCGAGCCCGCGCGCCTGTCACTGGCGCTTATATAACGTGACCTTTCACCTCTCCGTACTGCCCTCTAGTGCGCTGCAACCCAACTACGCGGCAGGAAAAGGGGGCGGGGCCCGAGCCCGGAGCGGCGGCTCCGCGGAGCCAATCGGCTGCGGGCGCTGACCCGCTCCCCGCCTATGGGAGCCGTACGCCGCCGGCGCCACAGGGGAGCAAGTTAGTGTGCGCGTGGCCCGGGCGGGGGGGAGGAGGGGAATCTCCCGCCATTTTTCAATAATTTCCTCCGGTGCCGCTGAGCCAGGAGTCGTGACTGCCGGACGCGGGGGTGGGGGGGCTCCGCGGCGGAGGTTGGCCGGAGGCTGACCGAGCGGCCCACGCGGCGTGCGGGCGAGTCCCGTCCCCCTCGGCGCCCCCGGCCCATGGCCCGGCCGCGGCCGCGCCGGCCCTGAGGGAGCCGAGTTCGCGCCGCCCTCTCACCCCTCCCCTCCCCCACCCACCCCGGGCGCCAGGCGCTCGCTCGGGGCCGCGGGGCCTAGTGTGGCGTCCGCCGCGGAGCCGGAGCCGCCGCCGCCGCCGCTGCTGCTGCTGCTGCTGCCGCCGCGATGGCGCCGCTCCTGGGCCGCAAGCCCTTCCCGCTGGTGAAGCCGCTGCCGGGCGAGGAGCCGCTCTACACCATCGCGCACACGCAGGAGGCCTTCCGCACCCGGGAGTATCCTTGGCCCGCGGCGGGCGGGGAGGGAGGGTCGGGGCTGCGCGGGCTGCGCGGGCTGCGCGGGCTGCGGGCCGGCAGCTGTCAGCGCGCGGGCCTGCGCCCCGCGTCTGCCGGGCCGGGCCGGGCTGGACCGGGCCGGGCGAGCCCGCGCCTGCATCCCTCCATCTCTCTCCCCCGCGCCCCCGGCCGCCGCCGCCGCACTTTGTCCCCGGGGCCTCGCTGTCCCGGCGCGACCCCTGCGTCGCCCCCCGCGCGGCCGGTGGTCGGGCCCTTCTCGGGCTCCTTAAGTATCTCCGATCCGAGGGCGGGTTGGGGTGGGGAGGGGGGAGACCGGGGACGGGGAACGGGGGTGGCTTGGCTTGGCTGTCGCGGCGCTTTTAGCAGGGGGGGTGCAAGGGAAAAAAATAACAAGGAGGAGAACGGTTCTGCGTAAGTTTCTGGAATCGCACCCGCGCGGCCTCGGGAGGCGTCTCCGAGGGGGGCCTCCGGCTCGGCGGGGGCCCGGGGCGGCCCGCCCGGAGGAGGCGGCGCGGCTGGCGGCTCCACTGACAGGCCCCGGGGCGGGAGCGCGATCGCCGACCCGGGGGGAAAAGTTCCCTCGCGCGCGATGCGGCCGCGCGCGAGCCCGCCTGCGGGCGCTGGTCGGCGACGGCCACGGTGCGGGCGGAGCTGGGGGTGCGCCGCCCGGGAGAACGAATGAACGGGGTGCTCGGGGGGGGGGGGCCCTCGCGCCGCCGGCGTTCTTCGGGTGGGCTCGGGGGACGCGCGCGCGCTGGCGGGAGACGCGGCTCGTGGTCCTGGTTGGTTTCTTCTCGCGCAGGCGTCTGAGCCCGCGGCTCGCAAGTTGCCGGTTCTGGAGGGATGCCCCGCTTGCTTCCCGGCTGAAGCTGCTCCCCAGCGGAAAGGTCGGTGTCGGAATCGGGGTGGGTTCCTGGCGCGGTGGGGTGGGACTTTTTTTTTTTTTTTTTTTTTTTTGCGTCCCCGGCTTCCTCTTTGGAGGCGCTCGATTTCGGTTTCTGGAGTCCGCTTGCCTGGGAGTTCGTTTGGATCGCTTGGTTTCGGTTCTCTGGGATCGGTGCTAGGAACTCTGTAGGAGAGCATCTCACTGGGGGCAGCCCGGACCCCCTGCAGGGAGCTTCCGTACAAAGACCCCCCAGAGCGGGTCTCTGCCTGCGGGAGGCTTTGGAAGGAATAAACCCGGGGGCTGTCAGAACTGGAGTGGCTCTTGGGGCCCCCCTGGCTCTCCACCCCCTGGCTTGGCAGTTGTGCCCAGAGGGTCCAGGTGGACTTGTTTATTATGTCGGGAGTTAGAAGTAGTGACTTTTTAGCATTTTTTTTTGTCTGTTAGGATTTTTGAAATGTTGGGCGAGAGAAGTCGTCTGTCTCTGCTAAATCCAGATTATTTGGAAGATGCCCTCCTTCGGCTCTTTTTTTTTTTTTTTCCCAAAAAACAGTGACTTGAAAAAAATGATTTGGGAATCTGCCGATCCCTTTATAATGTCATTCAAATGCCATCTTTTGAGCCGTTGATCCTTGCATGTGTAATCTTACCAGATGTTGATTTTCTTTTTCTTTTTTCCTTCCCAGCTCTGGTTCTAGTGTAGAAACGTGGGCTAGAGAATGTTCTGACAGGGAACCAGGCAGGGCTGTAGTGGGCGCATTCTGCCTTTGAGCTCATGAGGCCGACTTTCTCTATTGGTGATGGAAACCGTTCACGTGATATATGTGGGGCAGTTTCTCTTAAGGAAAGGACAGGTCTTCTAAAAAGAGGTATTTCGGAACAGTTCTTCACGTTTAAAATGTGTTCAGCTAGTAGTTGGAGATCCTTAACAAAGGAATTCTTAAGTTGTATTACACCCAGGGCAATTGCCCCCTTGGGGATTTCTACAAGTGGAAGCACTTTGAGGATGGTTTTGAAACAATTGCAGGCTGTGGTTGGGGGTTGGCATATTTCTTTATTAGGCTGTTAGTGATTTCATTGAGGAGAGCAAGTGTGTGGTTGTTTGACCGCTGCATTTGAAGTATTGTTACTTTTTAATTCGTATTTATAACTGCTTTAATAGGATTTGATACTTTAATTTTCTAATATCTTTTGACTATAAGTATATTCTTCAGCAAATTTATGCTGTATTTTATTGACTTTTTTTTTGCCACACTTTTTGGTTTTCAGGTTTCACTTCTGGCTCTGCTCAGGGATTACTCATGGTGTTGCTCAGGGGATCATATGGGGTACCAGAGATGGAACCCTATCAGACGAATGCAGGGCAAGTGTCCTACCTGCTGTACCATCTCTCCTGACCTCCCCAAATAGTGTGTTTTTTGATAAGTTCTTGAAGACATTGTGTATCTTCACTAAACTTACAGTGTATTTGTGAATGATACATTTAATGATTATGGGGCCTGAGAGAGAGTAGGCCTCTTTGCCTTGCATGGGACTGACCCTTGTTCCATCCCCAGCATTCCATTCTGGGGGTCCCCAAGCACCCCCAGGAGTGATTCCTGAGTTCAGAGCCAGGAGTAACCCCAGAGCATTGCCAGATATAGCCCCCAGATGAAACAAAATTTAGTGGCTGGGTATTAGGAATCAGTGATGCTGTTTATTGAGCTGTAGCTTTGAAATTAACTCATATTATTTTCTAGATTGATACTGGAGGCAAGACAGTCTCTCAGAAGTACCCACACTTACTTGACTTACATCCCCTTTTCATGGAAAAGAAGAAAAACAACTCTCCTGGCAATCTACCTTTCTTTTTTTCTCCTTTTGGTTTTGAGGCCATGGCTGTACTTAGGGCTTACTCCTGGCTCTGTGCTCAGGAATCACTCTTGGTGAGGCTCGGTTGGCCCTTGGGGTGCCAGGGATCAAACTCTGGTTGGCCGTATGCAGTGCAAGTGCCTTACCCGCCCGGTCCACCTTCTTTTAAGGGAGTGGAAGGAAAGCACATCCTCTGTCATTCTCTTTGGCAAGCACTACAGCCTTCTGACGTGGAAGAATGAATTGTCAGAATCTTTCCTACTGGAGTTGCTGGACAGTCGGCTGGTACACTGACTATTGGCGCTTTGGTTTGTTTAGGGACCAGCAGTGCTCAGGGCTTATTTCTCTCTCTGTTCAGGAATGACCCCTGCTGGGCAGTGTGCAAGGCTAGTGCCTCGTCTTTTATACTTTCTGGCCTGCAGCACACTATTTAAGACAAGGTGGATGGCAAGGAGAAACTGAAGTTATAGGCAGAGAACTATAGAGGGAATGTTTAGTTGTATTGCTTTAATTATCTGAATTCTAAAGCTTAGGGGCCATAATCTTTGTAGCATTCGTGTATGAAAACTCAGGTGGTGGGACTGCACCATATAGCACAGCGGGTAAGGTGTTTGCCTTGTACGCGGCTGACCTGGGTTCAATCCCTAGCATCTCATAGGTCCCCTGAGCACGACCAGGAGTAATTCCTGAGTGCAGAGCCAGGAGTAACCCCCTGAGCATTGCTGGATGTGACCCACAAAAAAAAAAAAAAAAGGAAATAAAAAGAAAACTCAGATGGTGTAGTGAAAAGGAAATGTTAGCATAAACAGCTAACCTGATTCTAAGCATGGGAGACTAGAACATGCTTTAGGAGTTGGAGTATAGTTGAAATTACAAGATAATATTTTTATTATTACTTTTTGGGGGGTCTTACTCAGTGATGTTCAGGGGTTATTCCTGGCTCTGCACTCAGGAATCATTCCTGGCAGTGCTTGGGTGACTGTGGGATGCCGGGGGTTGAACCTGGCCTCCTACAAGGTAAACACCCTACCCACTGTACTATCCTACAGCCCCTTGCAAGATAAGATTTTATGGACAGTTGAGACACTGCGGGTTTTGTTTTGGGGCCACACCAGGGCTTACTCCTGGGTTTGCTTACTCCTGGCTCTGCACTCAGGAATTAACTTCAGACGTGCCTAGGAGACCATACCAAATGGTGGTAACGAATCCTGGTTGGCTGTGTGTGCAAGGCAAACACCCCACCTGCTATATTATATGGCCCCAGAATACTGACTTACTATGTAGATTTTTCCAGATTAGAGATTTTTTTTTGAGGGCGGGGGGGCACACTGGAAGAGTTTACTCCTGGCTCTGTGCTCAGGGGTTGCTTCTAGAAGCCCCAGGGGACCTTGTGGGATGCCACGAGCAAGGCAAGGGCCCTACCCGCTCTATTCACTCTAGCCCCCTCCCCCAAAAGGCAGATCTTGAGAGTCTTGAGTGGGTGCTTTAATCCTTCCATTTAAAACTCTTAGGTTTATAGTTATGTTTATTTAACCCCCACATTTTCTGGGCCACTTCCCCTCAAGCGAGCAAGTGCTTATAAAGAAAGTCCTTACAAGGCTAGAGAATAAAGTGGCTTGTTATGGGAAGCAGACAGCTTTTTTTTACCCCCTTCTCCTTTTGGGCCACACCCAGCTGTGCTCAGGATCACTCTTTGTGGGGATGGGGGACTATATGAGATGCCGGGGATTGAACCAGGGTTGACCTGTGGAAGACTGTGCCAGACCTGCCTTACTATTGCTGTGGTCCCTCAGGCAGTTTTTGAATTTAGGGGATAATGGGCACATGAGGAGTTAGTCTGGGACAGTGCTTCACAGGGTGGGTAGGATGCTGCCCCCCAGGGGCAGGGGTGGGGGTTTACCATCAACCCCTCCCCTCCTCTGTGTGTAGAGGGGAGGGGTTGATGGGTGTAGTAGCAGAGTTCACAGGTGGGAGGCCTTGATCATTTAAAGGTTGGTTTCCAGGGGCTGGAGTGATAGCACAGCGGGTAGGGCGTTTGCCTTGCACACGGCCCAACCCGGGTTTGATTCCCAGCATCCCATATGGTTCCCCGAGCACTGCCAGGAGTAATTCCTGCGTGCATGAACCAGGAGTAACCCGTGTACATCGCTGGGTGTGACACGCATGAAAATAAAGTTTGGTTTCCAGAGTGTTACTGAGTGAATCTCCCTCCCCTGCCACACCCCAGAGTAGGTCAAATAAATTTGGGAACCTCTAATCAAGAATTTGAAAATATTTGATCATTTTTAATTCTGCTGCCCCATCCATTACTTTGAAAGGAGTAGCTTTGACATTTTGTCTAATTACTTCTGCTGTAGTTGTTGGAACATTAAACCTCAGTTGGCATTTGCTGTAAAAGGGTTGAGAGTAACGTAAAATCTGAAATGCGATTTAGAGGCATTTGATTTAATATTCTTCCAGGAGGCTTTTCTTTTTTTCCTTTTATTTCCTCCCTTCCCCCTTCTTGGGCCACACCGAGTTTCTTGGGACTGTATGTGGTGATTGGATTTGAACCCTTTTTTGCAGCCATAGCCCCATGCAAAGCAAGTACCTTAACCTCTATTCTCTGTCTCCAGTCTTCCTTTCAGTATTCAGTTATTGTTGCTTTATTTGGTCTTTAAAAACCAGAAGAGTTCTGTAAACTTAAAACTGTTCTGTATTGGAACTGGAGAACTAGTACAGGCACTTGCCCTGTACGTTGCTGACCTGGGTACAATCTCAGGCATCCTGCATGGTCCCCTAAACCCTCCCAGGAGTGATTTTTGAGCACAAAATATTACAGGTGTGGCTCCGAACCCCCCTCCCCCCAGTAAGCCAAACTATTCAATATTGGGGACTTACAGAAATTGTAATGCGAGACATTTGGAATTAACTAAAATGACCAGTCAATTAAAATTTTTCAGCTACAGTGCTAGGGATATTGCTCGGCCGTCGAGCACTTGGTCTTGCTTGGGTGAGGCCCTGTGCTTAAAAGGAAATCAACTCCTGTTGGAGGGCATTCATCCTGAGACACAAACTTCAGGTGTGTAGAAATACAGTATGAGCCACCGACATTCAAGACTCTAGGATGGGGAAAGCTTATCTGGCTAGGTTGTGTGATGCTGGAGCTCTGTGTTTGATCTCCAGCACTTCGTGGTCTTTTGGGAGTACCTCTGACCCTCTTACAGTGCAGTGTGCGAACCCGCTCCTCATGCCCCTTGATAAAAGCTCCTTGGGCTAGAAAGATAGCTTCAGAGTTCGGGCACATGCTTTGTATTTGGAGTCTCATGGTTCCCGGAGCACCTCTGGGATCCCCAGCACTGCTTAGCTGTGACCCAAAAAACAGTTTCAGGTGGTCATAGTTGGGATAAAACAAAATGGAAGAAAAATAGGGAAGAGATTTTTTTTTTTAATTCTAAAACCCAGGCTGAAGGGGCAGATGAAGTTTGCATTGTGCTTTGTTAGCCCTGGTCGTGCTCAGGACTGATGCTAACTCTGTACTAAGGTTCCCCTGATGAAACTCGGGGGCCTTGTGTGGATGAACCCAGGGATTGAACCCAGGTCAGCTGCATGCAAGCAAGAGCCCTGACCGCTTCTTTTACTGTCTTTGGCCCTTCATTGTGCTTTCTAGTGACAGAAAAAGCTGGAGGAAATCTCATGACTCACGTGACTTGGGGGGAGGTGGCTAGGAAGTAGACCTTGGTGATGCTCAAATCTTAGTCCTTACTCTGTGCTCAGGGATCACTGTTGGTATTGCTTGGGAGTGCTGTTGTCAGCGGCAAACGCTATACTGCTGTTTCTGATTGGACTCTCCCTTCTATCCCTGGTGGATGGCCAAGAATTGCAAGGAGGGGACCCCAGGCCCACTGAGCATCCCTCCTCCAAATATGACGAGGATTTAAGCTTTGAAGAGTTTCTGAGATTGAAGCTTTGCTTCTGTTTTTGTTTTGCAGTGCTGGGGTTTGAACCCAGGGTTGCCCATTCTAGGCCTATGGTCTGCCACTAAGCCACAATTCCAGCCCAAGTTTGAAGTGCTGGGCCCATGCAGAGGCCCATAGCTTGATCCTTGACACTACATGGTTCCCTCAGCACTAAGTGTTGGAGCCCTAGTGTCCCCCAGGAATTCTGGGGAGACCCCGAAGTTTTAAAAAAAGATTAAAAGGAGAGGGTTGGGAAGGTACCTCAGTTCTAGAGCATTTGCCTTGGTTCTGGGTTCTAGTCCCTGCACTAACAAAAACATTTGTTGCGTTTTGATTATGTATTTGGGACACCCCTAGGCGTGCTCAGTGTTTACTTCTGGTGGTACTTTGCAGAGTGTATGTGGTACCAGGGATTGAACCGAGGTGGGGCACATTCCGTACTGGCCCTTCACACCTAAAACTTTTGAAGGAAGTTTCACATGGCTAAGGTGACTGGGTGAGGCTTGTGCGTTGGTAAGGGATGCACCCAGGAGAGAGTTGCCTCACTAGCCCTGTGAGGGCGCTCGAGGAGCTGTGACTTTGCCTTACAGTTCATGGAGGTTGAACATTTGAACAGGCTGGCGGCAGGTCAGGTGCCCTGCGCTGGGAATCTGCAACCTTGAGAGGAGCTCACAGGCTGGACCCACCGGTGATGCAGCCATCACAGACGACAGATGCTTGTGCACGGAGAATCTCCTAGCTCTTAAAGTAGGCAGAAGCATAATTAGAAATAATCAGAAATAAATTTGGTGGAGTTGACAGGAGGTGGCCATTGTAGTCAAGTGAAGCATCTGTAGATCTTCGCTAGGGGGCCGAGACTGGTGGAGACCACATGTTTCCGGGGCTCAGACATAGGGCCTTAAGCAGCCCTCAAGCGAAAGAACTGCTTTTCACTTGGTTAGTAGTGTCTGACTCCCATGCAGAAAACCCTGGAGGAGGAATGAAGGTTTATTTCTGTTTGGATTAAGCATGAGGCAGTCTCTGAAGTGTTTGCTTTGTGACGCTTTTACATAGAGTTGTGGGTATCCCAGTGGAGGAGACTGAGCGGAAGTTTCAGGGACGGATGAGGTCACCAGATGACAGTGATTTCTGTGATAGAGGGTGGGAGAGAAACCTCACAGGGCAGAAGGAATTTTATTTGAAAGAAAAAAAAACATCATTTGTAAGTATTTAATTTAAACAGGTTAAAAAAGTTCCCCTCCTTCCCCTTTTGATAGGAAAATTAAAAAGCTAAACAAAATCTGCATTGGGGGAGTGATTTTTCACTGTGGAAGCCAGGCTCTGGGATTGTTTTTCCCTGTGGGACTTGTACATTTTGGGGGCCTGATATTTTTTGTTTGGTTGGTTTTGGGGCCACACCCAGCTCAGCTGACTTACTCCTGACTCTTCCCCTCAGGGATCACTGCTGGTAGAACTTGGGGACCATGTGGGGTGCCAGGGACAGAACCCGGGTCAGCCTCCTACAAGGCAAATGCCCTACCCTCTGTACTATCGCTCTGACACTGCTCCCCCCTACCCAACTCCTTAATTTTGTTTGCTGGTATTTTAGTTTTGTTTTGGGCTTGACTCAGATGTTCAATGCTAATCCTGTCTCAGTGCTCAAGGAGGTAGAGTGCCATGCCAGGGCTCAAAGCCAAGCCTCCTTCATGCTTCCAATCCTTTGGGCAAACTCCCAGCTCTTCCACAGGGAGTTTTTTTTCCCCTTGGTTCACCCTGCAATGCACAGGATTATTTACGGCTTGATGCTCACCTGGGTGCTTCCAGTTGTGCGCCAGGGACTATGTGCCAGGGACTAAACCTGGGCCATCAGCATGCAAGGCATGCACTAGCTTTAAGCTATTTTCTCACTCAGATTATTATTATTGTTGTTGTTGTTATTTGAGAGGGTGGATACTCAACTACGCTCAGATATTACTCCTTGCTCTATATAGGCTCAGGGATTACTCCTGGTGGTGCTCAGGGGATCATATGGACTGCTGGGGATTGAACCCACATTTCTGCATACTAGGCAAGTGCCATACCTGTTGCACTGTCTCTCCAGCCCCCATGTGGCCAGGTTATTATTTTGGTCTTTTTTGGGGGCGGGGACTGCATCTGGCAGTCCACTCCTGACTCTGCTCAGGAATCACTCTTGGCAGGGCTTGGGGTGCTGGGCTTGATCCTGTATTGTGTAAGGTGTGCACCCTCCCTGATGGACTGTCTCTCTCATCTCATTCTCTCGAAATTCTTACTAAGTCTTGGGTTATATTTTGCCTTGATTTTTTTCCTTAGGAATTTTTAGTCACTCTGTAGTTCTCGGATGGATCAAGGAAACCACATTTGTACTAAAATTTTAATATTGTTTTTCTAAAGCGTAGCATTCTAATCATACTGCAGTCATAACCTGTTTGGATTTATAAGTTGAAATCTCTGGTTTCAGTTTTCTCTTATGCTGTACATTATCTAGGAAGAGTTTTAAACTCTTAGGGAAAACGTGCATGTGTGGGTTGTCTCTGCTGCCTGAGTGTTATTTTCCTGAGCCAGCGCCGCCAGAGAGTATGAAGCCCGCCTGGAAAGGTACAGTGAGCGCATCTGGACTTGTAAGAGTACTGGGAGCAGCCAGCTAACGCACAAGGAAGCCTGGGAGGAGGAGCAAGAAGTTGCCGAGCTGTAAGTAATGAAATAGTTCTAGCACCATTCTTGCCTCATGAACATTCTGGAAGTGTGGCTCTGTGCAAGGGAAGCTGTAGAAACAAAAGTAATACGGGCTGGAGCGATAGACTAGTGGCTTAAGGTTCTTGCCGCCTTGCACACGGCCTACCTGGGTTTGTTTGAGAAGTGTTCATTTTGTTATCCAGAAGGTTTGAACCAGCAGCATTCGTACCAGCAATGGATAAGGGGTTCTTTTTCCCTGCATCCATATCAGCACAGGTTGTTTTCTGTTCTTTGTGATGTGAAAATCTTTTCTGATTATAAGATTAATCTAGGGGTCGGAGCAGTAGGACAGAGGGTAGGGCACTTGCCTTGTGTCCAGCAGACCCAGATTTGATCTCTTTATGATATATGATATATGATATAATCTCTTATGATATAGCATGTGATCCCCATGTGATATCTTGACCACCAGGAGTGGTCTCTGAGTGCAAAGCCAGGAGTAAGCCCTGAGAGACTGGGAGACGTCACGAAAGAGAGAATGCATCTCTGAGGGCCAGGGAAGACTTCATGGAGTGAACAAAATTTGGGGACACCCTGAATGGTTGATTAAATAAAGTGTGAAAGGAGGAGGACAAGGTTAGCGAAGGCAGGCAGATTTGATTGAGACTGGGGAGAAGCAGATAACTGGAGTTAATTAAAGGGAATATAAAGTTTTAATTTAGCAGTCAGGTGGGGCAGCAGTCTAATTTTGAACAACAGAGAATGAGAATAATTGAGAATTATTCCTCACCTGGGCTGGAGCGATAGCACAGCGGGTAGGGCGTTTGCCTTGCACGCAGACAACATGGCCGACCCAAGTTCGATTCCTCCGCCCTTCTTGGAGAGCCTGGCAAGCTACCGAGAGTATCTCTCCGGCACGGCAGAGCCTGGCATGCTACCTGTGACGTATTCAATATGCCAAACACAGTAACAACAAGTCTCACGAAAGGAGACGTTATTGGGCCCGCTCGAGAAAATCGGTGAACAACGGGAGGACCATGACCGTGATGAATTCCTCACCATGTTGAAGTGTTGCTTGAATCTTGTAACTGATTCTAGTCTTTACCCAAAGCATAGTTATTAGCAGCCTGATTAAAATTGGATCGCTTGGGACTGGAGAGATAGTACAGTGGGAAAGGCCCTTACCTTGTACCTGGCAGACCTAGGTTCGGACTCCGGCACCCAGTATGATCCCCTGAGCCCTCCAGGAGTGACCCATGGGCCAGGAGTGATTCCTGAGTACAGCCAGGCATGGTCCCAAAACAAACAGAAATTGGATAACTAATTGCTCGCCATTTCATTTGATTTGCTTCCCATTTTCTGCTATCATAAAGGTTCCAGCAATGAATATCTTGATGCACATATGCTTTTTGCAAATGTTGCAAATGTTACTCTGTACTTTATTTATTTTGACTTTTTTTGCCACTCCTGGAGAGGCTTAGTGGTTACCCCTACACTGTGGGATTACTCCTGGTGGTATTCCAGGGACCATGTGGGATGCTGGGCATGGAACTGGGGACCACTGCATGTAAGGCAAATTCCCTTTTTTTTTTTTTGCTTTTTGGGTCACACCCGGCGATGCTCAGGGGTTACTCCTGGCTCATGCACTCAGGAATTGCTCCTGGCGGTGCTCAGGGGACCATATGGGGTGCTGGGAATCGAACCTGTGTCGGCCATGTTGGCTGCGTGCAAGGCAAATGCCCTACCCGCTGTGCTATCACTCCAGCCCCGCAAATTCCCTTTTTGAGAAATGTTTGAGAAATAAAAACTAGCACGCCATGTTTTACTTTGCAAAAGGAGTTCAAATCATGGTCTCAACATATTAACCATTCCTTATTCATGAAGTGAAAACTCTAGATATCTTACCATGTTTTGTGAATGCTAAATGAATGCTTTTGTTTTATTTTTTGGTTTCTTGGGCCACACCTAGCAATACTCAGGGTATATTCCTGGCTCTTTGCTCAGAGATCACTCCTAGGTGAGCTCGGGACCATATGGGGTACCAGGGATTTAACCCCGATCAGCCACACACAAGGCAAACACCCCACCCACTGTACTATCATTCTAGCCCCCTGAAAGTATTTTATTGATTGCAACTTAATGTAAGTAGATTTTTGTCTGGGGGCTACCTTCTGCAGTGGTCAGGGCCTTCTCCCAACTCAGGGGCCACTCCTGGCAGTGCTAGGGGATCTTATAGTGGCCAGATTGAGCTTGAGCCGGCTGTACAGTCTCTGGCTGCTCATCCACTAAATTTTCAGTCTCCTGTTCCAAAGATGTAAGCGAACAGTTCACACCTAACAAGACAAGTTTGCAAAGACTAATGAAAGGAGGTTCACCTTACTGGGCCAGGGATTCCACTTGGGGCTGAGTGCATGCTTGCAAAAGTGGGGAGCCCTGAGTGATTTCTGGAACCATGTGATCCCCCAAGCACAGAGCCAGGAATAGCCTCTGAACATCACAAGGTGTGGCTCAAAAACAAAATTTTCCCGTCTCTTCCTGTGTCTCATGTGTTTAAATTTTTTTTGGGGGGGGAGTGGGGAGCACACATGGAGTTGTGCTTAGAAACTTTTGACGTGGTGCTTGGGAGTTGTTCTTCTTGTTCTTGGGGGTTTATGGGCTGAGCGGATGCTGAGGATAGAACCTGGGCCTCCCACGTACACAACATGCACTCCACCAGACCCTGGGACCTTCACTTCAGCTCTGGTTTATTTATTTTTGTCTTTTTTGGGCCACCCTTGGTGGTGTCTGGGGCTGCTCCCTGCTCTGTGCTCAGGGGGACCATGCAGTGCTCGGGGGGGTTGAACCCCAGGGTCTCCTGCAGGCCAGTTTTGATTTATAAGCTGGTGTTTCTTGGCTTCTTGCGTATTTTTGCTAAAGAAATGTTTGTTTTGACCTGACTTTAGTCTCTGGAGATAGACTTCTGTGGTTTCTTGGTAACTGATAATGGATTTCTTCAGCTTGAAGGAGGAGTTCCCTACCTGGTATGAAAAGCTTGTTCTGGAAATGGTCCACCATAACACGGCCTCCTTGGAGAAGCTGGTAGACTCTGCCTGGCTGGAGATCATGACCAAATATGCTGTGGGAGAAGAATGTGATTTTGAGGTAAGCACCTACTTTGCATTTTCACTATTTCTATTATTTCAGTGTTTGGACTACTTCTGTCTCCTTGGGACTTCCTCCCTGGTTCAGGGAACTTTTGGCGGGGTGCAGCTGCATGTAAGGCGTATGCCATACCCTTTGTACTATCGCTGTACCAAGCAACTGTTGTTTTTGTGCCAAACCTGGAGGTGCTCAGGGATTATGCCTGGTGGGACTTGGGGAACCATATGGGGTACTGGGAGTTGAACTTGGGTCACCCCCATGCAAGGCAAGCTTTGTACTTGCTGTCATGTCTCTTTGGTCCCCAAGCATCTTTTGTTGTTCATTTGTGTTTTTTGGGCCAAACGTGGCAATGTTTGGGGTCTATCTCTGCTGAGGAATCATTCCTGGTAGTGCTTAGGGGTCCACATGGGATGCCAGAGATTGAACTTAATGGGTTGTGTGCAAGGCAAATGTCCTACATGTCGTACTGTGTCTCTGGCCCCCCAACACCTATTTTTAAAAAAAAGTAATGTGATTTGACTCTTTTATCATAGGTTAAAATTAGGCCCCTTTTTTGCTTCGTTTTTGGGCCAACCCTGTGGTGCTCAGGGCTTCAGCTTGGCTATGTGCTTAGGGATTACTCCTGGTGGGGCTCGGGGGACTATATATGGGATACTGGGACCTTTCGGAATTGAACCTGGGTCCTTAGTGTACAAGGCAAGTGCTTTTGACAGTACACAAAAAGCTTGAACTGGAAACAGTGCCTGGAGAGTACGAGGGCACATGCTTTGCACCCCATAGAGCCCGGTGTGGATCCCTGGCACCACATATATGCCCAGAGCACTCGGGGCTACACTCAGGAATAACCCAAATGGTGCCAGGTATGACTCAAACCTCCAAAAAGATTGCAGATAGAAATGTGCGATTTTTTTCCCTTAATAATTTACAGGACAGGGGATTATGTTTGTGGTGCTGAGGATTGAATTGGGCTTGGTTTTCTGCACAGCAAGTGCTTCTTTGCCTCTTTTGTTTTAATTAGATTCTCTGTCAAACTGCGCTCTCCCTGTCTGACCTTGTAGTTGTCAGGGGAAAAAAAGGCATTCAAAGCCAGGAGTAACCCTTGAGCCCCACTGGCTGTGTGACCCCCCGCCTCCCAAAAAAAATAAAGTCACTGAAAACCTATTTTGTCCAAGACATTCACATTTATTTATTTGTGGTTTTGGGCAACTGCCTGTTGCTTACTCCTGACTTTGTACTCCAGTGGGCTGAGGTACCATATGGGTTGCTGGGGATGGAACCTGGGTTGGCTGTGTGCAAGGCAAATGCCCTACCCCAGTATGAACTGTGAACTGGAACTGGGGGGGGGGGGGGGGGGTCTTTATTTTTACATTTTTTTTGTATTTTTTTGCTTTTTGGGTCACACTTTGCCTTGCAGTTCTCAGGGGTTTTTCCTGGCTCTGCACTTAGAAATTATTCCTGGTTGTGTTGGGGGGGTATGTGCGGGGTAGCAGACAACTATATGGGATGCTGGAGATGAAATGGGCTCAGTCTTTAGCAAGGCACACATCTAATTCCTGCACCTTCTTCCTGGTTTCTAAGACTAAAAAATGTTTTTGTTGTGTGGTAATAAAAGCTAGCACTTCACACATGCAAGGCAGTTGCCCTATCTCTGAGCTCCAGCTCCAGCCCCAGCTCTGGATTCTTCCTTCTTATTTATTATCTTTGATTCTGTCCTCTGTCTCCTTTACAGGTTGGGAAGGAAAAAATGCTCAAGGTGAGGATTGTGAAGATTCACCCTTTGGAGAAAGTAGATGAAGAGGCAACTGAGAAGAAATCTGATGGTGCCTGTGATTCTCCCTCAAGTGACAAAGAGAACTCTGGCCAGATTGCTCAGGACCACCAGAAGAAGGAGGCAACAGTCAAGGACGATGAAGGGAGGAGAGAAAGTATTAGTATGTATGGTGCTGCTCTCCTTAGTGACGCATGTGAAATTTCTTTCTGCTTCTTTGCTTTCGGGCTATATCCCACCATGCTCAGGGACCACTCTTGGCATCGAAGGGGACATTGTACTCTGCAGAGATTTAAACTCTGGAGACTGCTTGACCTTTATACTATCTGGGTGGAGTCCTGCCCACAGTTTGAAATGGTTTTTTATTTGCCTTTTGGGTCAAACAAACCAGGTGGTGCTCAGGGCTTACTTCTGGCTCAGGAATTACTCCTGGCAGTGCTCGGGGACCATATATATATATATATATATATATCTGGGAAATGAACTCTGCTTGGCCACGTATGCAAGGCAAACTCCCTACTATTGCTCTAGGTCAAATCCTTTTTTTTTTTTCTTTTGCTTTTTGGGTTATACCCGGCGATGCACAGGGGTTACTCCTGGCTCATGCACTCAGGAATTAATCCTGGTGGTGCTCGGGGGACCATATAGGATGCTGGGAATTGAACCCAGGTCAGCTGCATGCAAGGCAAATGCCCTGCCTGCTGTGCTGTCGCTCCAGCCCCTAGTTCAATTTTTTTTTTTTTTTTGGCTTTTTGGATCACACCCAGCAACGCTCAGGGGTTACTCGTGGCTCTGCACTCAGGAATTACTCCTGGCGGTACTTGGGGGACCATATGGGATGCTGGGAATCGAACCCGGGTCGGACGCATGCAAGACAAATGCCCTACCTGCTGTGCTATTGCTCCAGCCCCCCTAGTTCAAATTCTTAATCTGTGATGATTCCTAAACTGACAGTTTAACTTCTAGAACTAATTTGTCTTAGATAACCTGTATTTAATACATGTAAAGCTAAATGGATCATCTCTTCCTGTTGTCTCTCCAAGGCAAGTAAAGAAGAGATGGCTATTTTTCTCCACATCCTGAGTCAGTCCGTGGCACCACCATCTGTTCAGTCCCTTAGGCAGAAAACTTGGAAGCTGTTAATCTACCTTGTTAACAGTTCTATGTCTATATACCTCTGGGTTTTGATTTTGGGCCACACCCAACTGATTCTCAGGAGTTACTTCTGGCTCTGCAGTCAGGGATCACTCCTGGTTGCACTACAGGGACCATATGGGGTTCCTGGGAGATTGAACACCCTCTCTACTGTGATATTGATCTAGTTTTTCTAAATACCTCTTAACTCCTTTCCTCTGTTCCAATTAGTTCAGCATTGAATCTTTTTTTTTTTTTGCTTTTTTTTTTTTTGCTTTTTTTTTTTTTTTTTTTTTTTTGCTTTTTAGGGTAACACTCGGCGATGCATAGGAGTTACTCCTGGCTCTGCACTCATGCACTCAGAAATTACTCCTGGCGGTGCTCAGGGGACCATATGGGATGCCAGGAATCGAACCTGGTCAACCACATGCAAGGCAAACCCCCTATCTGCTGTGCTATTATTGCTCCAGCCCCCTCAGCACTGAATCTTATGCTTTAATTTCCTTCACATTTTGCTCTCCTAAGTGAAGAAAGGTTTTTTTCTCTCCTTCTGTAGTGCTTAGGGACTGTTAATTGGCTTGAGTTGGAGGCTGCTTCCAGGGCTTATTGCATGTAGGGGCACTGCAGTACCTTAATACCTATACTACTTAATGCCTATATACTTAAAACCTATACTACTTAATACCTATACTACTAATGATCTTTCGAAAATACACATAGTCACTTAGACCAAAACTTTGTTTCTGTGTTTATGGACAAATTCCAATCTTCTTTTAAGTGGTCCCCAACTGGAGAGATAGTACAGGGTTAAGGTATTTGCCTGGAATGTAGAGGATCCTGATTCAACCACCAGCATCACATGAACTTCAGGTGCCACTGAGGGCTCAGAGCTGGACGTTACCCCCAGCGCAGCTGTGATCCCCACATTTCATACCTCCCCCGCAGAACAAACCTCATGCATCCAGACCTCAAGACCTCATCACGCAGAATCTCTGATCTCTTCTTTTTCCCATACCTGGTGGTGCTCAGGGACTGTCCTGGCGTTCTGCACAGGGGTCATTCTTCAAAGTGCTTTGGAGACGGTTCAGTCCTGGAATGGAGCTGTTGAGCTATCTCCTTGGCCCCAAAGTTTGTTTTTTCTAGTTCTTGCTTTTTTTTTTCTTCTAGCCTAAGTTAAATATTGCTTCTTTCAGGCTGGGGAGCTGAAGAGCCTACCCCTGAGCACTGCTGGGGTGACCTCAAAACAGAAACAAGGCCGCTGCTGTGTTCTGAGGATTTTTCTTAACTTTGAGGACAGTCCTTCACGGGCTGTTTTATAACTTCACCGGTTGACTCCTTTAGATAATTGAAGTGTAAGAACTTTTTTGCGCTCACTCAGTAGCACTTGGTAGTGTAGGGTGGGTGATCAATAAGATTATAGTGAATGATCATCTAGAATTGAAAGAGTTTTTCTTTTTACTGACTTTCTGTTAATTTGACTAGATGACCGAGCGCGAAGATCGCCGCGCAAACTTCCTACTTCACTGAAAAAAGGAGAAAGAAAATGGGCTCCTCCGAAGTTTCTGCCCCACAAATACGACGTAAAACTGCAGCATGAAGACAAGGTTAGTTGCTGGCACTTAAATGGCAGCCTGTTCTCGGGGACAACATTTAAGGCAGGATTGTGGGGTCAGTTTTCTCAGAAGATATTCTAAGGAAAAGATAATTGAGTGTGTTTCTGCAAGAAATTCTGTAGGTTTATAGCCATAGTAATTATGGCTTTAAATGGCAGGATTTTGGTGTTTGTGGGTTGTTTTTTTTTTTTCCTAATTACACTTTGGGGGTGGAGTCTCCCAAGAGGTTTTCGGAGGTCCTTAGGGTCCATTCTGGGCCAGCAGTTCAGTGCAAGGGCCTAAGGATGCCGTGTTGTGTGGGCTTTGCAATACTAGGGCTTCCTAAGGCCAGCCTGACTGGACGCATTCAAAGCTGTGGCCAACGAAAACTTGGGGGGTGGGGTGCATGCCGTGCCTGCACCTTAAGGCCACACAGCACGACTCTTTGCAGCCTTTCAATTGTAGGTTTTTCCCTATGGGAAAGCATGCTTTCTCTTTTAAAAAAAAAGTTTTTGTTTTGTACAACGGGTAAGATGTCTGCCTTGCATGCACTGATCCTGGTTCAGTTCCAGATCCAGTCAATCATAAGTGATCCCTGAGCACATAACCAGGATTTAGGCCCTGACCACTGCTCTCAAACATGTCTGGTTGTGGCCACAAACTGGAACACATTCTTTCCAGTTTTTTTTTTTTAAATGCATTTATTTTGGATTTGGGGCCAGAGATTCTGGGGTCTTATCATCACATATGCATGGCATGATGTAAATCATGTTCTGTGGCTGAGCAACATAGCCAGTCCAACTCTGCTGTCTTATTGATTCTAAAAGGTTGTTTTGGGTTGGGGTGTTGGTCTACATCCACTTGTATTATTTCTGGTTATGTGCATGGAAATGAAGCCTGGAGGTGCTCTAGGACTTATCACCCGAGGTGACAGAGATGGACCAGTGATTTGCAGCGTGCAAGACAAGTGCCTTACCTCTGACTCATCTTCTGCGCACCCCCCCCCCCACCCCTGTCCATTTTTGGGCCACACCCAGTACTCCTGGCTGGCTCAGGGGGAAATATGGGGTACTGGGGATCGATTCCAGGTTGGCCACTTGCAAGGCAAGCACCTTTTTCTTTCCCGTTTGTTTGATTTTGGGGCCACACTTTGCGATTCTCAAGAATTACTCCTGGAGGTGTTGGGACCAAATGGGGTACCAGGGATGGAACCCGTGCAGTGGAAGGCAAACATCCTACCCTGCAAGGCAAACACCCTACTCGTCTCTTTCCTGAGTCTCCTGCCCCTAGAATGTATCTTTTTTATTTTTTTTTAATTTTTTCTTCCCCATACAACTTCTAATGTATCTTCTTTTAAAAAATTGAATCACAGTGAGATACACATTTTCAAAGCTGTTCATGATTGTATTTCATTCATACAGTGTTCCAACCCCCTTCCTCCACCTATGTACATTTCCCAACACAGTGTCCCCAGTTTCCCTCCTGCCACCGCCACCCTCCCAGCCTGCTTCTATGGCATGCGCTTTTCTCCTTCTCTCTCCTAGAGAGAGAATGTATCTTAAAGTAAATTTTCAAGAATTATTTTCTTAGTGCTACATAAAATGCTATCTTCATTGTCTTTTAGGTTATTTGAGTAAAGCGATTTACTTTTTGGTTATTACAAATTTTTGACAAGTTGACTGGACGCAGGACAGAGCCAAGTGTGGGAGACAGCTAATCTAAGATGCGTCCACTAGTCAGGGTGTTGGGGAGTCTCAGCTGCTTCCCTGATTATCATTTGTATTTTTGGATGAATGTTGTTTTAGTAAATTTTTTTATTAAAATACTAAAATTGTGAATTTTTTTTTTTACTAAAATGTTACTTGTAAATATTTTTATAGAAAGTTAGAAAATTCAAATAGAGGGGCTGTAAAGAGAGCTCGATAGACTGACTGCGCCTGTTGGTACTCTTTCCAGCCCTTGGAATTGCTCCTTTTCGAGGGAGGACCCAAGCCTTTGCTTTAAGTGATTACTTGCATTTTATCCCTCTACTGAGTTGCTTCTGTTTGTTCCCCTAGATCATCAGTAATGTGCCAGCAGACAGCTTGGTTCGAACAGAACGCCCACCCAATAAAGAGATCCTCCGCTACTTCATCCGGCATAACGCACTACGGGCTGGGACTGGGGAAAACGCACCCTGGGTCGTGGAAGATGAGCTGGTGAAGAAGTATTCCCTGCCTAGCAAGTTCAGTGACTTTTTGCTTGATCCATACAAGGTAAGGTGACTACTCTCTGTACAGCATGATAGAGAACACCATCGTGCTTTTGTCTTCCCGGGTGGTCTCCTAAAGGATTTGGGGCAAATTTTGAAATCTTAATATTAGATTACAAATTCAGAATTTCTCAGCTACGTCTGTTTTATAGGGGCTGTGATAGTGGCACTTATAGTAAAGAGACCATATCGAATACTTCTAAAGTTAAATTTTTTATTATAATCGCATAATTAAAAAACACCAATATACATTTTTTGTTTTATTTTTTTTTTTTTTTGCTTTTTGGGTCACACTCTGCAGTGCTCAGGGGTCCATATGGGATCCCAGGGATCGAACTCGCTTTGGCTGTGTGCAAGGCAAACACTCTCCTCATTGTATTATCTCTCCAGCTTCTACATGTCCTTTTTAACCTTAGATCCTTTTTGGAGTGAAATATGGCATACATACAAAAAAGGTTTTACAGATTGGTTCCTAAAAATGAAAATTGATTTTGTATATGAAATAAGATGATCAGATATACTGGCTGCTTTGAAAAGAATACTATTCACATAACAGGTAACAGGAAATTGAGCATTTCTCTCGAGAACTAATTTTTTTTTAAAGTCATCTCATTTCATCTCAAAACATTCTTATGGACTTGTGTACTTTATATACATATGTACATATATATGTATCAAAGCAGCCCAGCTTCCCAGAAGGGGAAACTGAGCTAGCTTAATCAGAATCATCAGGGAGAAGATGAGAAACCCAGCACTTGTCCTTGGATTTATGATCATCTTTTTTTGTGTCAGGGATTTTCTAACAAGATTTTCAATGTAGGTTTGGAATTGTTGATGCTTTTCTTGTTGGAAAACTTTTATCATCTTGGTCTCTGGGCCAGAATAGGCCCAGAGGGCTGCTAATTTTTGCTAACTCTCCAAGCAGGGAGGTGACTCCTCCGGTACAGACTCTGCATTTCGTCCCTAGCACTGCCGCTGCACACACACACACACACACACACACACACACACACACACACCCAGCTCCTCTGGTATGGGCCATTCATAACCAACAACAATCAAAAAGTCATTTCCAGGGTTTCTTCTCTTTTGGTTTTTGGGTCACCTTGGTGATGTTCAGGGGTTACTATTGGCTCTGCCCTCCGGGATCACTCCTAGTGGGGCTCTGGGAAACCATGGGGGATGCCAGGGATTGCACTTGACTCAGTCATGTGCACAGCAGGCGCAAAACCCTTCTCACTGTACTAACTCTGGCTCTAGATTGGTTTTTTTGTTTTGGGGACATACCGGATAATACGTAGGTCACTCCTGGCTTTGACTCAGGATTAGCTCCCGGCGGTGCTCGGGGAACTATTTGGGATGCTGGGGAATGAACCTGGGCACACAGCTTGTCTGCCGTACTATCACTCTGGCCCAGGTTTTCTTTCATATTTTTAAATCTCTTCCTTTCACTGTGGAACACTAAGACCCTCATAAGTTATAAAGTTAAATTACCTCAGTTATTTTAGTTTGATTTGGGTAATAGAAGTATTCAAGAAGTGTGTTCATTCTAAACGTTGGTAAAGACTTTCAGTCATAGTTGTAGTTGAGTGTTTAGCATGTCTTCCACCAGCTTGGGAACTAGCAGTCCACTGCATGCACAACATGCTCTCACTCAGCCTCTTGGGCCTTTTTTTTTTTTGGACTGCTGCAAGCTATTCTAGTCAAATCTGCTGTAAGAGGGAATGATTCTGGGTGTGGGTCTGTCCCGCATATTTAGGCCCTGTATTCTATGCCTGGCACTGCATATCTGACCATTTCTCCTCTCCCCACAGTACTGGGTGGGCCCTCTGGCTCCTAAATATGGCTTAGAGTGGCCTTGGCCCCTCATCATGCTCACAGTTTCTCTGACAGGTAGCAAACAAAAGAAGGGAGTGGTTTGCTCTTCAAGTCCATGTTTTTCCTTGAATATGTGTCTCGGCTTGCTTGTCTGTTAGTTTCTTTTGGTACCTGTGTTCCCTTGAACATATCTCTCCTCTTTTCCTCCTCTCATATCTTCCTTCTTTCTGGTTTTATTTTATTTTATTTTGGGACCACACCTGAAAGTGCTTGGGGCTTACTCCTGGTTGTGCACTTGGGGATCACTCCCAGTGGGGCTTGGAGGACCATATGAGGTGTCAGGATTGAACCTAGGTCTGCTGAGTGCAAGGCAAGCCCCCAGCCCTCTGTTCTATTTTTCCGGGGCCCTTACATCTTTCTAAGTAAGCTTCAATTGAAAAACTGTCTTCCTTCACTTAAAAGAAAAAAAAGGTAATGAATTTACTTCAAAAGACTAGTATAAAATCCATACTAGTGTAAAGTAAGTAGGAAATTAAATTTATACCCTTTTTTTGAAGATAAGTTTTATTGGGGAAAAGTTTCTGATGGTTAAAGCTGCAAGCACATTACTTTCAGTTACAATTCTACAGACCTAGTAGCTGCAGAGATGCCAGTGTTCAAGTCTATTTTAAAATTAATAACACAAGCCCACATCTAAAGTTCTCGGAGTGGTTTGGAATGGGAAACCACTGATCTCAGTTGTTCTCAAATGTTGTTCCACCACGTCCTTAGAAGTCATAGGATAAAATCAGTGAGCACAGATGGACATTGCTTTTCATGAGTGATTTGGACAAGAAGCTTCACACCTTTGAGAACACAGTAAGATAACAAGTCCCAATTGGTGGGGTATGTAGCATACAGCATGAGTTTTACAGGGCTTCGGGGAGGCAGGGGCTAGGGCAGTCAGCAGTCATTGGCAAGGGCACATGAGACAGCAGCCAGCAGGAGGGAGGAGTGCTGAGGGCAGGCGCGTCCCGGGCCTGCCCAGCCTTGCACTTGCTCAAAGAAAACACCTGCGACATCTCACAATACACCTTACCCCACCCCAGTCCCCAGAAAGTCTAGGTCAGCAAAGCTAGAGATAGAGGGTCCTGGTCAGGGTTCCCACGGGGGACTGCCTCTCATCTTCTTCTGGTTCCATGTGATGTAAGAAAAATATGGACCACTTCATGACTTTGTGTGTCATTCTTGTGCAGGGGCCATGCTAATCTTCTCTGTATCATTCCAATTTTACTATATGTACTGCTGAAGCAAGCACTGTACACTATTTTTCAAAATGTTTCCTCTTGGAGCCACACCTGGTGGTACTCAGGATTTCCTCTGACTCTGCCCTGAGAGATCATTCTCTTGGGTCCTGGGGTCAGATGAGTGTTAGGCAAGTGTCCTGCTTGCTGTACTACCTCTCAGCCTGTTTTTACACTTTTCGGGGTGGGCAGAAAAAAGATAGGGCCAGCTCAGCAATTTCAGGGCTTACTCTTGATTTTGTGCTCGGGAATCACTCTAGCAGGGGTTAGGGAACCATATAATTGGGGCTGGGGTCGAACCTGGGTCAACCCCTTTCAAACCAAGCACTTTTATCCTGTACTGTCTCTCAGGTTCTATATTTACTTTCTCATTTATAGATATCTGAACCAGGTACCATAAAGCTAGAATTTAAATATTTATCACAGATAAATGATGATGATGATAAACCAGATCATCTTTGTTTCTTCATTGTTTTTTCACTGAAAAGGAATTTATTTATTTATTTATTTATTTATTTTTGCTCTTTGGGTCATACCCGGTGATGCACAGGGGTTACTCCTGACTCTGCACTCAGGAATTACTCCTGGAGGTGCTCAGGGGACCATATGGGATGCTGGGAACTGAACCTGGGTCAGCCGCATGCAAGTCAAGCGTCCTACCCACTGTACTGTCATTCCAGCCCTTTATTTTGTTCTTTAAAATAAATTTATATCTTTCGGTTTTGGGGCCATACCTGCTGATGCTCAGGGCTTACTGCTGTCTTTTGAGTTCAGGGCTCACTTCCAGCGAGGCCTGGGGGAACCATATGGGGTGCCAGGGATTGAACCTGGGGGTGGGCGCATACAAGGCAAGTGGCCTCTGTGCTATATTACCTTTCTGATCTTATTTCACTTCTTTGTTGTTATGTTTTTGCCCTGTTCTAGGCAGTGCTCAGGGCTTACTCCTGGCTCTGTGCTCAGGGATCACTTCTGACGGGTTCAGGGAACCATGTGGGGTGCTGGGGATCGAACCAACGTCAGCCACGTACAAAGCAAGCATCCTACCTGCTGAACTATTTATCTAGCTTCCCCTTGTTTTTAAATTAAAATTAGGGGGTGTTGAAGAAATAGCACAGCGGGTAGAGCGTTTGCCTTGCACACAGCCGACCCGGGTTCGATTCCCAGCATCCCATATGGTCCCCTGAGCACTACCAGGAATAACTTCTGAGTACAGAGCCAGGAGTAACCCCTGTGCATCCCAGGTGTGACCCAAAAAGCAAAATAAAATAAATAAATTAAGAGGTGATGGAGGGTTTTTTAAGCAGTGCTCAGGAGCCTCGGGGCCCTTATTTCAAAGTCATCTAGGTCAGCTGTTCAATGCAAGGGCCCCTGATGCAGGGCTGTGAGAGCACCTGTGGTGCTGGGTGTTACCTTGCAGGCCTCCAGGGCTGCATCCCATCCCTCTTGGGAGACCTGTGGTGCCAGGGTTTGTTTTTGAGTTCTGATGTGCGTACATGCTAGGGCATAATTCTTAAGCACAGTAGTCTTCCTAGTTCATCTAAGGGGAATTTCCCCCCCCACCCCCTCAAATTTTGGGGCCAGAACAGCAGTATAGCGGGTGCTTGCTTTGCTCATGGCCAGCCCAGGTTCAGTCCCCAGCATCCATATGGTCCCTAGAGCACTACCAGGAGCAATTTCATTTCTTTCTTTATTTTTATTTTTATTTTTGGGTCGGTGATGCTCAGGGTTACTCCTGGCGGTGATCGGGGGACCATATAAGATACCGGGGATTGAACCTAGGTTGGCCACATGCAAGGCAAACGTCTACTATTGTACTATCTCCCAGGAGTAATTTCTGAGGGCAGAACCAGGAGCAATATTTGAGCATCTTTGGGTGTGACCTAAACCCACTCCTCCCTCCAAAAAAAAAATGTGTTCAGCGGCTACTCCTGCAGTTATCCTATACTGTTTCTCCAGCCCCCTAAAGAAAATTTTTATTTTTTTAATTTTAATTTTTTGCTCTGTTGGGTCCCACCCAGCGATGCTCAGGGGTTACTCCTGGCTCTGAATCACTCCTGGCAGTGCTCGGGGGACCATATGGGATGCTGGGAATCGAACCCGGGTTGGCCGTGTGCAAGGGCAAATGCCCTATCTGCTGTGCTATTGCTCTAGCCGCGTAAAGGAAATTTTAAATTGAGGATTTAAACATTAAAGATAATAGTAGGATAAAAAAAATTTTTTTTTCTTTTTGCCTCCAGTTTCTTTAAATGTTTGTATTTTGGTTTGTGGCACACCAGCCTGATTGTGTGCTTGGGGATTATTTCTGGGCTGCTGGGAGTTGAACCAAGGTCAGCTTCTTGCAAGGCAGGACCCTCCCCGCTGTCCTGTCTCCAGCCCTTGGGCTTTACTCCGTCTAGTTGTTTGTGTATATTATTGGAGAGAGGCAGCTTGGACAGAAAGCAGACGACACCCTTTTGTACCTGGGGCTTTATTCTGGTGCCTGCAGGTGATATTGGAGGCTGGGATAAGACAGATGTGTGATCGGGCATACTCCTGGCTCTTTGCTCAGGGATCTCTCCTGGTGGTGCTTGGGACATAAGTGGTGCTGGGGATCAAACCTAGATTTTGGGGTTCTTTTTTCCTTTTGGGGTCACACCTGGCGATGCACAGGGGTTACTCCTGGCTCTGCACTCAGGAATCACTCCTGGCGGCGCTCAGAGGACCATATGGGTTGCTGGGAATTGAACCCGGGTTGGCCGCGTGCAAGGCAAACGCCCTACCCGCTGTGCTATCTCTCAGCCCCAAACCTAGGTTTGATTTTAAGTTTAACTTAGCGTCTGAATGGCTGCTCTAAAGAGGTTTCTTCGCTTTATTAGATTTCCTTATTTGTGGTGTGTTGTAGGTGACAGGAAACAGGTATAGAAATGAATATTTTTATTCTTTGACAGTTTTGGGCGGGTCTTTGCCAAATAATACTGCTGATTTATACATTCATCCCTCTCTCCCTTCCCACGTACTTCTTTAGTAGATTACTTGTGCTGAAGGGGCGGGGGAGATCCCTCAGCACATAAGTGGTTTTATACTTTTTCAGATCCCCCCGAGTCCAGCCATGCCGGCTCCCGTTTGGCTGTGACTGCCCAGCATGGCCCGTGCTGAGACGCTCCGGTTTCTGAAGGACTGCTCGCGCGGGGAGCCGGCCTGTTGGGAGGGGGTTGGGTGAGTTCATTTCTTTCATTTTTCAGAAAATAAATGATACGGTGTGGTTTGGCAAAAACACACCTTCTAAACCGTTTATTTAAAAATGGACAGCTGGACCTGGTCAGCTCTTCTTGCATCATTTCTGCATAATACTGCTGAAATTGAAGAAACATTATGTTAGATTTGAGTGGCTTTTTAAATACAAATAAAAATTGTAAATTAAGAAGTAACTCAAGGGCTTCAGACATAGTACAGTGGACTGGGCACTTGCCTCACCTGTGCTCGACCTGAATTTGACATCCCACCCTCAACCCCCCCCCCCCCCCCCCCCCCCCCCGTGACCACATGTGGTTTTTCCGGCCCCTCCAGAAGTGATCCTCAAATGGAGATCCAGGGGAAGCCCTGATCACTGCCCAAGGTAGCCTAAAACGACAAATAACCCAATTATAGTAGATCTTATAATTGATCTGGTTTATAATTGAAAGGTTTAAGGGGGCTGGAGAAATAGTACAGTGGATAGAGCACTTGCCTTGGACACCAACTCTGAGTTTGATCCCTGGTACCCCGGGTTGTCTTCTGAGCCCACCAGAAATGATCCCTGAGCACAGAGCAAGGAGTATACCCTGAGTACCACTGGGTGTGTCTAAAAAATAAAAGTATTCCTTTCAAATGCTAAAAATGAAAATGTTGAGGCTGGAGCAATAGCACAGTGGGTAAGGCTATTGCCTTGTGCACAGCCTACCTGGGTTCGATTCCCAGCATCCCATATGGTTTTCTGAGCACCACCAGGGATAATTCCTGAGTGCAGAGCCAGGAGTGACCCCTGTGCATCGCCGGGTGTGACCCAAAAAGCAAAAAAAATAAAGAAGAAAAAGTTAATTTGATTTCCTATTTGGTGATAACCTTCATTTGAGGGAAGACTGTTGTTATCTGGAGCATTAGAATGTATCAGGTCTGTCACATCTGCTCTGAAGATCAGCCAAGGCTAACTGGGACTGAGATGCTGAGTAGCTTTTGGAATATACGTCTGTTTTTCATTCTTCCTGGGAGTGTTGACTTGTCCTATAATCTGAAAATTATGTTCTCTTTAAAGTGTCGGCACTACTATTCTCCAGAAGGAGTTGGTATCATTTTTTTTCCCTTTTTCTTTTCTTATTTTGTCTGTTGGGCCATACCTGGTGATGCCCAGGGCTTGCTCTTGGCCCTGCACTTAGGAATCACTCCTGGCAGTGCTTGTGGTACCGGGGGTTGAACTCAGGTTGGCCCTGTGCAAGGCAAGCCCCCTACCTGCTGTACTATTGCTCTGGCCCCGGAGAAGACATGTTTAAGTTCTCTTTGTTTATCTCTTAATATTTTGAAGTTAATTCTGGGGAACTAGAACTGAAAATTCTGCTTACTCAGGGAAGTAAACCTGGAGATGGGGGGTGGGGTGCCATGCAGGGCCAGGGATTGAATTTGGGTTCTCCACATGCCAGGCATGCTTCATTTCTTTCCATCACTGTGTTGGGCTCCAAATTAACTTCTAAGATTAGAGAATTTATTGTATTCTGTTTTAGAGTGGCGCATCCGAGCTTGTGGATGTGTCTTCCCTGCGGTGCGCTGGTCACCACTCCCCTCTGCTTTGGGGATGCGGCTTCCCTTCCCCCTCTGCCATTCTGGAGCGGCCATCTTTAGTTTGGGACGTGATGACTCTTTGTTTACTTGTTGGAGTTCTCGCCTCATACTTCCTTAAGTACAACAGGTCTTGGGGGTGTTGCTTAGCGACTCAGTGCTTGCCTTGCATTTATGAGGTCCTGGGTTTGGTCCCTGACCACATAATAAAAGAAAACTCATACACACAAAACTATTTACTTCAGGAAGAAAATCAAGCTAGAGAATGTATTCAGAAGAAGGACCTGTGCATGTGGTCCACTCATTTCTCAAACTTACATGTTTCTTGTTGCCTGGGTTCTGTTGAATTTTTTTTTTCTCTCCTCTCCATTTTGGGCCATGCCAATAGTGCTCAGGACTTTCTCCTGGCTCTGTATTGAGGGATCATTCCAGGAGGGGTTCGGGACTGTATGGAGCTGGGGATTGAACCAGGGCTGGCTACATACAAGGCAAATGTCCTACCTATTGTACTATTGCTCTGACCCCTCTCATTTCCTTAATGTCTAAATCTTATTTTGGCATTGTAATTCAGTTGATTAAATTTTATTCAACCTGTTTACTCCTAATGAAAGCATAGGAATTTTTACCATCCAGAGTGGAATTGTCACCATGACCTCTGTACCCTTACCACCCACCCCTTTTTTTGGGCTGCACATGGTATCGGACCTTACTTGCAGTGTGATGCTGGGGGGTTGAACTTGGAATTCACATTTAAACAGAGACACAACCCCACGGCAACATGACAAATGGGCTTCTAGCATTACTAATTTTGTGGAGGTACCAAATCCAGCAGTGCTTAGGGCTTAGTCCTGCCTCTCTGCTCAGGAATCACTCCTGGAAGTGTTCAGGGAACCCTCTGGGGTGCCAGGGATTAAACCCAAGTTGGTCACATGCAAGGCAAGTTCCTTAGCTGCTGTACTGTGACTCCATCCAATATATTACTAATTCTTATCATGATTCTAAGGTAGCTATTTGAGGAGAAATAACAGAGTATGGAGGAGTAGAAAAATACCCAGGAAACTGGTTTCTGGGTGTGTTGCTGTCAGTTCCTGATGCAAGTGGAACCCCTCCCAACTGTTGCATCCCATCTGTTTTTGAACCCCATCTGACAGTTTCAGGAGTGACCCCTGGTGGTACTTTGTGACTGTGTGTGGTGCTGGGATCCAATTTGGTGTTGGTAGGATGTGAGGCAAGCACCCTAGCCCCTGTCCCCTCCCTCCCACCTGCTATTGAATCTTCTATTCTCACCAGTTAAAGGTGAATCTGTGCACACAAGGATCAGCAGGTGCAGGAGCAGAGATAAGGGTTTTTTGTTTTGTTTTGTTTTGTTTTGTTTTGGTTCTGTGAGATAGACAAAGGTTGTGGCGCTGGACAGAGAGGAAGCAAGGATGGTGCAGGTGAGCTCCTGGGGAGGGACTTGAGAGTGCAGCAGACAGGGCTCTTGACTGCATGGGGTTGCCCTGGTTTTTGAACTCCAGCACCTCTTAGGGTTCCCTGAACCCCACCATGAGTAAGCCCTGAACACTGCTAGGTATGGCCCCAAAACCAATAAAAAAGTGGCAAGAGTGAATAGTTCAGTCACAGACAGTAGAGGAAAAGAATCTGAAATAGATAAAGACATGACCAAAGAGTGCTGATGTACTGGAAAGAGATCTTTAGGTGCAGAGAGAAGGCAGAGAAGGAACCTGTGTGTGTGTGTGTGTGTGTGTGTGTGTGTGTGTGTGTGTGTGGTCGGTCATTGATACCTTCTGTTGGGTTTGGGGCTAGCCTGCTGATGCTCAGGTGCCCATGTAGTTGCAGGGAAAGAAGCCAGCCTCTTGCACGCAAAGCTGTATACTCAAGGCCATTGAGCTATTCCTCCAGTCCTGATTTTTGTTTTAATTTATGAACTTAGTACTTTATAAAATTACATAGTTCTGTCTCAAGATACTTAATGTTTTCAGTTTTTGGGCCACATCTGACTATACTCAGGCAGAGTTCTCTCCTAGTAGACTGAGGGGACTATACGGGGTGCCAGGGATCAAACCCCAGTTTGCCACATACAAGGCAAAGTGCCCTACCCCCTACCCGACCTGACTCTAGCCCCTCAAGATATTTTAAAAACCTTTTAGATGTCCTGTTTGGGGTACAGCTGGTGGTGCTCAGGGCTTTCTTGTCTGTTCAGGAATCACTTGTGGCAGTGCTTGGTGGACTATAAAGGGACCAAAGTGGAGTCAGCTGTGTGCAAGACACCTTAACCCCTCTACTAACTCTCCGGACTGATGTGTTGCCTCTGTTTAGATCAGCTATTCTTAATGTGGGGTCTGTAGATGTAGATCCTTAGATTACCTGCATCATCATCATCATCATCATCATCATATTATTATTGTTATTACTATTGTTGTGTTGGGATCAAACACAATCCCTTTTTTGGGGGGGTTCACACCCAGTAATACTCAGGGGTTACTCCTGCCTCTGCACTCAGGAATTACTCCTGGGGTGCTTGGGGGACACGAGATGCCAAAGATTGAATTGGGATCAGCTGTGTGCAAGGCAAATGCCCTACCCGCTGTACTATGGCTTCTCCTCTGTAATCCCTTACTTGTAAGGCACAAGTACCTGCAGTACTATGGCTACGGCATCCAGATTTGTTTTATTTATATTTTTAGATCTACTTGGGGCCAGATCCAGGTGTCCTGTGTAATAGGCATATATTTTTGTGCCCCTTGAGCCCCATGTCTTCCTACATGTGTGATTTTGGAAAGTTTATTAAGTTTAATGAAGTTTTTGGAATGTTTATTAAAGTATTTTAGAAACCACAAGCCTATTTAGATGTGGAAGACTAGGAGCATAGAATTTGGGGGCCCAGGGGTTATCATACCCAGGACCTACACATACAAGACAGCTGTTCAGCTACTGAGCTACATCCCCGTTGTTTAAAGTTTGTGTTTTAGTTTTCCAAATACTTCCAGCATGGTGATCAGGTTGTGTTTGTTCCTGCTGTTGCTGAGGGAACCATGTGGTTCCTGGGATCAAACTCAGGCGTCCAAGGTTGTAGCAATAGTGCAGCAGAGAGGGTGACGTCAGGAGTTGTTCCTGAGTGCAAAGCCAGGAGTAATCCCTGAGCATCACCTGGTGTGGCTCCAAATCAAAAAAACCCATAAACCTTCAGACCTCCTTACCTGTTCAGCACGTGAACCCGCCCTTTGGGCCATCTTCCCAGCCCAAAATTCATTCTTGAGTCTAGTGTTCAAGAGAAATATTCATTGATGAGTCAAAACATTAGCTCATCGGGGCTGGAGAGATAGCACAGCGGTAGGGCATTTGCCTTGCACGCAGCCAACATGGCCAACACAGGTTCGATTCCCAGCATCCCATATGGTCCCCTGAGCACTGCCAGGAGTAATTCCTGAGTCCATGAGCCAGGAGTAACCCCTGAGCATCGCCGGGTGTGACCCAAAAAGCAAAAAAAAAAAAAAAACATTAGCTCATGTTCATATCTTTGTTTGGGGGAGACAAGGTGACATTGAACAAGTAACGAATCTGTAGCTTTACCTGAAAAACAAGGGAAAGGGGACTTTTAGGATGCTTGAACATCTCTTTATAAAATTTTTCTTAAAAAATTTTTTTTGTTTGCTCTTCAATTCTAGTACATGACTCTCAACCCTTCTACCAAGAGGAAGAGCGCGAGCTCCCCAGACAGGAAGCCCACCAAGAAGGCCAAGGCAGACAGTGCTTCCCTGAACTCCCCACTCAACCCGAAGCTCTGGTGTCACGTACACTTGAAGAAATCCCTGAATGGGTCCCCACTCAAAGTGAAGAACTCAAAAAATTCCAAGTCTCCAGAAGAGCATCTGGAAGAAGTGATGAAGATGATGTCTCCCGGCAAGCTGCACGCCAACTTCCACATTGCCAAGAAGGGCCCGGCTGCCAAGAAGCCAGCCAAGCACGGCGACAAGCCCCTGAGAGCCAAGGGCCGAGGCAAAGGCATCCTCAATGGACAGAAGTCCACAGGGGGGGCCAAGTCACCCAAAAAGGGACTGAAGACCCCTAAAACAAAAATGAAGCAGATGACTCTGTTGGACATGGCGAAAGGTACCCAGAAGATAACACGCACCCCACGGAATTCTGGGGGGACGCCTCGGTCCTCGACGAAACTGCAGAAGCACCTGCCTCCAGCTGCTCTACACCTTATTGCCTACTACAGAGAGAACAAAGACCGGGAGGACAAGAAGAGCGCCCTGTCCTGCGTCATCTCCAAAACTGCACGCCTCCTCTCCAGTGAGGACCGGGCCCGCCTCCCCGAGGAGTTGCGTGGAATTGTCCAGAAACGCTTCGAGCTGCTGGAGCACAAGCGGAAGTGGGCCTCGATGTCCGAGGAGCAACGCAAAGAGTATCTGAAGAAGAAACGGGAGGAGCTGAAGGAAAAGTTGAAGGAGAAGGCCAAGGAGCGGAGAGAAAAGGAGATGCTTGAGAGGCTGGAAAAGCAGAAGCGGTTCGAGGACCACGAACTGGCGGGCAAAAGCCTCCCCACTTTCCGGCTGGTGGACACGCCAGAGGGGCTGCCCAACACACTCTTCGGGGACGTGGCCATGGTGGTGGAGTTTCTGAGCTGTTACTCGGGGTTGCTCCTCCCCGACGCTCAGTACCCGATCACTGCCGTCTCCCTCATGGAAGCTTTGAGCGCAGAGAAGGGGGGCTTCCTCTACCTGAACCGGGTGCTGGTCATCCTCCTCCAGACCCTCCTGCAGGATGAAATTGCTGAAGACTATGGCGAGCTGGGCATGAAGCTCTCGGAAATCCCGCTGACTCTGCACTCCGTCTCGGAGCTGGTGCGGCTGTGCCTCCGCCGGTCTGACGTCCAGGAGGAAAGCGAGGCCTCTGACACCGAGGACAATAAGGATTCGGCACCCTTTGAGGACAACGAGGTGCAGGATGAGTTCCTGGAGAAGCTGGAGACGTCTGAGTTCTTCGAGTTGACCTCGGAAGAGAAGCTGCAGATCCTCACAGCACTGTGCCACCGCATCCTCATGACGTACTCCGTGCAGGACCACATGGAGACCAGGCAGCAGATGTCGGCGGAGCTGTGGAAGGAACGGCTGGCGGTCCTGAAGGAGGAGAACGACAAGAAGCGAGCCGAGAAGCAGAAGCGGAAAGAAATGGAGGCCAGAAATAAGGAGAACGGGAAGGAGGAGAACGGGCTCAGCAAAGCGGAGAGAAAAAAGGACATTGTGAAGTTCGAGCCCCAGGTGGAGCTGGAAGCGGAAGACATGATCAGCGCTGTGAAGAGCAGGCGGCTGCTTGCCATTCAGGCGAAGAAGGAGCGGGAAATCCAGGAGAGAGAGATGAAAGGTAAAGGCTGGACCAGGGAGCCGAGGGGGTAGAAGGAAATTTCAAAGGTAGTGGCAAGGGCATCGCTTGTCCTGTTGAGATGTTTTTGTCTTCAGTAGCCCAAACCCTCCGAGGTCTAGAGTGGTCTGGCATCCTGCAGTTCCTGATAGTTAGGCTCTGATGAATGCAGTGCTGGCCTTGTTCCCAGTGCTGTCAGAGACCAAATCTACACAGATAGACATAATGGACTTGGGAGTTTGGGCCTGGGTTTCATTCTTCGCCGACTCAGCTGTGGGCCTTTGGGCAGGTTAAGTATCTGCGCCTCAGTGTTTCATTTGTTGTTGAGATTGTTTGAACAGTTCTATCCATAAATGTATGTTCTGGGTTGTGCCCTGTCACTGAGCCACATCCTGGAATGGCTAGCTCAGTGGCTGGTGAAGTGCTCAGCTGTGCATGGTTCTTGGGCAATCCTTGACAGTGCTGGTAGTGGGGTGGTGCCCTTGCAATGCTGGGGATCGAATCCATGGGAGGCGTGATCTCTGGCCTTTGGTCATTTCAGCAAATAAACAACAAGGGATTTGAAGCCTGCTGCATATTTGCCGAATCAGATGTAACTTTTCCGATACTTAAGTGTAGGAATACCAAAATTGAAGTATTATAGCAAAATCCAGTCAAATGTCTTAAAAAGGTGTAGGTAGTTGGAGAGGTAGTAAGGTGGTACACATCCCCCCCCCCCCCACACACACACACACTGACTTGTTTGTTTTTGAAAGTTGTTGTTCGTTGTTTTTGCTTTTTGGGTCATACCTGGCAATGCTCAGGGGTTACTCCTGGTTCTGCACTCAGGAACCACTCCTGGTGCTCGGGGGACCATATGGGATGCTGGAAATCAAACCCAGGTCGGCCGCGTGCAAGGCAAACGCCCTACCCGCTGTGCTCCAGCCCCATAGTTCCAGTACCAGTACCACACCGATCACCATTGTACCCACCTCCCGCTAGAGACCTTGTTTCTTGTATATGGCTTGCTTATGTTGTATGTGTGGTTTACCCCAGTTTCATGTCTGGCACTGCACAGTCTCTGGCATCCATCAGGAGTCAGGTGGGAATAGATTCCCTCCCCACTGTTCTGCCAGGTATGCCTCAAATCAAACACCAGATACTGGGTTGTAATGTAATTCAAATTCCATCCAGTTCATTTTCAATAGATGATTCAGTGTTTAATATATTCACAGATATGTGTAAACTTCTGCAGTTGTATGATATTTTATTCATTTAAAAAGTAAATCTAGGGCTAGAGTGATAATACAGCAGATAGGTGCTTGCCTTGCATGCAGTGCCCAGGATTCTATCTGGCACCCTGAATTTGATTCCTGTCACTCCAGATGATCCCCTGAGTACCACCAGGTGTGGTAGGCCCTCTGTCCTTCAACTGTCCTCCCTGCTGAGTTGACGGTCTGTCCTCTCACTCTAGGTTTGCCTATTAAGGTGTACTGTCTGCATGGCATCAGTTAGAGAGGCTGAAAAGGGTGATGGGGATTGAACTCGGCTGCCTCATATGAAGAACTTGTATGCTGTCACTGAGCCACGTCCCTGGCCCAGAGCATATTGTTTTTGATTGGCTGTGACTGGTTTCCACATACCTATTTGTCATTTTTAGCTCTTTGGAGAATGTCACTTTAGCTCTCTTGCACATTTTCAAATAGGGTTTTTTTTTTTATTATCAACGTAAATCTTTTATTACACGTACAGTCCAAAAACATTTCACACTCCCCCCCCCCCCCCCGATAATGTTCATTGAAGCACAGGTGTTTAAATGTTATAAATTTGGGGGGCCGAAGTGACAGTATAGAGGGAGGGTGCTTGCCTTGCATATGGCCAACCCATTTCGAACACTGGCATCCCTTATTGTCCCCTGAGCACTTCCAGGAGTAATTCCTGAGCACAGAGCCAGGAGCAATCCCTGATCATCACTGGATGTGGCCCCAAAACAAAAACAAAAACTTTTTTTCCTTTGGTTGCTCATGTCTATGGATCCATAGCTAAATTCCAGATTATGAAGATTTGACCCTGTGTTTTCTTCTAGAAGTCTTAGTTTTTGCTCTTATGTTTAGTTCTTTGATTCTTTCTTTTATGACTTTGGCCTCCCAGGCAGTGCTTGGGATGTACAGACCTCTCCTGGCAGCACCCACCAGCTGTGCCAGTGTATCTGTCCAAGACTCAAAGGATATCAGCTACTTGGGCCCCGTGGTGCCAGGAACCACCAGGGCCAATCGACAGTGCTTGTGGGTCTCCAGGGCTATACCTGATAATACCTAGGGTTCTTGGAGGCTCCGATTGGGGTCTTATGCATGTGAGACATGTGCCCCAACCTCTGTACCATCTTCATAGCCCATTTGATTCATTTGACTCAATTAGTTTTTGTCATATGAGAAGGGCAGGTTTTTTTTGTTTTTTTTTTTTTTTTGCTTAAGGCACTACAATGCTATATATGGCATCATCACTCTCCATTGAATGATCTTGACACCCTTGTCAAAAATCATTTGGCTTTTGAACTCAGAATTATAAACCATCGACCTATATAGGTCTACTGTGGCTTTGTAATTTGGGGGCCACATCTAATGATGCTCAGGTCTTACTGATTCAGGGATGACTTGTTGATAGTTTCAAAACCATATGTGGTCTCAAGGATAGAACTGGAGTCTACCCCATACAATGCAAGTCCCTTAGCCCCTGTGTTATCTCTTTGGCCTGGCAATGGCAATATTTTTTTTGTTTCATTTTGTCTCTGGGCCACATCCTTGGTGCTTAGGCCCTCCTCCTGACTCTTCACTCAGGGGTTTCTCTGGTTAGGGCTCCAGGTACCATCTGGGGTGGGAGCCATGTTGGCCACATGCAAGGCAAGCCTCCTGCCCTCTGTTCTGTTGCTCCCTTCTTGCATTATGGGAGGACCCTTGGCACTCAACGACAATCATTATTTATTAATTGAGTGTTTTTTAACACGGTGTACACAAAATTAGTTTTAGAATTACTACTATTGCAAGAGAAACCTACCTAGCAAATAAGATTAGGTTTTTCCTGTGGGCTTTTTTAATTGCTGCTGTTTATTTTTTTGGTATTTGGATTTATTTTTGGTTTTGGGGTACACCCATGATTGCTCAAGCTTACTCCTGGCTCTGTGCTCAGGGATCACTGCTAGAAGTGCTCAGAGGACCATATGGTGTGCCAGGGACTATATGGGATACCAGGGATTGAGCCAGGGTTGGCTGTGTATGTGGCAGGCACCTTGCCCTTTGTACTATCTCTCCAGCCCCAGATTCTAACCATTTATAAGTTTCCAGAACTGGAAAGTTCATTGGCCTGAATTTATGCAAGGCACCCCAGGTTTGCTACCTGAACAGAAAACCTTATATAAGGTTTCCAGCTGATGAAATGAATATGGTAAATAGAAGCTCATTGTCACAGTCGCATGCTGTGGAGAGACTGGATTCTCAGACATGATTTTAAGTCAGGTGTAAGAAAGAGTGGGCAAGTCTGACAGCGCCCTTCCTTGGGAAGTCCTTTAACCAGAAAAAAAGGTGTTATTTCTGTTTCAGTAGACGTTAGCTCGTTCTCCTTATGTCTGCTGAAATAATCCTGCACAGCGCTTCTCGGTGACTGTTTCTATATCTCCATTTTCATGTCTCTTGGCGCGTGTTGGGGATCACAGCCTCAGCCTGCAACTTTAGCTGCTTTTTTTTTTTAATCCGTTTTATTTATTTATTTTTATTGAATCACCATGAGATACACAGTTGCAAAGTTTCTAGTTGGGTTTTACATTGCATGCATTCTGCCCTGAGCTGGATCCCAGTGATTGATTCCTGCTAGTTGTGGTAGGGATGGTCCAATTCACAGCTTATTTCCTGGCCTGGTGATACGATGGTACTTGAGCCCAGTGGTACTGGGGGTAGCCAGGATGTGACACCCTACAGTGTTAAGGGTGGTTGCTGGGCAGGAATCAAAAGGGAGGGCCTAGAGGCTGGAGAGGTAGTATAGTGGGTAACGTGCTTTCCTTGCAAGCAGGCGGCCCAGGTTCAATCCCTGGCACCCCATAAGGTTTCCCAGCAGCATCAGGAGTAATTTCTGAGTGCAGAGCCAGGAGTCACCCCTAAGCATCACCGGATATGGTCCAAAGACAAAATTGGTGCCTACAACATGGAAAGCATGCACTCCATCCCTTTGAGCCGTCTCAGTTCCTGGCAGTGAACTTCTAACTGTAAAAGGACTATAAAAAAATGTCCAGTAGCATTTCAAATAAAATAGCGTGTGGGCTAACTTTATATCACGCTGCACTATTTTTTGCCTGAAATACAGTCATTTCTTAGCATTTTTTGAAGTGTTATATATTCTAACAGGAAAAAGTTAAGACATAGTATTTCTTAGAGAGAAGTAAAAGACAAAGAATATTTGGTTAAGGCCAGTACTTTAGAGCCAGGTGTTACATAGTTCAGTGCTGTAACATATAAAATAAAATTTGTTTTTTTTTTTTTGCTATCATGCTCCAGATTATTTGTAGCTGCGGAGGGGTAGTCTTCCTTCACTGAGTGAGATTCCATCATCACAGGATCCTTTCTTTATCTGGGTCACACCCAGCGATGCTCAGGGGTTACTCCTGGCTCTACATTCAGGAATTGCTCCTGGTGGTGCTTAGTGGACCATATGGGATGCTGGGAATTGGACCGAGGTCGGCTGCCTGCAAGGCAAATGCCCTACCCACTGTGCTATCGATCCAGCCCCTGGATAGCAACTTCTTAACAAATGTGCTTTATCCCACAACTTAATTTGTATAGAATTCACAAAAAATAATCTTGTTGATTGTTCTTATCTTTTGCAGTCAAACTAGAACGTGAAGCAGAAGAAGAGCGAATCCGGAAACACAAGGCAGCAGCCGAGAAGGCTTTCCAGGAAGGGATCGCCAAGGCTAAACTAGTCATGCGTAGGACGCCCATTGGTACCGACCGGAACCATAACAGGTAAAGCACTAAGAGCTTGTAGGACCATAAATTGTTGGCAGTACAGAAATTCTCTGAAATCTAGCTTCTTAACCCGGGTTGCGGCCACATATGGGGGTATGTAACTTATTTTTTTTTTTTTGTTTTTATTTTTGGGAGCCACATCCAGTGGTGCTTGGGGTTTACTACTGGTTATACTTAGGGCTTACTCCTGGAGCTATGCTCAGGTTTCATTCCTGGTGGAATCGGGACTATATCAGGTGCCAGGGATTAACCTGGGTTGGTCGTATGCAAGGCAAGCACCATGTCTGCTGTACTGTGTTTCTGGACAACTTTTTTAAAAACATTTTTTAGGAGACTGGAGTAATAGTACAGCAGGTAGGGCGTTTGCCCTAAACACAGCCAACGTGGGTTAGATTCTCAGCATCCCATATCATCCCCTGAGCACCGCCAGGAGTAATTTTTGAGTGCATGAGCCAGGAATAAACCTTGTGCAATGGATGTGACCCAAAAAGCAAAAAAGAAAAAAATTTTTCAGTTTCTGGTCATACCTGGTGATTATTCCTGGTTGGTGCTCAGGGGACACTATGGGATACCTGGGATTGAACCTGGGTTGGACATGTGCGGGGCAAGTACCTTACCCGCTTATTTCAGCCCTAAATTTTAATTTGGCTTTTTTTGGGGGGGGTCACACCCAGCGGTAGTTGGATTACTCCTGGCTCTGCACTCAGCAATTAATCCTGGAAGTGCTCAGGGGACCATACAGGATGCTGGGGATCAAACCCAGGTCAGCTGCGTGCAAGGCAAACGCCCTCCCCAATGTACTACTGCTTCGGCCCTAAAATTTTTGTGTGAAATTTCTTCATAATTTGTTATCAGTAAATGTTTTCTTTGGTGTCTGGCTTATGTAGGTCATGTAATAAGTTGTGTAACAATTTTTTTGGGTAAAGGCAGTTGTGAGTGGAAAAATTTTTTTAAGAGGCTTTCATCTAAAGTACTAAGAAAAGATACATTTGCTTTTCACAGATTTTGAAATAAGGTTTCAGATAATAAATTTCCTGCATATTTCAAATCATAGGATTACATATTTATTTATTTATTTATTTATTTATTTTGAGGGTGGGCACACCCAGCAATGCCCAGGAGTTACTCCTGGCTCTGCAGTCAGGAGTCCACTCCTGATAGTGCTCTGGCAGCCAGATGCCAGGGAGCCAACGTGGGTTGACCACATGCAAGGCAAAAGCCCTATGGTTCTTGCCCCGGAGTTTCAGATTTAAATAAGTACATAACACTGTTCTTAGCTCCAGTTACGGTGATAGAGGCTGGCTAAAAATCGGTAGCACTGTAGCACTGTCCTCCCATTGTTCATTGATTTGCTTGAGCAGGCACCAGTAACGTCTCCATTGTGAGACTTGTTACTGTTTTTGGCGTATCAAATACGCCACAGATAGCTTGCCAGGCTCTGCTGTGCGGTGGGATACTCTTGGTAGCTTGCTGGACTCTCTGAAAGGGACAGAAGAATCGAACCCGGGTTGGCTGCGTCCAGGGTAAAAGCCCTATTCACTGTGCTATTGCTCCAGCCCTGACATGGGCATTTTATTTTATCTTATTTTATTTTGCTTTTTGGGTCACACCTGGCAATGCACAGGGGTTACTCCTGGCTCTGCACTTAGGAATTTCTCCTGACAGTGCTCAGGGGACCATATGGGATGGGCTGGGAATCGAACCCGTGTTGGCAGCTTGGAAGGCAAACGCCCTACCTGCTGTGCTATCACTCCAGCCCCCCAACATTGGTATTTTAAATGCATGCATAGTAGATACCTAAAGTAGAAAAATAATTAGAAATAATAACAGATAGCAAAGTTCAGGGCTGGAGCGATAGCATAGCGGGTAGGATGTTTGCCTTCCAAACAGCCAACATGGCCAACCCGAGTTCGATTCCTCCGCCCCTCTCAGAGAGCCTGGCAAGCTACCGAGAGTATCTCGCCCACACGGTAAAGCCTGGTAAGCTTCCTGTGACGTATTTGATATGCCAAACACAGTAACAAGTCTTAAAATGGAGACGTTACTGGGCCTGCTCGAGAAAATCGATGAACAACAGGAGGACAGTGACAGTTACAGCAAAGTTCAAACCCCTAAGTTTAATTTTCTTTGTTTTGTATTTTTGATTGCTTATTAACATTCTGGTCTCGCGTGCTCCTGATCTGTTCTTATATGTGTGTGGTTATGATTCCTAGATACTGGCTGTTCTCGGATGAAGTTCCAGGACTGTTCATTGAAAAGGGCTGGGTACATGACAGCATTGACTACCAAGTTACCCACCGCCGCCGAGAGCGCGCAGACCCTCAGGACGAGGACTACTGTCCCCGAAGTACGTGTATCTGCTCTTTACACTGCTCAGATAGGCTCACTAGTAAGGACTGTCCCTGTTGCCTTTCTTCTAGGGAAATGGTTTGGGGTCGGTTTTGTTTCTGTTTTGTGTTTTTAGGTAGATACTTGGGATGGGAAGAGGTGAAATGCAGAGATAGGAAAGTTTCCTTCCTGTCTGATACTAGTTTTGATTAGTAGCTTCCCATAGGTCACTCCGGGGCTAAAATTGAGGTAAATGGACTAAGAAAGTCATTAACGCTTCGTTCTTCACTCTAAAACTGCATGGTGGGCCGGAGAGCTGGTGTGGTAGCTAAGGTGCTGGCTTTGCACATGGTCGATCTGGGTCTGATTCATGGCATCTCTGTGGTCCCTCCACGGCCATCCAGAGTGATGTCTGAGTACAGAGCCAGGAGTAACCCTGGGAATTCCTTGGTGTTGCTGCCCTGAAAAAAAGTAGTGGCAAGGGTATGACTTAAGTGGTCACTGTCACTGTCTTCCCGTTGCTCATCGATTTGCTCGAGCGGGCCCAGTAACGTCTCCATTGGAGACTTTGTTGTTACTGTGTTTGGCATATCGAATACATCAAGGGGAGCTTGACTCAAGTGGTAGAGACCATATTTTCCAGGGCTTCGGTCCTCATCATGTGGGTGGAGCCCTGATGCCTTCCGCCCTCTTTCTCAGCATCAGCCAGGAGTGGCTCCCCACAATAGAAAAACAAAAGTAAATTGTTATTTGTTCCTTTGTACTTGAGCAGGTTGTGCTCAGGTCTTACTCCTGGCCCTGTGTCCAGGGATCACTCTTGGCAGCACTCGAACCCTAGTCGGCCACATACAAGGCAAGCGCTCTATGCGCTGGATTATCTCTTTAGCCTTCTCTCCTGCCTGTTCTTCTGGTTGTTTTTCTGATTACATGTGTATATTCAGTTTGTTAAATAACTGGAAAATCACATGGATAGTTTGCGTCAGATTGTCTCACTTAAGCATTATTGTCATTTTGGAGCAGATAAATCTTGTTACTGATTTTGTTTTGCTTTGGGGCCATGCCTGGCAGGACTCGGCTCAGATATCACTCCTGGCATGTTCAGAGGACTACATGCATTCCTGGGTGATAGAGTTTGGCTTGGTTGCATGTTCTGCATGCACCCTACCTTCTGTACTGTTTCGCTAGTCTACTCTAACACATTCACTTATACAGTTACCTGTATCGCTAAATATCAGAAAGTTTATGTAAGATATTTTAGAAAATACACTATTTCATGTGTGAATGGTGGTAAGTAGCATCTATTCTACTGCTTTTGAAATTTGGAACTCTACTTTGGAATTGGGTTTAATTATATTTAATCTTATTTTTCTTAGGTAAGAAAGCAAGCCTCAGCAAAACTGCAGTGAACATGAACACACATCATGGGCCAGAAGTCGCTGTGGAGACCACAGTTCCCAAACAGGGACAGAATCTATGGTAATGTGAGCATTCATCAGGTTGCTCTTTTTCCTTTGCATTGTTATGAAATTTTTAATGTAGTGATATCAGTAAATTAATGACTAGTAATGATTATTAAGATTCGTTTGTTTGATTTGGGATGCCACACCCAGCAGTGCTCAGGGCTGACTCCTGGCTCTGCACTCCTAGAGGGCTCGGAGGACCATGTGGGATACCAGGGATCGAACCTGGCTCAGCCATGTGCAAGGCAAGCATTATGCCCGCTGTACTGTACTATCACTCTGGCCCCAATTAAGACATTTGTGTGACTTTGGTTTCTTGAATATTTAGTGCTTTAAAATAGAGACATTTTGGGGCTGGAGCAGTAGTACAGCAGGTAGGGCATTTGCACGCAGCTGAATGTATTCAATCCCTGGCATCTCGTATGATCCCCTGAGTCAGAAATAATTCCGGAGTGCAGAACCAGAAGTAACCCCTGAACATTGCCAGGTGTAACCCAAAAAGCCAGACAAGAGAGAGAGAGAGACTTTTTATTTCTTTTCAAATGTGAAAATATTTGTTCAGAGGATCTGGAGAGATTATAGTCCATAATTTTGTAAACCTTACATAGCATTAGAAGTCATTTTTAATCTCTTTGGAAATAGAAGGATTTGGGTGATTTTTGTTGGTTCATTTTGCCAGGAGGGGAATGCCATACCTCTGGTGCTCAGGAATCAATCCTGGCAGTGCTCAGGGGACAGAAAGTGTTGCCAGGGATCAGGACTGGGTCGCTCCCATGCAAGGCAAGCACCCTACCCAGTGTACTGTCCCCTGTCCTTATTTGAGAATTTTTCTTTATTAAAAAATAAAAATTATGTCAGCAGTGTAGCTGTAAGGGCAGGAAACATGTGTAGCGTGAGTTGGGCCCTGGGTGCAATTCCTAGTACCACATGGCCCCTCAGACTCCATCAGGTGTAGCCCCGTGGCCCCTAGCATCTCAGAGTGAGCCCTCCAAAACAAAAAAGAAAGAAATGTGATTTTTTAGCCTTTAATCTTCCTTTGCGTTGTGCTTTTCTGCAGGCAACTAGGTTTTGACAGGGTCCTCTCTACTTTGCAATTTTATCAACCTCTTTGGCTATAAATCATCTCTGGTTCAGTGGGGTTTTCTTGTGGTTTCCCCCACTCTCACCCTCACCCCCCAACTGTGCTCAGAGCTTCCTCCTGGCTCTGCGCATAGGGATCACTCCTGGTGGTGCTTGGGGAATTATGTGGAGGGCTAGGGTTCAAACCCTGGTCTTTTGCACTCAAGGCTATCTCTGGTCCCTCAATCTCTTTTCACCCTTTATTTTGGGGTGTCACTTTCAATTGTGAATGTGCAGGTGTATGGGCCATTGTGTCTATTAATTATAAAACTAAGGTCATAGTGGTGCATATGCTGCCTGAGCACATACGTCGCCCCCATCTTCCCTCTTGAGATGTGTATTTTCCTGCTTTCCTGTCTGATGCTGGGTTGTGTGTGGGGGCTCTCTCTTGAGCAGGTTACTCTCCACTCTCTCCCACTTTATCTCCCTCCTTCCCTTCAAAACCTCCAGTTTAAAAAAAAAAACAACTAAGGTCATATTTTTGCAGGGACCATTGACTCTGGTATTCTTAGCTTAAAGTTAAAGTTTTAGACTTACTGGGAAAAAACGGTTAGTCTCCTGTGAGGAAGTATAGAATTCTGCTCTCACAACACTCACTGCTGACCTTAGATTCTGCTGCTGGGGGCGGCGTGTGCTGGCGTAGTCTGCTCCCACCCAGCATGCTCACACCCCACATGTTTGATTGGGAGCTGTTTGCTCACACCATATCCAGCCGCTTTTGTATGGAATGAGGTTGGCCGTGTGCAAGTGTTTATCCCTCTGCTCTCTCTCTGGCCCAGAGTCGACTCTTCACCAGAGTTACGGAGCTTGTTTTCATCTTGTAGGTTCTTATGTGATAGTCAGAAGGAACTGGATGAGTTGCTGAACTGCCTTCACCCTCAGGGAATAAGAGAAAGTCAGCTTAAAGAGAGACTGGAAAAGAGGTAAGGGGTTTTAATCTTTCTCCTCAAATCCTCTTTCTGTGGCTACCCCCCTCCCATCTAATACAGTAACTTATGAAATGTAACCTTTCATATTCCTGTTGTCTATTTTCTTGGCATGTCACACTTACTTGAAAAAGAAAAAAACATGCCTTTAAACCATTTACTATTAGGGCCGCAGGGTTATTCATTTGAGTGGTGCCTCAGTGCACAAAGTAACCCTATGATACCCCTTGCCGCATTAGTTGATTCTCAAAAGGATTCAGTCACTATTCAGAATAACCTGGAAATGAGAACAGCTTAAATGTCTAATTATAATTGGATGTGTAAATTTATATACATAAATTTAGCTGTAAAAGGAATGAAATACTGGTTATGTTACGCTGTAACATGGTTGAACCTAAAAACTTGCTAAGTCAAAAAAGTCACAGTGTAAGAAGTACCATGTGACTCTGTCCCCATGAGAGCTCCAGAAAGGACGGATTCACGGGGACAGAAGGATGGGTAGTTGTTGGGGGTGGAGGGGAGCAATGGCTTGCTTTAGGTTTTGGCAGCATCAGGCAGATCTCTTATGGCTCTTGTTTTTGGGGTGACCCCTGACTCCGGATATCACATGATGTGGGGGACTTGAACTCAGGTTGGCCACATGCCAAGTTAGCACCTTGACCCCTATACTGTCTCTCCAGCCCCAGAAGGGAGTGTTGGAAGTCATGGCCAGAACAGGTGTGGGGGCTCTTTTTTTGGAAGGGTAGGAAATGTTTTAAAATTAGTTTAATGAACACTGGAAGTATATAATCTTAAATAAGTTTAGGGGCTGGAGCAGCCCAGAGGGGTAGGGCATTTGCCTTGCATGTGGCTGATCTGTGTTAAATTCTAGACAACTCATATGGTTCCCCCCCCAGCCTACCAGGAGTGGTCTCTGAGCACAGAGCCAGGAGTAAGCCCTGAGCATGTCCAGATACGTCCAAAAAATAACAAAAAAGATCAGCTCAGAGTTGAAGAGAGAGCAGGGCACTGGCCTGGTATCCAGCTTACCATTATGTGATCCTGGCACCATATGTTCCCTGCTGATCACCACGACTAAACCCTAAGCATCGTGTGAGTGTGGCCCCAAAACCAAAATAAGTAAACAATGAAGGGTAAGGTTACGGTTCAGTGAAAGCCTCAGATGCTGCTGTCTGCAATATTTGCATTGGTTCTGTTTGCATATTTTCATGTTTGAATGTTTTGATTGACAACAGAAGGAGATAAGATGTGTTCTGCGACTTGGCCAGATTCCCAGATTCGTGGATGCTAGTAGGCCGTTTGGTTAAAGCCCATTCCTTAATGCACATGTTCATGAAAATTGTATTCAGTGTCCCGAGACTGTATGACTAGACACAGTGCCAGTCGAGTTCGGTGACGTCCCTTCCACTTGGTTCAAGTACACTTGTGTTAGAATGAAAGAATTTCTTTTCTTTCTTTGCGGGGGGTGCGGGGGAGGGTCACACCTGGTGATGCACAGGGGTTATTCCTGGATCTGCACTCAGGAGTTCCTCCTAGCAGTGCTCAGGGAACCATATGGGATGCTGGGAATCAACCCAGGTCGGCCGTGTGTAAGGCAAACGCCATACCCGCTGTGCTATCTCTCCAGCCCCCGGAAGAATTTCTTATTCTAAACATGGGCCAATCAGATCCTTTCATTGAAATGTTGGAGATCATCAGGAAAGATCACAGGTGAAATTTACATTCAGGGTGATAATTGGGGGTGAGGTGCCTGCCTTGCATGTTCCTCACCAGGGGTCTTCTCTGGTACCACGTGACTGCCTGAGCATTGCCTGGGTGCTCTGCTAGTTCCCGGCACCAGAGGCTCTGAGCAGCCCCACCTCCTGGGGCTCAGTACCCAAGCTCAGGCCCAGTTGGTTGAATGTATTGAGGAATGACTGTTGGGCTCCTGAGCACAGCTTGGGAGGCTCCCTGAGATTATTTCCTTTCAGTTTTATTGAACATACACAGACACCTCAAGAGTGAGAGCTAAGAGAAGTATTATACTTGAGATTTATCCAGTTCAGAATGTGTTTTTCATATTTTGGTTTTTAGATCACATCTGGTGGTGCTCAGGGCTTACTCCTAGATCAGTATTGGTGGTACTTGGCGGACCCTGTGTGGTTCTTGAGTCAAATCCAGGCTGGACGAATGCAGGGCAACCCACTGTACTCTTTCTGGCCCAGAATGTGCGTGTTTAAAATCAAAAAATAAAGGGCTGGAGTGATAGTACACCTGGTAAAATGGTTGCTTTTGCATGCAGCTGACCCAGGTTCAATTCCCGCCATCCCATATCACTATCACTGTTACTCCATTGTTCATCGATTTGCTTGAGCGGGCACCAGTAGCATCTCCATTGGTCCCTGTCACATGCTAGTGTAGCCCGGTCGCATGTTGGGGGCTCTTTCAATGTCAGGGGAACGAGGACCATAATTGTTACCGTTTTTGGCATATCGAGTACGTCACGAGAAACTTGTCAGGCTCTGCCGTGCAGGCAGGATACTCTTGGTAGCTTGCCGGGCTTTCCAAGAAGGATGGAGACTTTTGGGACAGCCTTTAATCACCATTACAGATGTTCCCAGTCAGGCATATACACGGGCAGGTAGCCTGCCAGGTTCTCTGAGTGAGAAGTAGAAATTAAGAGGTCGCTTAGCCGCACGATTCCAGGAGCTTGGTTTTATCGTCTTTGGATCTTGGCCATTGATGGGGTTACACGGCAGTTGGTGGGTGTAACTGTCTAGTTAGTGGAAGATGGGAGGGTCTGGGTGGAGGAGGCTCAGTCCCGAACCAAGCAGGTTTGGAGATCTTAGCCCCTGGGTTCCTCTGACAGTTCCTTCACACATGAGCTCGTCTGAGCGTGTGAAGAATGATCTCAGCATGCTGTGGCTGGGTCTCGGAGGTCTTCAGCTGCCAGGGCTCTGCTCGGGGCAGAGAGGGAAACTCAACCCGCCCCTCTGCAAGGGGCCCCAGTGAGGACAGCCAGGCGCGGGGGCAGGAGACTCTATGTTGTTCTTGGTTGAGCTTGGTTTTATAGCCACCCCAGATAGTCCCCCATTTTACCACTCCTGCCAGGAGTAATTCCTGAGTGTAGAGCCAGGAATAACCCCTGAGCACCTGGACCAGGTGTGGCTCAAAAAAACAAAAATTTTTAAAATGAAATCAATGAGGCCGGATAGTACACAGTACAGTGGGTAGAGTACTTGCCTTGGACACGACTCACCTGGGTTTAATCCCCAGCATCCATGTGAGTGTTCAAGCCCCACCAGGAGTGTTCTCTGAGCACAGAGCCAAGAGTAAGTCCTGAGCATTCTGGGCATGGCCCCAAAATAAAATCAAGAAATAATAGTTCTGTGTCAGTTAAAACTTGACCCAGTGACCTGTAGTCAGCTTAAAGGCCTGGAGCAAGTACTTGGCATACTCAGTCTGGCACTGCATGCCTGTGGCACCAAATTCCCATGCACAGCCACCGCACACTAACCAAGGTGCTGCCAGGTGTGACAGTCTCAGGGCACTGCAGCCTGAGCACTGAACTCTCAGTTCTGTAGCACCAGATGTATCCTGGTCAAGGGCCCTATAAACCAAAGGAAAGGAGAGAGATGAGATGAAAAAAACCAATCTCTAAATAGAAAACATGTCATTCAAATAATAGAAATTTGTAGTCCATCTTCTTCATAGTTTCCTGGTTCCTACTTTGCTTCATCCAATTTTTTCTAGGTACCAGGATATCATTCATTCTATTCATCTGGCTCGAAAGCCAAATTTGGGTCTCAAATCTTGTGATGGCAACCAGGAACTCCTGAACTTTCTTCGAAGTGACCTCATTGAAGTTGCAACAAGATTACAAAAGGGAGGACTGGGTTATGTGGAAGAAACCACGGATTTTGAAGCTCGGGTAAGAATATAAGAAAATACCCTAATATAAGAAAATACCCTTTGGTATCTGTTACTCATTGAAACTCAGTTTGGGGGCTGGAGCAATAGCACAGCGGGTAGGGCGTTTGCCTTGCACGCAGCCGACCCGGGTTTGATTCCCAGCATCCCATATGATCCCCTAAGCACCGCCAGGAGGAATTCCTAAGTGCAGAGCCAGAAGTAACCCCTGTGCATTGCTGGGTGTAACCCAAAAAGAAAGAAAGAAAGAAAAAAACTCAGTTTGGAGTTGTTCCCTGGAACTGCCTTCACTTTCCCAGATGATTTTGAAAACCATGCTTTGGGTTTCTCTTTCAAGTCCCATGAGAAGTGTGGGAAAGCTACTCAAAGAACTAGAGCACAAGCTTGCGTGTGTGAGGCCCAGAGTTGTAAATTTGGCACCGCAAAGGCCCTCCCTCCACTTGCAGCCAGGTGTAGTCCTGAGCTCCCAGCATGGGGAGGCCTCCCTAAAATGTGACGCCAAATGTTCTCTCTGTACGCATGGCATTCTTTGTCATTTGTAGACTTCCAGAAAATCTAATTGATGCCTAGAAACTTGGTTCAAAAAGAATTTTTCTGTTAGCTGAATGGAAGCCATTTCTGGAGCCATGCTCCTGGCATTATTTGTTCCAAGTCAATAGATGGGAATTTCATTATCTAAATGAGATCAATCAGATCCTTCCGTGGAAGGATTGGAGGTCATCCAGTAGGATTAAAAATTAAAATCCAGTAGGATTTACATTTTTCCTCTTTGATTTTGTTGGATGTTAATCAGACAGACATTTTTATTTTGCTTGTTTTCCCTCCCTCCATCCCTCCCTCCCCAGACCCCTTGGTGCTAGGGGACTAGGATACCTGGGTGGTCTCTAGGCCAGCCGCATGCAGCACACAAAGGAGCACTAACGTGCCGGCCCTCGGGCTTCATCTTAAGTCTGTCGCAGTGCATTGTATTGGGGACTCCATGTTCTGGTCAGCTCTCTTTGGTTTGTTTTGGTTTTTTTGGTCCACACCCAGCAACAGTGCTCAGGGCTTACTCTTGGATCAGGGATCCCTCCTACTGGAACTTGGAGGGCCACTTGTGGTTCTGGGGATCGATCCCTGGTCAACTGTGTGCCATCATTACTGCACCCCCTTTTTTGTTGTGTTTGGGCCACCCTGGCAGTGCTCAAGGATCGGATCCGGGTCAGCCTGTAACCCAATTGTAAATTTTTAATTTCAATTCTTAATAATGGGCTGAAGTGAGCGTAGCGGGTAGGGCGTTTGCCTTGCATGCAGCCAACCTGACCGACCCGAGTTCGATTCCTCTGCCCGTCTCGGAGAGCCCGGCAAGCTACCGAGAGTATCTCGCCCGCACGGCAGAGCCTGGCAAGCTCCCCGTGACGTATTCGATATGCCAAACACAGTAACCAGTCTCACAATGGAGACACTACTGGGCCCGCTCTAGTAAATCAATGAACAATGAGAGGACAGTGCTACAGTGCTAATTACTAATAATGAGTCTTTTGTACATTTCCTGGGGAAGGGGACTTAAACCTATATGTAGTTCTTTGCATCACGAAGAAGTTTTTAACTCCAAGATTTTTGTCACTTATTTAGCAGTTTTTTTTTAATTACTTAGCTTATACTACACCCAAGCTATCCCTTGTTGTTGAGGTAGTGATATTTTATAAAGCGATTTTGATCAAGTTATTTAGCTTGTTTTCTCATCCATAAAATAAACACAAGACTTCAATGAGACCAAGTATATAAAACAGAACCATAGAACAGTGGATAGGACGCGTGCCCGTGATTTGATCCCTGGCACCCCACATGGTCCCTTGAGTCTGCCAGGAATGATCCCTGAGCACTGCCAGGTATGATTTGGAAGCCAGTAGGTCATTTCTGTTTTCTTTTTCGGCTTCCCTTGCCTGGAGACTGTACTTTGTACACAGCAGGCGCCCACCCATATTGGGAGCCCATTAGTGAGTCCCATGACCTTGTTAGCAGACCATCTGAGTGTCCTATGAATCCTTTGGCTGGTGAGTGTGATGACAAGTCAGCTGCCCTCGGATACTGCAGCTATTCCGTGTCCTGAAGGGCCCCATTAAGTGGTTTGGGGTCTGTGCTGATCCGAATCAAGTTGCCTGTCATCCCTTTTATTTTTCTCCTGGCTTTCTCTCAGTCTTGTGTTAACTGATTTCCTCTAGGTTGTCTCATTAGAGAAATTAAAGGATTTTGGCGAGTGTGTGATTGCCCTTCAAGCTAGTGTTATAAAGAAGTTTCTCCAAGGCTTCATGGCTCCCAAACAGAAGAGAAGAAAAGTCCAAAGTGAAGATCCTGCCAAGAGTGAAGAGGTGGATGAGGAGAAGAAGATGGCGGAGGAGGCGGAGGTAGGGACCGGTGCAGATGCCCTTCTGTGGTGGCACGGGAGAGGACGGTCTTATTGTTTCCCCTTATACCTTTTTTGGGGGCCACTGGGATATAACTTGATTTTATCTGTTTTATTTACTTTTCCTGATGGGGGTGGGAGTGGGGAGTTCTCAGTGATTCGTGGCCATCCAAGACACAGTTTAGTGCCTGAAGGTGCGGTGTATTCAGACCTGCAAGTGCTGGGGATCACCCGGGCCTCCCTGCAGTGCTAGCATACCCTCCCCACCCCCCCAGGGCTGTACTCATGGTGGTCTAATCAAACACAAAGCAGGTCCCCAAACTCAGACCATTTCTCCCACCTCTTGTGGTTGAATTTTCAAATTGTTTGTCCATTTCTTTTGAACGCTGCCCCTGGAGCCAGTGTCCCATTCATTTTTTATCACCTTGCTGAAAATGTGTGCTTTGCTGGCCGGTGTGGAGCATAGCCCTGCCTCTAGGACAGGTCACAGGCCATCGTGTCCCTCCCCGTTTACTCAAGCAGGTGCAGTTTGGGTTGTGCTAACGTTTGTGGTCGTGATGTGCAGTCACTACCTCACCACCTACAGAGTGCAAGTGCAGAAGGCACTTGCTCTGACTGTCTCTCCAGCCCCTGTGCAACACAGGTTTAATGATCTTACATCTGCCATCACTTTTAAAATTCAAGAGGTAGAGGAAGACTGGAAGGAGTCGCGGGGATATTGGTGTAAAGTATTGGGCACTTCTTAGGTTTTTGCTTTGGGGCCACACCCAACAGTCCTCGGGGGACTCTATGCAGTGTCAGGCAATAGAACTGGGGTCAGCGTCCTTTCAGCCTTACTGAGTATTCTCAGGTTTGTAGGGTTTTTCCTCCTTGGTGTTTGGGCCACACTCAGCTGTGTTTAGGATTTTCTCCTGGCTCTGCTCAGCGATTACTCCAGACAGGTTTCATGGGACCATATCCAGTTCTGGGTGGCCACGTGAAGAGCAAGCACCTGATCCCCTGCACCATCTTTCCAGTTCCAGTCTTTAGAATTCTTAAGGGGCCCCACTATTGCCAACACTAAACCCTCTTGTAAACTTTTTTGGCGGGGGTAGGGTGGCGGGTTGGGTGCAGATCCACCTGCCTTTGTCCAGGGGCTGCTCCTGGTGGTTCTCCACAACTGCATCCTTGGCAACGCTCAGGGCTTACTTCTCAACAATGCCCGGGGACCTTGGGATGCTGGGAATCAAACCTGGATAGGCTGCACCAGAGCCTTCCCTGCTGTACTGTCTCTTCAGCCCCTAAACTTTGTACTATTTTTGCAGCTCATTGAGCTCTCTCTATGTTGTTGTTGTTGTTATTATTATTATTATTATTATTATATCATCATCATCAAGCCTGGCAAGCTACCTGTGATGTATTCGATATGCCAAAAACAGTAACAAGTTGCATAATTTGTTGAGACGTTATTGATGCCCATTTGAGCAAATCGATGAACAAAGGGAGACCGTGCTACAATGCATTATTTTGGGGGGAGTTCTGGGATTGGCCCATGGACTCACAGGTGCAAAGCTAATGCTCTATCATGGAGCCACATCTGAGCATCAAGTCCCTCTTAGCTTGTCAGAAGAGACTTGATTCTTAGCTTGATTGGGGAGTAAAGTAGGGGCACTGTGCCAGCATAACCTAAGGGCCAGACACATAGTCCACGAACGGAGAGCATGGAAGAATTTCTTGGAAAATCAATTAGATTGCCTGCTAAGTAGTTCTGCCATGCTCCCCGTTACCGTGCCTGCAGCCCCCCAGCAAAGGGCAGCGTTGCCGCTGCTCTGAAACTTTCCACTTCCCTTTTCTTTTGAACGTTTTCCAGGTCGCATAGCCGGGGTTTTTTTTCAGCTGGCCCGGGCTTGTTGAGTGAGCTATTAACAGTCTCATCTGGGTTTTCAGCTTCCTTATTTATAAAATTAGATGTGTCTAAACTATCTTTTAACAAAAAGATGACTGGTTGTTTCAGGGATTTTATACTGATTGCCCTTTCTTATGCTAAATAGAGAGCTATATAGTGTGTCCAATCCTAGGTACTGTTCAGCGATGTTTTTTGTTGTTGTTTTGTTTTTGGCAGTGGGGAAGGGGGATATATTTGTTCCGGCACTCTGATGGTCTCTATTTCCATTTTAAACATTGTCTTATAAAGACTGATTTAAAGCCTTGTATCTTTGCCGAGATCCGATACTGCTTTTTTACTGTTAGACAAAGGGTTGCCAAAAATGCTCCACAAAGTCATCGTTTTGTCTCAAATTAAGGAGCGATTAACAGCTCGCCAGCAACTGCTCTCAAGCCTAGCTTAGATGAGAGAGGCAGCCCTGAGTGTGAAAGCAAGGGTTTATTTATTATTCGTTCTTTTTGAGTTTGCTTTTTGGATCACATCCAGTGATGCTCAGTGGTTACTCCTGGCTCTGCACTCAGGAATTACTCCTCCTGTTGGTGCACCAGGGGCTCTGCAGGATTCTGGGGATCAAACCCCAGTCCGCCATGTGCAAGGCAAATGCGCTACCCTGTTACCATCGCTCTGGCCCCAAGGGTAAAAAGGGCCATACCACTCCTTGAAATTTCACTAAGTAAGCAAGCAGATTTACAGAAGCCAAATAAAGCAGTTAGCTGAACAATCCATTGATTAATACAGAATCCAAAAGTAAAGTAAGCAATAGTTAAACAGAAACCAAAAATAGTAGACAACCATAGAATAGTCAATCAATAGAGTAGTCAAAACAGTTGATTGATGCAGGAACTAAAAATGATACACTCTTCACTGATCCCCTCTTGTCTCGCGTCCTGTTCAAAGGGCCAAGTGAATATGTACATTCTGGATGCCAGCGCCAAAGTAAAAGCAGCTTGTTTCTCAAGGGAACGGGGTCAGTCTTCACAGTGACTGGTGTATCAGCTGGCTCTTCCTTGATTTAAATTTTTGCTAGATCAAGAATGTGGATCTTCTGTTGGCCTCCCAGTAGTGCCAGGCAGTTTCACTGGTCGCTGCAGTGTGGAATAGCATCATCTCTTGCCACTTTTTTCTTTTTGGGTCACACCCAGCGATGCTCAGGGGTTACTACTGGCTCTTCACTCAGGAATTACTCCTGGCGGTGCTTGGGGGACCATATGGGACGCCGGGGATCAAACCCAGGTGGGCCATGTGCAAGGCAGCAAATGCCCTACCCACTGTACTATGGCTCGGCCCCTCCACTTTAGGTTTTAAGTGCAAAATTTTATGCTGCCAGAGAACAGTATGTTCTTTGAACTTTCAAGACCTTAATGATTTTGCTCTCAAAATTAGAGGGTGGTTGAGTCCCGGCTGGTATAGTAAGTTCTCTATAGCAGAGGCTGCTAAGCCAGCCACAGAGCACTGGATGGAAACCTGGAGACCCAGAGGAGACGGGCATAAAAAAATCACTGTGGGACCTTGGGCAGGTTTTTTTTCCATGAAAAATAATCGGGTTCCACAAGTACAGAATGTTCACAACAGTGTTATTCAGAACAGTCGGAAAAATAAGCCCCAGAAACCAACCCCCACCCTGTCCCACGATCAGCATGATCGGAGAATGTGCCTGTCCTTTGTTGGCTGCTCCAGACTGAATGCAGTGAAGCACTGTTCCCTGACGCAGAGTGGGTGGCCGGCGCTCTTGGAGGCCCCGGCAGGCAGCTTCCAGCCACAGCACCGCATGGCCCCCACAAAATAAGGGTGAATAAGCTAATTTCTAAGATCGCTTTCAGTTTTGTTTTAGTTTTTGGTTTAGGGCCACACCCAAGAATGCTCAGGGCATATTCCTGGCTCTTTGCTCAGGGATCACTCCTGCCACTGCTCAGGGGACCATATGGGATGCTGGGGATGGAACCCAGGTAGGCCACGTGCAAGGCAAGCATCCCATACTACTGCTGTACTATTGCTCTAGTCCCTCATTTTTTATTTTAATGAGGTCAGATAAGCTATTGATTTCCCAAAACTTAAAGTTTGTGGGAAATAAGCACTGCTGCATGCTGAGGGCTTTTTCTTGCTTCCTGCCTTTACCCAACTGCCCACTAGAGAGCAGCAGAGCCCACCCACTTCAGCCTCTTCTGCCTCCTCTTACCCAGTGGTCCTCAGTGCTCTGTGTTCAGGGATCACTCCTGCAGGCTCAGGGGACCGTTAATGGTGCTGATGATCAAACTCAGGTTGGCTGTTAGCAAGCCGAGGACCCTACCCATTCCAGCCTATACTGGGTTCATTATAAGCAGTTCTATTTTCTGAAATCAATGCAAGTTATCCTGAGAGTAGCCATCCAAATTAAGCCAGGCTCATTCCCTCCCTCCCTCCCTCCCTCCCTCCCTTCCTTCCTTCCTTCCTTCCTTCCTTCCTTCCTCAATACTCAGGGCTTACTCCTGGCTCTGCATACAGGAATTATTACTCCTGGTGGTACTCAGGACCACATAGGATGCCAAAGATCAGGCGCAGGTCGGCTATGTACAAGGCAAGCGGCCTACCTCCTGTATTATCGCTTCAGCCTCAGACTTTAAAATTTTTCACATTAGTTAGAAATTAGTGATAAAATCAAGATGAATATTTCTCTTTCAGTTACTTAACACTTTTAAGGACTCTTGAATGCATTACAGATACTCAGTATTTCTGTGTTATCTGCACACCCTGGTAAAGAGATCCTTCTTTAGTCACCCTTCATCTAAGCCCCAATTCTTTGACCTTGGACAATGGTCTTTTTCCCCTTCGGAGCCTTGCAGTGTGTATTCACTCCTGCCCTGTCAGGCTCATGGGTTAATCCAGAGACGTTCCTTGAGGTGAACATACTCCGAACAGTCTTAAATTTCTTCCTATTTCTAGTTCTCTCCAAGTTGCTTGTCTTCGAGGTCCTTCTCATGACACGGGTCTGGTTTGGTCTCTAGGTGGCGTCTGCACTGGAGAAGTGGAAGACGGCGATCCGCGAGGCCCAGACCTTCTCCAGGATGCATGTTCTCCTGGGGATGCTGGACGCCTGCATCAAGTGGGATATGTCAGCGGAAAATGCCAGATGCAAAGTTTGTCGGAAGAAAGGTAAGTGTCCCGAATAATTCTTGTTGTTTAGTTCTGGGCCACAACCGACAGTGCTCGGGACTTGTTGCTGGGTCTGTGCTCAGGGATCACTTCTAGCAGGCAACTATATGGGGTGCTAGGACTGGAGTCTGGGTCAGCAGCATGCAAAGCAAGTAAATTCCCTACCTGCTGAATTATCTCCAGCATGCTCACCCTCCCCCAAAAAACTCTTTTTAGCAGTACACAACTTTTAGTGGGTGGGGTGCTTGCCTTGCCAGTCTGGATTTGATCCTTTGCACCTATGTCGCACCTTGGGCCTCACCAGTAGTAAGCCCTGAGCACTGCCAGATGTGGCTCGAAAACCAAAAATTAAATAACACTGCACAGCTTTTAAATATGATTAGATTATGCTGGGGGGGAGAGTCTGTGAAATGCTTGTCTTTGAAATTGCACGCCATTCAACCAAAGCAAGCCCTTTTCCTTATTTTTGAATATGAAAGAACTTTACTTTCATCCATCTTAAAGAACTTTTCAGGGAACAAGAATTAGTCTCGGTGCTGGAGTGATAGCACAGCGGGTAGGGCATTTGCCTTGCACACAGCTAACCCGGGTTCGATTCCCAGCATCCCATATGATTCCCTGAGCACCGCCAGGAGTAATTCCTGAGTGCATGTGCCAGGAGTAACCCCTGTGCATGGCCAGGTGTGACCCAAAAAGAAAACAAAAAAATTAGTCTTAACATCCCTCAGCTTGATTTCGAGTCATCTGTGACTGAGACTGGCATTAGCAGCAGAGGGCGCTGTTTGCACATTGTGACGGAGGCACAGGGCAGTCTCCTGAGGGCCCTGAGCACTCTGTGCAGGGGGAGCTTCCGGGCTGCTGTTTCCAGCAACTGGCTGCTCAGTGGCTCGAGTTATTATTTTGTGAATTCAGTTGGGTGTAATTTTCAAGCCTACCATTAAACCACTCAGTTGCTCTAAAATCTGATTTAGAATAAAAGGGAGTAAGGGGAGATGAAATCACTGGTTACATTGATGCCGTGTCTCAAATGTCAGGAAGCTGAACTCTTCATCAAACCCTAGCCGCCATTAGTTGGTTGGTCAGGGCAAAGAGCAGGGGGTTCCTTAATGGGGTGCCCTTTGCCTTCCTGCTCTCTGGCTTTCTCCCTCTCACAGCTTGGGGGGACTTGAGGGGGTAGAAGTCAGAAGAACTCAGCTCTAAATTCACTAGAACTTCAACAAAAACCCAGCCCCCAGCCCCCCCCCCCCAACACACCCCCTACCTTCCACCCCACCACCACCCTGGGTTTTTTTTTTAATCAGTATTCTAGAGTGTTTGTTCTTTCATGGTGTTAATTGAGGGGTGTGGCTCTCTTTCTCATAACCTCCCGCCCTCAGTGATATGTTAAGTTTTTCTTCTCACAGGTGAGGATGACAAACTGATCCTGTGTGACGAGTGTAATAAAGCCTTCCACCTGTTTTGTCTGAGGCCGGCTCTTTATGAAGTACCAGATGGTGAGTGGCAGTGCCCGGCCTGCCAGCCCGCTACTGCCAGGCGCAACTCTCGTGGCAGGTGAGACTTGGCTTTGTTTTGTCCTGTTTGCGGTGCTGGGCACGAAACCCAGGTCTCCTGCTCGCAGAGCATGGGCTTTATCACTGGGCTCCACCCCGGCAGAGAATTTAGTTTCTTTTTCTTTTTGGTTTCTGACTTGTATCTATCAGTGTCCTGGGGCTACTCCCGACTCAGTGCTCAGGGCTGCTGTGTGGAACCAGAGATGGAAACCATGTCAGGACGCGTGGCCCGTGCTTTGAGCCATCTCCTTGAGAGTTTCTCCAGTTGAACGGTTTCTAAGGAGCTTTGTGTTCACGTGCTGTTTCTTGGTTTTGTTCAACTCTCCGGTTGGTCGTTACTTCCCTTGGGGGAGGCGCACACCAGTGGTGTCTCGGGATCTCTCCCACTAGGGTTCGGGTCACCAAACTTCCGTCAGTCCTCTCCGCCGTACCATCTCTCTGGTCCCCGTGACCATTGCTTATTCCTTTCTGCCTTGGCTTCCACTTGGCTCCCCTGGGATGAAGTGTCAACTCTGCCTTCCTCCCTCACAGTTGCCCTCCTCCTCCCGATGAGGACTCAGTGTCCAGTGGCCTGCGCTCACACCTTTTGTCTTCTGGGTTCTCTTCCTTGGCCAGATGTCCACGCGCCTCTGACTTGCCTGCACTGCCCAGTCTCACAGTCCCCCTCTCTGGCCTTCCTGGGGCTCTTCTCGACTGCTTCCTTACCTCCTCCCATCTGCCACCCGTAACTCACCAGCTCTTTGTAGGGACACCCACAGGACTTGCTCAAGATAAAGATCTGCCTGTGTGGCTTCCCACTCAGAAACTTCCATCTTGGGGCAAGGAACCTTGGGGTGATGGTGGAGCCATCAGGCACCTGATTATGGGCTTAGTTGTAACAGCATGCAAGGCTGAAACAGTGATTTGGGGGAGGCTGGAGTGATTTGGGGGAGAGCTCAGAGGCAAGGGCACTTGCCTTCCTCTTGGCCAACCATATGGTTTGATCGCATATGGTCCCTAAAGCACCACCAAGTCCTGAGTGCAGAACTAGGAGTGACCCTGAGCATTGCCAGGTGTGTCCCCACCCCTCCAAGAAAATAATAATACGATTGTTAGTGTCTGAGAGTAGGAAGCATTGTTCCTCATCAGATCCCAAGGCGGCCAGACCCAGGGCCTCATGAAAAGTAGCTGCCTAATTGCCGCCAAGTTAAAAGCGCTCTGACCCCCCATTGAAATTCAAGGTCACCAAAGGGCCGCTCCAAGGCACCTCGCCTTTGAAGGCGCAGAGCTGTCTGATCTGACCCACCTTCCAGTGTCCCTGGATGCCTTGCTCCATCCCAGCCTACTGGCGGGAGGCAGCTGCTCCCAGCTGGGATTACTGCACTTTGATGTGGTGGTCATCTGTGCGCTGTCCCCGCCGCTGGACGGGGGCCAGCAAGGTGGAGCTGCACCTGTCTGGCTGTTTACCCCTGGAGCGCCGGGTCAGGCCAGCTGAATGGCGGAGAGGGAACGGCTCGGCACTGTCTGATGTTGAGAGAAGCAGGCTCGCGTGTGCTCCCAGTTTCTGTCGCCAAGGTGTCGGAGGCCTGCCTCTGGGTTGAAGCAGGTTGGCAGCCTGTGGCCTGTGCCCCAGCCTGGCTGGGTCTCCTGCACTCCCTCCTCCCAGCAGCCTGATGATCTGCAGAAAGGGTGCTGTTGTCTGCGCTCATCTCAGGGCCATTGTAACCTCAAACTGGGTCTTCCCCACAGGAATTACACTGAGGAATCTGCCTCTGATGGCAGTGAAGAAGAGGAGGAGGAGGAAGAGGACGAGGAGGAAGAAGAGGAGGAGGAGGAGGAGGAAGATTATGAGGTGGCTGGTTTGCGACGTAAGTCTTCGGTTTGCCTTACTCATTCACCTCCTGTCCTGTCTGTCGCCCTAATGTGCAGTGGCTGGGCTGGCAGGAGACCTGGAGTGCCTTGGACCTTCTCCGCTCTCGGTGACCTTGGGGCGCCCCCGCCTGCCTTTCTTTCCGGTGCAGTTCTCAGGTGCTGTGCACCTTCCCGGTAGGAGGGTGGCTTGACTTCAAGGTCAGCATTCTGCCGCACACCCATCGAGTGCCCAGAGATCTGCATGGCAGGGCTGCTTCTGAACCCCCTTGGTGAGGACAGGGAAAGTTCCCCAGCCAATTTGCCCTCCTGCCCTTCTCAGAAACAAACTCCTCACTCAGTGCCCCTATGACACTCAGGCTCCTCCACCCCCAAGCCTCACATCGCTCCTGTGGCCTCCTGACTCTGGGGAGCCTTGTTCCGCTCTGCCAACTCCGGTGCTGGCCGAGGACTGAGGCTCCGCTAGCTTGAGAAGGTTGGCAGCTTAGGCTGAGTGGGTGGGTAGTGGCGCCCATTCCTTGGGTGCTAGCATCAGTAGGGGCCTCAGCCATGCGCACCTATAGCTCCGTCTTCTTTGATTTTGGTGGGATGCAGATGGCACTCGGGGCTGTGATGGGAGCAGAGTAAGAACAACTCAGACTCACGGTGCCACGCAAATCTGGGTTAGCCACTTCATATGTACACGCATGCTCATACCCCAGGCACCATTTGGGTGCTGGGGACTGAACCAAGGTTCCAGCTTTCTGACCACCTTCCAGTCCTCGGTCCAGGTCTTACAGTTTTCTACAACTAGACCTCAGCTCTGCAGCCTTACTTTCTAAAATGCTCTCCGGCCCACAGAACAGAGGTGAGGTGGAGATTTTAGTGAGCATGTTCTAGTGAGCATGTTCTACAGTCCCGGTGCTGTAAGGGCGGTGTGCTGGCCCTTGGTTGGCCCCCCATGCTCCACTTCAGGGCTTTGCTCAGGGACCACTTAGTTTCCCCCGTGTATCCAGTGAGCGGGGAAGCAGCTGGTGTGTTTCCTTCCGCTCAGCACGTGTTTGCCAGCTTCTTTGCCAGGGGTCTGCAACCTGCTTCCATTGCTGAGCTATTCCCCTGCTCCAAGGCCCGCCCACTGATCTTTCTAGCCTCACCTGCTGGAAGGATCCTGGGAAGAATTCGATGTTCCAGAGCCCGTCAGCTTTGACTTTCCAGCCACCAGCAATGGGGTTCTCTCGTGCTAACCACGGGTTCTGGCTTGGTGGCTGTCCCTGGCACCCACATTTCATTTTGGCTTCTTTTTCACTAGTGTTGGCTGGACACTGTTGCTCTCCCGTGGTAGATTGTAGTACTGGTTTATTTGTTCTATTTTTTTTTTTTTTGTTTTATTTTGTTCTGTTTTGGGGCCATACCCAGTTAGGCTCAGGGTTTAGTACTACCTCTGAACTCAGGGATCACTCCTGGTGGGGGCACCCTATTGAGGTGCTTCAGATCGAACCCAGGTCAGCTGCGTGCAAGGCAAGCGCCCTCCCCACTGCCCTGACCTCATTCTTGGTATTGTTGCTTCCGCATGTACCTGTCTGTGCAATGTCACCTCGTTCTGTGCAGGGACCGTCGGGTGTAAAGACCATGAGGTCATCTGTGTATCCTGAGTACAGAGGTCAAGGAGCGTTGCTTTGATTTTGAGCGTCTGTTGTCTTGGTCCTATTCTCTGGAGGTTTTCTGGAAGTGCCCTGCTCCCTCTCTCAGATGTAAGCAGGACTGTGGCCGGCACACTCAGGACATGGCCCATCAGCTGGGCTGGGCTTTTCTTCCCCCCCTAAAGCTATTTTTAGAGCCTCAGCTTTTCTCTGCAAAGGTCATGGTGGTGAGGGAGCGCGTGTGTTAGCTAGATCATCCCCTTGTCCAGCCGTCCGTCTCCCGAGAATCCACACTCAGACTGAGCTCGGGTCAGGAGTTCTGGACAGTGGCCACTTCTGAGCTAGTGAGACCCTTCCGGGTTTGTGTTCCTGGGACTCAGTGGCCAGGCTATAATAGATGGCCGCTGTGCATTCACCTCCTGTGTCCACCATGGGAGTCCCAGCCGGCACTGCGGGCTCCTCCATCCACCACTTGATTCCGTGTGCACTTGCTTTATTTCAGTGAGACCTCGAAAGACCATCCGGGGCAAGCAGGGGGCTGTTCCCCCCACAAGACCAGGCCGCCGGCCAGGTAAGAAGCCGCACCCCGCCCGGAGGGCTCAGTCAAAAGCACCGCCCGTGGATGAAGCCGAGGTGGATGAGCTGGTAAGCGTCTTCTCCGGCTGGGGTGCGGGTGTCAGTTCTGTGCCTCTTCCCGCTCCCCCAACCCTCGTACCACTAGGTGTAGCCCAAAAACACTGATCTCTCTTCTCCCCACCAGTGTCTCTTTGCTCCTGCGTTAGGGATCTGCTAGGCAGCAGGTGGGGCTGCCCCTCCCGCTCCCTCCACCCTCAACTGGGGAGAAGGAGGCAGATGGGTGGGCCCCAGGCTGAGCATCCCAGTCCCTGGGAGCTGCTATGTCCGGCATCCCTGCTGCTGCCCGCGGCCCAGTCTCTGGTGATCGGCAGCCTGCAGCTCGCTGGGTTCTAAAATAGCCTCCATGTGTCTCAGGCCGAGGAGGGCTGGGGCTCTGGGGAATGCCAGCCGTGTCCGCGCCCCCCGTGCTGGGTGGCTGTTGCTGACAGTTGTTCCGGCAGCCGCCCTGGAGTCCCCACCCTCGCTGCTGTGGGGGGCTTTGCCTTTGATGGCACCAGTGCTTTCAAGAGCAGAGAGGCCCTAGAAACTTCCCTGTCTGGGCTGCTCTGGGGGCGGGGAGCCCACTGTTTGGGGAGACCCAAAGGCACTGAGATGAGAGTAGCGTGCCCCCACCCTCAAGCCCCCCATACACAGTGCTCTCGGCGTAGCCTATGGCCTGAGGAGCACCCCCCACCCCATCCCCCCCTGAGGGACAGCACCCTCCTGCTTCGCTGGCAGCTGGACTCCTTTGCTGTCTGGTGGTCCCCAAGACTGACCCACATCCACCCAGATCCATCTGCTCTCAGAGAATCTTCTGCCACGCTGGTCTCTGCCACCAGGGGGAGCAAGTGAGCAGCGGCTCCAATTTAGGGGCACAAGGCTTTGATCCTCCCGCCCCCACACAGTGCCCCATCTCTCATCCTTGTATAATTATGCATGGGGGGAGAGACATCACACTCCTAGTGGTGCTGGGGGGGCACCCTCCCCAGAGCCTTCAGCCTACTTGTGTGTACTTATTCAGGGCTGGAAGGATAGTCCAGGGGCTAAGGCACTTCCCTTGCCTTATGGCCAGCCCATTTGGTACCGGCAGTGTGAAAGGCTGCTCCTGGTGGCGCTCGGTGTCAGGACAGACGCCCTACCTGCTGTACGCCCACCCTGGCCCACCAGTGTTTATTTAGCCCCTCCATTTCCCCGGAGATGCACCTGTGCGGCCCGTCACTCTTCTCTTGGCCCTGAGCGGCTTCGCTCTCCCGTCTGGTGCAGGTGCTGCAGACCAAGCGGAGCTCGCGGAGGCAGAGCCTGGAGCTGCAGAAGTGCGAGGAGATCCTGCACAAGGTCATCAAGTACCGCTTCAGCTGGCCCTTCCGGTGAGCCGCTGCCCCGCCGGGTGCCCCCCGATCCCTTTCCGTCGGGATACGACGCGGCCTGTCCTGTCTAGCGTGTGCTTGCTCACTGGGTTTTGGTTCTCCCAGGGAGCCCGTGACACGTGACGAGGCGGAGGACTACTACGACGTGGTCACGCACCCCATGGACTTCCAGACGATGCGGAACAAATGCTCCTGCGGGAACTACCGCTCGGTGCAGGAGTTTCTCAGCGACATGAAGCAGGTGTTCGCCAACGCCGAGCTGTACAACTGCCGGGGCAGCCCCGTGCTGGAGTGCACGGCCAAGACCGAAGAGTGCCTGCTGGCGCTGCTGCGCAAACACCTGCCCGGCCACCCCTACGTGCGCCGGAAACGCAAGAAGTTCCCAGAGCGCCCTGCTGAGGACGAGGGGGACGGTGGGCTGGAGCCTGCTGGACAGTCCAGGGGCCGAAGACAGAAGAAGTAGGCAGGGCCGTGGTGAGGGAGCTGAAGTCGGGGTGGGGGGACCGAGGGGAGAGCAGGGAGGGTGGGGGGGACCCAGGAAGGGAGAGCGCAGGAGTCCAGCAGCCTGCGGCCTGCCCACGGAGGCGCGAGCGTGGAGTCCCGTGTGGGTTTGGTGGCAGAAGCGAGCAGTGGGTGTTGGTGACCTTCTTTTTCTCCCCCTAAGTATCCGGGAGGAGCGTGAGGGGCGGCCGTGCCCGGGAGCCCAGTCCTTCTCCTGTCTTTGTTCCCGGGGTTCTGCCCCACGGATCACCACAGCAGTGCCAAGCCTCTGGGCTCGGGGGGATTTCTGTACGCCATAGGGGAGGGGGGGGCAGGCCCAGGCGGCCCCCCGGGCTCCTCCCTCTAGTTCTTGATGACCTCATGCCCGCCGTGTCGTCCCCTCTGCCCTGGCCCTTGCAGTGGCATGTCAGTGCTATATGGAATTCTCTGGTCACCAGCATCACCATCTTGGCAGAGCAAAGGGACATGCCCTTGGGCCCATCCCTGACCACCCCGTCCCCTCCTGGGAGATAGCCCTTCCCTCCCCCACTCCCCATCCCACTTTGCCTCCCCCTTCCAAAAACACAAAAGGGTTTTAAAAAAAAAAAAAGGAAAAACCGAAGGCACTTCACCTAGAGACCGGGGTCCTGCTTCTGTCCGGTCATGACGGGCCTGACCAGGATGCGTCTGGCCAGAAGAGGGTGTTGGAGCCCAGCCCACCCGCGCACCGGATGTGCTCTTAGGGGAGCACGAGAGAAGCAGGAAGATTGAGATGTTTAATTTTTTAATGGACTTTTCTAGCTATTCCAAGTTGCTTGTTCCAGCAGCGCTGCTGTCTAAAGGACACCGTGTCCGTCCGCGTCCTTGCTGTGGCACATGTACAGTCGTTTTATGGTAATGTGGTCGCTTCTCGCCCACGCCCCCGCCCGCACCCGCTCACCTGCGAGAAGTCGGCATGGAGGCTCTTGAGGCGAGTGGGGGGACTCTGGGGGGGCTCTGTGGCCTCCCCGCTCCTACCTCCCCTCCCCTCCCATTTCACCTCCGTCTTGGAACTCCCTTGAAACCCGCATCTTGGGGTCCGAGTGGGGGCTGACAGGGGGACAGGAGCAGCTCAGACCAGCCTCCCCCCCCCCACGCGCAGTGCTGGGGTGGGCTTTAGGCAGAGCTCCGCAGACCCCTTTCCCCTTCGTGGCAAGTTTCTACAAAAACACAAAACAGGGTTGGATTTCCTACCCATCAGCTGCTGGCGGGAAAGTTCCAAGCGCTTGGGCACCTACTTAGGTTAAGGGGAAAGCAGCCGCCCGTGGGGTTGCAACCCACAAACCCTGAGAATAAGTGGAGCCTCTCACCCAGAACCTAACCGGGACGACGAGGTTGGCCCGTTTCCCTTGCTGGGGCGAGCGACCCCCTTCTCTGTGGGCCTGATTAGCACTGACTAGACCGCCTCATGCCGCGCCCGCCCACCGGCCTCTCCCTGCCTGTTCTTGTCGCAGTAAGAATCGCAGTCCCGCCTCGTGACACCTGAGCTGTTTGTTTTTTAAATCGTCTTTGAGGAGGAAGGGCCCCTCGAAAGGGTAAACTTGTAATAAATTGGAATTTCAAATAAATATTATGTACTTGTGTTTATAAAGAAGATGTGATTCCGCAGATCTGTTTATCCCGGTAGTTGGTGAGCTGGGGGTGGGGCTTCAAAGGTGTATTTGTGGCCACGTGCTCAGGACTGGGGTCCCTGCCAGGCATCCCCACCAACACCCCGTACCCCAGAGACGCTCTGCTGCGGGGCTGGAGGAGGCCAGCACCAGCGGACAGTGCCAGCCACACGCGAGCCTGGAGCTTCTCTCTCCAGTGCAGGGTGATCTTTGGGGGCACCTTCTGCTGACTTCAAATGAGTCGTTGTTCCTTGGGGAATCAAAGCACCTTGCCTGGCTCCACATTCTAAACTGGGAACCCTTAATCTCCAACTTGTCAGGAAGCCAGGCGTCCACATTGGGGTGTGGGGTGAGGGTCATCCGTCCCAAAGCAGGAACAAATGCACATTTGGTTCTGCACATGCCCTGTAACCGCTGACCCCCCCCCGGGGGGGGGGGCAGCACAGGCAGGCATGGCTTCTGAGGCATTCTGTGAGGCTCTGGGGGTGCCCGTGTGTTTCCCTTTCTTGGCCTAACACCTGCTGCTCCCCGCCCGCCTGTGGTGCTGTCTGGAAAATGGAGCTCAGAGGGAGGGTCCTGGGCCTTGGCGGGGTTGCGGTGCAGGCCTGCTCGCCCAGCCCATTCATCCTGGAAGTGGGGCTTTCCCCCCAGCTCAGGATTCCCCGCCCGCCCTGTCTGGGGCCCTTTTGGTCCCCACTGCCCCTTGCCTTCCTCCTGCCCTGGAACACTCCCTTTCTCCGCTGACCCTGCTCTGGGGTGGCAGCACCCCACTTGGACCTGTCACCTTCACTGAGCTCAGTCGGGCTCAGCTCTAGGGGAGCCCCCGGGAAAAGGCAAGGTGGTAGGACCGGGTCCTTAGGTGGGGTCACGTCCCCTCAACTCAGGGCTAGACTATCTTGGGGGTTTCCTCCCCCAAACAAAGTCAGGGACCTGTGAGGTAGGTGGTGGCTGCCAGAAGGTGCTGGCCTTCAGCCCCCCTCAGATGAGGCCACCTGGGACAGGAGCCACCATCCCTCACTAGCTGGTGGCCCTTACAGTGGACAGATGGGACAGGTCCTGCTGCCCTGAGTGCCCCGCCTCAATGCACGCACCTGGCTGGCAGAAAAGCGGTTGAACTCCCCGCTGCACCTGCCCTTCCCCTGGGCTAGCGATGTATGCCCACTGTGCCCCAGGCCTCCCATTCTTTTACTTTTGTTTGGCCATTTGGGTCACACCCAGCTAAGTTCAGGGGTTACTCCCAGCTCTGCACTCAGGAAGCACTCCTGGTGGTGCTCAGGGGACCATATGGGATGCTGGGGATCGAACTCAGGTAGAAAGCGTGCAAGGCAAATGCCCTTCCCACTGTACTATGGCTCCGGACCCTGGGGGTTCCCATTCTTCATATGACCGACCCTGCTCCACCTAGGGACCAGAGCTTCCGTGGGAGATCTGGATAAGCTGACACCCCACTTTCTACAGGCGAGGAACATCATTGAGAAAGATTTGCCTGCAGGCCCCAGAGAAGCTAGTGTGTGTGTGGGGGGGGGGGGGCATATCCCAGGGTCTTCAGAGCTCCCCACCCCCCCACCCCGCTGTAGCATCCCAGCTCACTCGGGGAAGCAGGACTGGTTACCTCAAAGACAGCCTATGGGTGCCAACCCTTGGTGCTGTCTGGAAAATGGAGCTCGGAGGGAGGGTCAAGGCCCCAACTGCACCCACCCCCGGCTCTGCTCCCCGCACAGAGAGGACTCAGCGGTGCCACACGGCCTTTATTCCAGTCACAGCACAGGGATGCAACAATAAATTACATCATTAAATAAACTCCCTGCTGGACCAGCCCCCTCTGCCCTCCTCCCGTCTTCACGCTGCCCCCAGCCCTGTGGGGACTCCGCAGCTCCCCCCCCCCCCTTAGGGGAGCAAGTCCCACTGGGGCCTGGACAAGGGAGGCTGGAAGGCATCTCTCCACCCGCTACAGGGGCCCTTCTGCTCACTTGCCTGGCCTGACAGCTGGGCAGCTGTTCCTCAGCTGTTTCCTCCGGCGAGGGGGGGAGGCTGGCAGGGGGCAACAGCCGCCTGGGGCCGCCCTGTGTCCCTAGAGATGTGTGGGGTTCTCCAGAGAGAGATCTGTCTTAGTCATGTGCAACACCACGGTAGGAGCCTTGTAATGGCAGTGGGGGCCGTGACCATAGCCCCCGGGAGCCCGGCAGGCCTTGGCCCGCGCCCGGCCGGCTGCCATCTTGCGGTGGCACAGGCTCTGCCAGGTCTGGAAAGTCTTGGAGCTCCACACCCAGACGCCGCTGGTGATGCCCACCACCAGCGACATGAAGATCTTGAGCATGAACACGGCCACGGTGGGCACCGAGCCCCCCTGCAGCGAGCAGTCCCGTCGGCCCCCGGGCGTGGGGGCTGCCACGCACGGCTGCTCCGTGGCCCGGAGGTGCCACACGTCCATGTTAAGGCGCTCATAGACATAGCACACGATGACGCAGGTGGCCGGCACGGTGTAGAGGATGGAGAAGACGCCGATCTTGACCATGAGCTTCTCCAGCTTCTCGGTGTTGGTGCCTCCTGTCTTCATGATCTTGCGGATGTGGAAGAGGGCCACGAAGCCAGTCAGGAGGAAGCTGGTGCCCAGCACTAGGTAGCAGGAGAGCGGCACCAGCACGAAGCCCGTGAGCGCCGCCGCGTCCATGCTGGCCACGTAGCAGAGCCCCGTGAGCTCGTCGCCGGCCACCTTGCGCAGGGTCAGGATGACAATGGTCTTGAGCGCCGGCAGGCCCCAGGCGGCCAGGTGGAAGTAGCTGCCGTGCGCCTCGATGGCCTCGTGGCCCCACTTCTTGCCGGCGGCCAGGAACCAGGTGAGCGTCAGCACCACCCACCAGAGCGAGCTGGCCATGCCGAAGTAGTAGAGCAGCAGGAAGACCAGGGTGCAGCCCGTGTTCTCCAGGCCCTCCTGGATCACGTAGAGGGCGCCGGCCTCCTGGTCGCAGGCCACGCTCTGCGCGCCGGCCACGGCGCGGATGAGGAAGGCCAGCGAGTAGACGTTGTAGCACATGGACAGGAAGATGATGGGGCGCTCGGGGTACTGGAAGCGGTGCGGCTCCAGCAGGAAGGTGAGCACGGTGAAGGCGGTGGAGAAGAAGCAGAGCGCCGACCACACGGCCATCCACACGAGCGCGAAGTCCTTGTCCCGCCGCGACCAGAACACCTCGACGCCGGGGCCGCAGCGCGGCGCGCACGAGCGGCTCTTGGCCACGTACTGGAACTTCTCGGGGTTCTCGCAGGCGCCGCCGCCGCCGCCCGCGCCCCCGGGGCCCCCGGGGCCCGGGCCCGCGTCGCCGCCGGGGGGCCGCGCGGGCCGCGGCGCCACGGGCAGCATGCCCAGGCCCTTGTGCGGCTCGGCCGGGCCCGCCGTGGCGTTCTCGGGCGCCTCGATGCACAGCGCGTGCGGGTCGTTGCGCGTGGGCAGCCGCGCGCAGTCGAGCGAGTCGGGCCAGCCGAAGTTGAACTGCTCCATGATGGGCGCGCAGCGCAGCCGCGCCTGCTCGCACATGGGCCGGCAGGCGGGGATGGGCGTCGAGACCTGGTCGGTGCACATGGGCGCGTAGAGCGAGCACAGGAAGAAGCGCAGGTGGCGGTGGCAGCCGTACTGCACGAGCGGCGCGAACTCGGCCAGCTCGGCGGCCGCCTCGCCCTGCGACGTGTGGCCCAGCAGGTTGGGCAGGCGGGTCAGGTTGTAGCCGATGCCGCGGCACATGGGGATCTCCACCGCCTGGCACGGCGCCGGCGCCCGCCCGCGCTCGGGGTCGAAGCGGCCGATCTCCAGCGCCGCGCCGCCCGCCGCCAGCAGCGGCCCCAGCAGCAGCAGCAGCGCCCGGCGCCCGGGCGGCCCGGCCATCCCCGGCGGCCGCCGCTCACTCGGGCCGCGCCGGCCCGCGTCCCCGGGCGCGCCCGCCACGTCGCGAGCCCATCGCCGAGCCGCCCGCGCGAGACGCGCCGAGCCCGCCGCGCCGCCACGGCCGCCGCCGCCGCCGCCGCCGCCGCCCGAGCGCGCGCCCAGCCGCAGCCCGCGCCCGCCTCGCCGGGCCGCCGCTACCAGCCCCGGGGGCGGGGCCCGGGACACGCCCTGGGGGCGGGGGCGGGACACGCCCGGGGGCGGGGCCCGCGCCTCGGGCACGCCCCCTGCCCGGCTTTAAAGGCGCCGCGTCCGGCGCCCACCCGCCCGCCGGCCCGGTCGAGGTACGGCGGGGCGGGGCGGGGCGGGGCGCGGTGCCGCCTCTCCCCCTTCTCCTGCCTGCCCGCCGGCCTCTCTCTCCCGATGTCCCTGGGCGCCCGCGCTGACCTAGGCTCACGTGCCACCCGGGGCCCCCCCCCCCGGACGGTGCCAGACACCCCACCCAGCCCAGTGCCCCGGGAATGGCCCCAGGCTGGACCGCAGTGCAGAGCGGACGTGGACGGTCTATCCAGCGGTCTCGGTGCTGGGTGTTTGGCATCGTGGCCTCCTTGGTTTGGTTTTGTCTGGGCTCCACACCCAGGGGACAGGGAGACGCAGTACCCGGGGGTCCAGCACCTGCTGCCCCTGCCTGCAAAGCATGTGCTCCTGTGCTCCTCTCTCTGTCTCTCTCTCTCTCTTTCTCCGTCTGTCTCTGTCTGTCTCTCTCTCCTCTCTGTGTCTCTCTGTGTCTCTGGTCTCTGTCTCTCTATCTCTCTGTCTGTCTCTCTTTCTCTCTCTCTGGAATTCTCCTGTTTTTCAGTCATCCAAATTGTTTTTGTCATGACACGGTGCACTTTTCAACTCTCCTGAGAAGAGTTCTCGCCAGGAATTCTCGACATTTTACAGATGCACAGACTGAACTCAGAAAACTGCCACTCTCTGCCCGGGAGGACCCAGCTCACCAGGCTCAGGCTCATGCAGCTTCTTCCACTGCTGGACGCTGCCTTGCACCAGGGCGAAGGCACCTCCCAGGCCCAGCCTCAGGTGCCCTGAGTGTGAGCGGGTCATGGGGTGGGGCCCAGGAAGGAGTCAGGTGTAACTGGTGCCCACTCACGGCCTGGGGGTGGGGGGCGGCTGCAAGCAGGCACACAGTCTCTAGGAGCCCCCAAGGGTGGGCTGGGTAGAAATGCTCTGCTCTGGGCCCAGCCTGGCACGGGAGAAGGTGCGGCTCCTGCTCCTGATCTTCCGAGTTGCCGGTCTTGGGGAAGGAGCCTGGCCCTGTCTACCTGCTCAGAGCGGACAGGTGCTTCCGCCTGGCCCACCAGTCGAGCACCAGTGGGGGAGTCCATAGCCTTGAGGGCTGGGAAGTCCCTCCTGTCCCTCCATCCCAGCTCCACCCTCAGGGCATCCTGCCTGCAGGCTCCTGTGCCCCCAGAACCCCTTCAGCCAGCACTGCCCAGGGGCAACCCTCAGCACCCCCGCGCCCAGGGTCTCCCCACGTGCGCACTGGCGCTTAACTGTCCATCCGTCCCTTCCTCCCACCCCAACACCCGCCTCTGCTCCAGGCCGCTGGGGACAGCTCATGGCTCTGCGTCCTGTGACCCCCACAACCCTGTCTGCAGGAGGGGGGTGGCTCTGAGCTGTCCCTTCTGCTTTGGCCAGGTGGGGCAGCTCCTGGCTGGGGATAGGGTCGCCACGGTGAGGCCTGCAGGGGAAGAGCCAGGATTTCTGTGTTCCCTGCCCCCCCCCATCCCTGTGGAGGGGCGTCTGGGCCCTCTGTCTGGCTGTCAGAGTGGGAAGGGTGCCCCCCTGAAGCCAGAGAATGCCAGACTGTCACCACAGCAACGCTGCTCCCAAGAAGAAGCCAGGCCTGGGGGAGCCGTGGGCTGCCCCTCCCCCATGCAGAGGCCTCTGGGCCGCCTGCCCACCCACCCGGCTTTGTCACTTGATCCTGCCTTACAAAGGCTGAACAATACCCAGGGCCTGCAGGAAGGGACACTGAGCAGGGGGAGATTAGCATCGATGCCACCCCTCAGGTCCTGGGACCAGGGCAGAGCCGGAACCCAGCCCCCTCGCCTCACCCGCTCCCTGGGAGGCTCTCGCTCCTCATGTGTCCCCCATGCACCTCCCTGACCCCCACCCTGGTTTACTGTGTACCCCCAAGGGGGCCCGAGCCCTGCCCTGGTGTCCCTACTCAGCTCACAACCCCCAGGAAGGACCTCCATAGCTATGGCCCTGGGATCCACCCTTGCTGCAGCCGTCAGACCAGTCCCCCGTAAGCCTGGAAGCCTGGGAATGAGGGTCAGGGCCCTGCTCCCCACTGTCTGGACACCTGGCCTCCAGAAGGCTCCCAGAAATAGTTGCTGAGTGAGGAGAACGCTGTGATGAAGAGGGGCCCAGGCCTGGCAGAGGAGGAACACAGCGTGGCCTGAGGGTGGGGGCGGGTGGGACTTGGGGACAGGGCCATAGCAGTAAATGTGCCAGCCACGTCTCCAGGTAGGTGGACACCAGGTGGGTGGGGAGGGGGACCCAGCAGGCTCACCAGACCTGGCCCGGGGGCACCACGCGTGTGGCAAGCGAGCTTGTGTGTGTGTGTGTGTGTGTGTGTGTGTGTTGTGTGTGTGTGTGTGTGTGTTTGCACGCGCACCCAGGGCAAGCTGTATTGGGTGGGGCAGGCAAAGTGTTCAGAGCAGGCTCTGGCTTCCCTCTGCTTGAGCTCCAGTACTGACTCAGTTTCCCTGCCTGAGGTGTCAAAGGGCAGCTGGATCGCTCATTCTTTTCTTTTTGGTTTTGGGGCCACACCCAACAGGGCTCAGGGCTGACTCCTGGCTCTGTGCTCAGGAATCACTCCTGGTGGAGATTGAAAACCATATGGGGTGCTGGGGATCAAACCTAGGTCGGCCGTGTGCAAGGCAAATGCCCTACCCACTGTGCTAACTCTCCGACCCCTGGGCGGCTCATTCTGACCAATGAGGAGATTTTCAGACTGTGTGTCAGGACCCTGTTTCCGTATGAGCACAGCCGCACTGAGGTCAGACTGGCTCCTGCCTTCTGCCTCACCCTCTCGCTGCCATTGCCCCTCCCTCAGACACGGGGACTGAGACCCCAGGATCTCCTCTAGTCCCTTTTTCTAGACTTTTCCAATGTGGACCCATGCTTTCCTTCTCTTTGTTATTAAAACGGACAAGAGGGCTTTCAATAAAACTTTATTTATAAACTTCACGTTCAAAGGCAGTGGGCCACCCTTGGCAGTCTCCACACAGGCCTCCGACACCCGTGTGTCTAGTCGGGCACCCACATGGGAACAGGAACAGAGTAAATGTCTTTCCCCAGAGCCCGAGCCGAGTGCGTGCGATTCACCCACACCAGAAGCGAGGGCACTGGCAGAGTCTCTGTGTCTGCACTGGAGCCAAAAGAAAGCAGAGATTTATTTCCTTTTCAGTGTTGGATCACACCCAGCGGTGCTCATGGGTTTCTCCTAACTCTGCTCTCAAGAATTACTCCTGGCAGTGTGCGGGGCACCACATGGCATGCCAGTGATTGAACCCAGGTCGACATGAACCAGGCACAGCCATGCCCACCGGTTTACATAAAATCATATGGTTGTCTTCCAGCTATAAGGCAGAGTGGAGCAGCGGGGACGCTGACCAGGTAGGTGCCCCTTTCAAGAAGCTTTGCAGGGGCCAAAGAGTACAAGTAGGGAGTGCGTTCACTTTGCATGCAGCCCACCCAGTTTCGATTCCTGGCGCCTATGTGGTCTTCTGAGCACCAGCCAAAGTATCCTTGAGTGCAGAGCCAGGAAAGTCCTGAGCAAAACTAGGTGTGGCCCAGAAATCAACCAAGAACAAACTATAGCCCTCTACAGTGTCCTCACATTGTTCATCGATTTGCTCCAGCGGGCCCAGTAACGTCTCCATTGTGAGACTTATTGTTTTGCCAGGCTTTGCCAGGTTTTGCCAGGCTTTGTCGTGCAGGCGAGATACTCTCGGTAGCTTGCCGGGCTTTCCGAGAGGGGCGGAGGAATCGAACCCGGCTCAGCTGGGCTGGCTGCACACCAGGCAAATGCCCTACCACTGTGCTATCACTCCAGCCCAAACAAACAAATAAAATTAAAGGCTTTGCATATGGTTCAGTGGGCCCTGCCCTGCCCTGTCCTGCCCCGCCCAGAGATACCCCTAAGCACAGCAGGTGTAGCCAAAACACCCTCCCCCAACAAAAATAGCCTGACTGCTGGTATGTGAGGGTCTGTGGGAGGGTTTGCAGCAATACTGGCACTTCACGGGGTCTGGTAGACAGGCGCTGGGAGTTTTATACAGATTGGGAGTTTTGACTGATGGAGATTCTTGCAAAGTCTCACTGCCTCTCCCCATGCAGTGGTCATGAGTGTCCTCGTGTGAAAATTCAGATATCTTAGTCTTAGTGGGAACTAGCATGTTCAGATCTTAAAAACCAGCATATTATAAAATTTTAAAAAATAAAATTTTAAAAAGTAAATAAAAGACTCATTCACATTAAAAAAAAAACCTGATGAATCTATGCGACATCTGATAGACTGTTGTTGTTGAATCTATACAACACATCAGTTTTTCTTGGCAGTTTCCTAGAAGATAATGATTTCAGAAGAGTAGTAATCAAATCAGATTTTTGTAAGGAAAAAAAAACAACAGCATGTTGCTAGCTGGTCCAGAGAATAGGCAATAACCATGAGTTTAATAATGACACTATTGGGAGTATGTGCTGCCAGCAGGTCAACCTGTACCTGCGGGGCGAGTGCATCAGCAGCCTGATGATGCCTTCAGGCTTCCTGATACCCCAAAATTGCTGCTGTGCCTTTGGCTGGACCCCAACAACTTGGGACCAAGTTTACCAAGAAATTAAATGGCCAAAATTTAGGTATGTGGGATCCACACCCACAAACCACCTCTGGCTTAGCTATACAAGCTCACTTATTGGCTTATTTCAGAGACCCATAGATAAATCTTAAAAGAGATCAAAAGTC